AGCATTTGAAATTCTGACATTGGGTGGTGTTGCAATGTATTTTATGTTGAGTGTATGTTTGGCGAGTCTCATGCGTGAGGATGTATGTCTGATCGCTTGTATATTGCTGCTCTGAATGGATATATTTCTGCATGAGTAGTAGTAGGTACCTATGACGACCTATGTATAGTAGGTATTTCCCTCCATCAAAGGTATTATGTATGGCCAGGCAGACAAGACCATTGTTCGGAGAATTTTCTTTTTTTGATTATCTCTGTTTATCTTATCTAGATGACAACCCCTGAACCGATAACAACCTTGAACTCACCCAACCTGATAGTATATGAATATCTATCGTCTCTGATGATGACCGCATGAATGTTCCATGTCCGATTAGCTTTGATCCCGTTTGGGCATTTTCTCTCCTCGAAGCGAGCCGGATCGCCTCCCATCCGAACCAATGACGACTTCTACCCGACGCGACCCAGACTTGGGGATTTTGCAACTAATCTGGATCAGGATGGTGCTGCGCATGGCTAGTCTGGGGCTAGTTCGGCTGCCCCAGACCGCTGAACCCGACGGACGTTGTCTTTTCTCGGAAACTCCAGACATATGAACTCCAGACAGCACAAATAACAATGTCGTGCGAGTGAGACCCGACCTCGACTTCTCGCTAGGCCTACTACGACATCACATTCGCGATGGAGAAAGCCGATCTGGTCGACGACATCCTGGACGACCCCCCTGTCGAGCGCATCACCGTCGAGAAATTGCAGGACCAACCCGCAACCTTCAACCTCACCCTCCGCTCCGTCAACCCGGTCGACGTCCGCGTGCGCGATGTCTCGCTGGAAGTCGACACGTCGCCTCCCTTCTGGGAGACCTCACCCGCGCGGCTTTGGAGCCGGCTCCGGGGCAAAACCGCGGCGCACGAGCGCAAAACCGTCCTGGAGGGCGTCGACGCTTCCATGCCTCGCGGCAGCATCACCGCCATCATTGGTAGTAGCGGGTCGGGTAAGACGTCGCTGTTGAACCTGATGGCGGGGCGCATGGGCATGACGAAGGCCACGGTCGCCGGCACGACCACCTTCAACGGGGATGCGAACATCGCCCGCGTGCGCAGCGCCTACATCATGCAGGAGGACGTGCTCATCCCCACCCTGACAGTCCGCGAGACGCTGCGGTATTCGGCGGACCTGCGACTGCCGCCGCCGACCACGCCGGAGGAGCGCCGCCAGATCGTCGAGCAGGTGATCCGCGAGCTGGGGCTGAAGGAGTGTGCGGACACGCGCATTGGCACGACGGCTCACAAGGGCTGCAGCGGCGGCGAGAAGAGACGGACCAGTATCGGGGTGCAGATGTTGTCGAATCCGTCGGTGCTGTTCTGCGATGAGCCTACGACGGGGCTGGATGCGACGAGCGCGTTCCAGATTGTGAGAACTCTCAAGCGGCTCGCGCAGGACGGGAGGACTGTCATTGTTTCTATTCATGCGCCCCGCTCCGAGATATGGAGTCTCTTTGATAATGTCATCCTCCTGGCGAGGGGCTCTGTTCTGTACAGCGGGCCTGCGAGCGAGTCGTTGGCGCACTTCGAAAGCTGTGGTTATGTCATTCCCCCGTTTGTCAATCCGGCCGAGTTTCTCATCGATCTTGCGGCGATTGATAACCGTACCGAGGCGCTCGAGATGGCGTCGTATGCGAGAGTGGATGCGCTCAAAGCGGCGTGGAAGTCGAGACGGCAGGCAGAGAAGGAGGTGGAGGCGTCGCCAGCTGCTGATGGAGAGGCTCAGCGTGAACAAACGACCGCTTCAGATGGTAGTCAATCTGCGATGAAGGCTGTTTCGTTTCGTCGGCAGTTTCGTGTGCTCACGTCGCGGACGTTCAAGACCACCATCCGCGACCCGTTAGGTGTGGCCGGTAGTCTTCTCGAGGCGGTAGGCATGGCTGTCATCAACGGATGGATCTTCTTGCAGCTGGACGAGACGCAGGCGGGCATCCGATCTCGTCAAGGCAGTCTCTATACCGCCAGCAGTCTCAATGGATATCTCATCCTACTGTACGAGACGTACCGCTTGACGATCGACATCCGCCTGTTTGATCGCGAGCGGACCGAGGGCGTGGTCGGAGTCCCGGCCTTCTTGCTGAGCAGACGGGCTGCTAGGCTGCCCTTGGAAGATCTCCCCGTCCCCGTGATCTTCGCTATCATATTTTACTTCATGGTAGGCTATCGTCTGGATGCCGGCCAGTTCTTCATCTTCTTGGCCCTCAACATCCTCACCCACTACATCGCCGTCACCTTTGCCGCCGTCTCCATCGGCGTCGCGAGGAGCTTCCCCGGGGCCAGTCTGGTGGGGAATCTCTCCTTCACACTGCAGTCGTTTGCATGCGGCTACTTCGTCCAGTCCAACCAGATTCCCGTCTACGTGCGCTGGCTGAAATGGGTGGCCTACACATTCTACATATTCGGCGCGCTGTGTGCCAATGAATTCATCGGCCCAGACGGGCCGCCATACGGACAGTTCTACGACTGCCCCTACTCCGACGATCCAACCAATCCCGCCTGCACACAGTACACGGGCCGGTATATCATGGAGAACCTGGGCTTCCCGCCGAACTGGATTTGGCGGCCGATCATCGTTCTCGTGGCCTTTGTCATCGGTCACTATCTCCTCGCCGGGCTGCTTCTGCAATACAATCACTTTGCCATGGACATCGCCCAGGCGCGGAAGACTGACCAGGATCTGTCTGCGGGGAAGGAAAAGATCGCCATACGACCGTCCGAGGAAGCGCGCAAAGTGGCCATTTCGCTAGACAAGTACGCCCTTGACATCCGGAAACGCGGCCTCTTCGGCCGAGGACCGCGCACGTTGTCCATACTCAAACCGATCACCGCGGAATTCCACCCGGGCGAATTGAACATCATCATGGGTCCATCCGGTAGCGGGAAGACATCGCTACTGAACTCCATCGCACGGCGTCTGCGCAGCTCCGCGGGGACCAAGTACCAAGTGCACGGTGACATGCTGTACAACGGCGCCGTCCCCTCCGAGAGCGTCATCCGATCGGTCACCTCGTTCGTGACGCAGGACGACGACGCCTTGATGCCGTCGCTGACCGTCCGGGAGAGTCTGCGATTTGCGGCAGGGCTGCGACTGCCGCGGTGGATGTCGCGCGAGGAGAAGAACCGCCGCGCGGAGGAGATCCTGCTGAAGATGGGGCTGAAAGAGTGCGCGGACAACCTGATCGGGAGCGAGCTGATCAAGGGCATCAGCGGCGGCGAGAAGCGACGAGTCACCATCGCGATTCAAATCCTGACCGACCCGAAGGTCCTGCTGCTGGATGAGCCGACGTCCGGGCTGGACGCGTTCACGGCCATGTCGATCATCGAGGTGCTCAAGGGTCTCGCGGCGGAGGGCCGCACGCTGGTCATGACGATCCACCAGTCGCGGTCCGACCTGTTCCAGCATTTCTCCAGCGTGCTTCTCCTCGCTCGCGGAGGGTACCCCGTGTACGCGGGTGAGGGCGCCAGCATGCTCTCGCACTTTGCGAAACGAGGCTACGAATGTCCGCAGACGACCAACCCGGCCGATTTCGTGCTGGACCTGATCACCGTCGATCTGCAGCAGGCGGACCGCGAGGCCGTCACCCGCGAGCGCGTGCAGGCCCTCATCACGCACTGGGACCAGCGGACCCCCAGTCTCGGCCGGCGGACGTCCCACATCGCGACGCCCGCCGAGCTGGGCAGCCTCAAGCGGCAGATGCTGCCCTTCCGCATCACGTACCCGCTTGTGCTGCGGCGGTCGGCCATCAACTTCTGGCGGCAGCCGCCGCTCGTAATGGCGCGGTCCATGCAGGTGCTCGGCATCGGGATCATCATGGCGCTATTCTTTGCGCCTCTGAAGAACGACTACGCTGCGGTACAGTCCCGCATGGGATTTGTCCAGGAATTCGCCGCGTTGTATTTTGTCGGTGAGATCATACTCCCATGACGTCGAACCGGCAGACTCCCAAGCTAACTACGCACAGGCATGCTCCAGAACATCGCCATCTACCCGAACGAGCGGGACGTGTTCTACCGCGAGGAGGCAGACAACTGCTACTCGGCCGAAACGTTCATCCTGCAGTACACGACGCTGGAGGTCCCGTTCGAAGTGCTCTCGGCGCTGGTCTTCGGCGTGCTCGCCGCCTACGCCGACAACATGGAGCGCAGCGCGACCATGTTCCTGATCAGCGCGTTCAACTGCTTCTGCATCATCAGCTGCGGCGAGTCGGTGGGGATCATGTTCTGCACGCTGTTCTCGCATGTGGGCTTCGCCGTCAACGTGACGTCGATCCTGCTGTCCATCTCCACCATCCTGGGCGGCGTCATGAGCCTGAACGTCAACGACGTGCTGCAGGCGCTGAACCACCTCTCGCCCATCAAGTACTCCATCGCCAACCTGGCCCCCTACGCCATGCGCCACCAGGCCTTCTACTGCACGCCCGCGCAGCGCCTCGCCGACGGCTCGTGTCCCATCCAGAACGGACACCAGGTGCTGCAGCTGTACAACCTCGACAAGAACGGCCCCATCAACGTCATGGCCCTGGGCGTGTGCACCATCGTCTACCGCGTGGTGGCCTACGCCCTGCTGAAGGCAATGCGCTGGGCCAATCGCTAGCTCTCGTAACGTTTACCCAGTTAGTTAGTCCACCTAGTACTTTAGTAATCAGCCAAAAACAAGAAATCATCCCGACCCTCCTTGCCACATCCAAGTCCTGGCATCTGCGATCAAAATGCACCCGAGCGTACTCCGCCGGTCGCTGAGACCCCTCCTCTCAAAGAGAGGAAAGGGACCCGCCTTACGCAGCGGCGACAGGGTTTCACGTTCTAGAACACCACGCCGAACAGTCTCCGCTGACCCCACCGCCCAATCAGCCGTTCGTCAAGAATAAGGTTTGCGGCTTGGCGGTGGCCACCGCGGCAAGTACGCAGCATGATTCGCTGCGCTGGCGGACCCGCACGATCGGGAAAGCTTAGTCACGGCGGGCGGACACGGACGGACGACGGATCGGAACCCTGCGCTTTTTGGCGGGTGGAGATGCTGGCCGCGCTGCGGTGGTGGCTGTCGGGGGAGTTTCCCTTTGAGTGCGGTGGGGTCTGAGGGTTTTCTTTTCTGTTAGTCGATAGGGTTGAAGTTCTGGGGCTTAGATTTGTGATATAGGTTACAAGGTTTTACTGTAGGTGGAGAGGTTTTGTTTGAATGAAGATTGTCAATGAAGCCACTGCGATCTATTCTGTCCACATGAGAATCGTGGATACATACATGAATCGTAAGCCCTGGTCTCAAACCAGGGCGGTTCGACCAGTAGAAAGAAAAGTAGATACATGCGGGAAGGAAATGTATCATTGTCTAAACAGGGATCTTCCCAGTGAGCAAGTGAGCACCATCTCAATAGATGTCAGCTATAACCCAAACAGAAACTCTTGCATCAAGCAAGAAACGTGGAAGTCATAAGGCCGATCCGATACTCCACACCATACCCGTCCATCCAGTCGTCACACGTCTAAGGGGATTCATCAAAAGTCATGAAATGAAAGAGAGAAAGAAACGAAAGACACCACCCCAGGCCACGCTTAGTTGCCCAGGCTGAGGGTGAAGGTGGTGTCGATGGGGCAGCCGTGGGTGGCATGGTCGTCCTTGGGCTGGAGGTAGGCCTCGGCGCAGGCAGTGTCGCCGGCGCCGCAGTTGACGTTGGGGCAGTTGGCGCCGGTCTGGGAGGGGGTGACGGAGAAGCCAGACTTGGTGAACTCGGAGTCCTGGGCGGCGAGGTCGATGCAGCTCATGTCCCAGTAGATGGTGGACTCGCCGTCGCCGATGGTGTACTCGAACTGCAGCACGTCGGACTGGTCCGGGTTGGTGGACAGCTTGATGGAGATGCCGCCGCCGTTGTCGTTGGTGCGCCACGCTTCGGTATAGGATCCACCGCCCGCAGAAAGGGTGTGCATGTCACTGACTCTATCAGAGACCGACCACGCGTAGACGGTGTGATCCAGGTTGTTGACGATGTTGACGCTGCCGGAGTCGCCGCGGCGGACGACGTGAGGCAGAGCGGAAGCGAGGCTGGCAAAGGCAGCAGCAGCAGAGATGGCCTTGGTGAACATCATTTTTGCGATTGACAAGAGTGAGAAAACGGTTTTGTTTGGAAATGAATAAAGAATGGTCTGTTCGACAGCCGAAGTGTGTCTGTAAAAGATTGGAAGTATCAAGTTCCGTTGAATGGAAAAATGATAGGACGAGATGGATATCTCAAAAGAATGTAAAGATTGCTCGATCTTTGTATAAAGAGAGTGTGTTGATGGAGAAAAGAAAGGAGACGACTGAGGCGGCCGTCAAGCAGGTTTATATAGCTTCGACGAGGCCACCATGCGAAAGCTCTTTCGGGGGCAAACACCGCCATGCCGGCGGAGTGCCCCGTTACCGAGATGGCAAAAAGAGGAAAAAGTCGATGCTCCACATGTGTATCCAGAGATGAGGAAGATATGGGTCGGGTGAGAAAAAGGCAGATGGCGTCGGACAAGAAGGTTTGTTCCTGAATGGGCGGCGACAGGTCCGAAGGATTGGTGGCTGAAACGAGGGGGAACTGACGTAGGGCTGTCTCTGCTGTCTCTTCGGCTGTCTATCAACCTGCATAGCCGATTGACTTGCAGAGATCATGCATGTAGTGCATATAGTGCATATAGCGTGATGCCGAGACATAACCGTTGATCCGAACTTCACCACAGCCGTGTCTGATGATACATACAACTGTTCTTTGAGTCTCCCAGTGCCTACCTACTAACTGTCAGCATGCCTCAAATCCATACTCGGTCCGCTTACCGGATCTCGAAGGCTTCCCGCATGTGGCGGCCACACATGGCGTCTCAACTATGGGTCGAAGGATCGTTTCCACTTTTCCACTGCGTGCTGGATCCAGTTCCACGGATGATAGGTCTCGTCCACCACAAACCTTGTGGGGTGGGAATATCTGCCGGGGCGTGGAAACACAATTGAATCTTCTTGTTCCCCGTGGCAATACACACCACGCCTGATCTCCGTGCGTGGTGTTTCGCAAGCCCTAAGTCTGGTTCCGAACGGGGGCAAAACGAACGTCTCCAACACCCATCGGACGAGACAATGAGGAGCCTTTGTCGCACGATTTTTGAGACCTCGTCCATGGTTCCTAGGTGTCGCCCGTTTTCCCACGTTGAAGTTTCCAGATTCTACAGGTCGTATCCTTTGTCGTCCGATTGTTCCCCCGTTGGCCAGTCGGGGCACAGTGGTGGAGAAGCAGCGTCTGGCAAAGAAATCTCTTCGCTACCGAGGGAGACTTGTCGGCAGAGGATTTTGCCGTGTTCCTTTGTACGGAGTATGAGCTAATCATTTCTCGTGTACCAATGACTGTGGGATAATATCATCAGGCAGACACTCGGTGGACACAATACGGAGTCGTTCATTGTGCCAACGGCCTCTAAACCCTGGCCCACTTAGCCCCCGAACAAGTTCCCGACGATCACTACGCTTGAAGCCCTTGTATGATCCACCATCGTGGCTTTGGGCATCACGTTCTAGAACATGAGGGGTCTGTCCAGGTCCATCTACTAGCGCGAAAGAAACTCTAGGCACACGTCGCCCAAGAACATCACTTGTGTGGTACACTACCGGGGTAACTCTCCCCCTTCACATGAAAGGAACCAAAAAATAGGATGCAAGTTGACTTGTGCTAAGACCAAAGATGGGCCTCCCCCTCATCACCAGTAAGGAGCCCGCAGTCCGGCCAGACTGGTCAGGGACGCCTCCGAGGAGACATCCTCACGTTTGCGGTGACCCGCCAGCTCCAAGTTGATTTGCCGGTGGATGTGCACCAGCCAGTCCACGTAACTCTGGGCCTCATTGTTGCGGTCTTCCACTAACAACCGCGCAAACTCGTACTCGGCCCCATCCAGTCCCTGTCGCGCCAACTGAATGGTCACCGCCTTGGACCCTCGAATCGTCGAGAAGTACTGCAGTAAATTGCGCACCTGCGCATTCAGATGTGTCTCCAGCACAGGGATCGACGATGTCTGTGGAGACAATTCTTGGAGGGACGTATGGCCTGGTCCAAACAGGTCCTCCAACAGGTTAGGCGACACCTGCGCGTGCAACCAGAGCAGGCACATCTGTCCGTTGTCCACCAGATACGCCCCGCCCTCCTCAATCTTGGAGAAACTGGCACGGAGGGCCGGCGGCACTTGGAGTTGTCCCTGCTCATTCGGGAAGCCATCCTCAGGCTGCATGTTGTGGATCGGGATGATGCGGGGGTACAAGTACAGGGACATTTCGGTGCATCCAATGGACCGCAGCATCCGCATGTCGTGGATCCGCCGGTCCGACGCTTCCTGTCCGCCTACATCCGGTGTCAAATTAGTCACTGTCTATCAATCCGGGGACAGAGGGACCCCCTTACCCTTGAATGCTCGTGACTTTATCAGGCTCAGCATGAACATCGAAAACTCCTTCAAATTCTCCGGCAGGACAAGTTGTCCCGGAGGATGGGACCCCGAAAAGATCTTGCGATAGCTGCTGAAGATATCCACCGTCTTCTCCGAAATGCTCGCACGAATGTCCTTGAGGGATTTGTCGAGCGTCTTCGAGGCCGCTGTACATCGTAGTCAGCATTGGGTTCATTTCTTTGGACGGGACCATGGTCAACATACCCTCCTTTGCGATGATGCTCACGACCGCATCCTGATCCACAAACTTCATCGTCTCCAAACCTCCTTCGTTGACAGCCGCTACAACGTTGATACAACGCACCCGCCGCTGTCCGTCGGCTGACGTATACAGCAGAGCGGCCTGGAAGTGCGCATCCAGCTTCACATCAAGTTTGCCGTCGTAGCTGAATAGAACGCCAATTGCCTTGTCCGCGTCAATTGCCCCGATTTCCAGGTCCGCCCCGAGAGCATGTTGCACAAAGTTGCCATGGTACCCCGACACCTGAAGACCGTTGGAGCACCGGACTTTCATCAGCGCTTGATACCCGGTCTCTCGAGTAACCGCATGGGCGATCTCTCGCGAGAGCTTTAGAATGTCCCGGGGGGCGTGGAAGTTTGGATAGAAGAATGTCTCACCGCCACTCACTTCGGCGACATGCCCTGCATACTGTTAGCAATATACGACACAACCCGCCTGCAAATCTCCACGTACCGATCGTGGCCACATCCATATAGGTGCCGCCAGGCGACCCAACGAACATGTCCACACCGACGCCAGCCTCGGCAAATTTGCCAGCGACATCTCTCCAAGGCTGGTGGTCCGTCGTAAACAGCTTTTTCTCCGCATCGGTACCATGTGCCTTCGGGTCGTCTCTAATGTAAAGTGCCCCAGGGCCCCATTGTGGCAGGCTGCATATAGACGCGAGAACTTTACCACCAGTGGGTTGTAGGGCAGACAAAGCAGCATTCAATGCGGGGAATAATGCCGGATCTGGGCTTCTGGCGTGGGCGAATATCGTGGGGATTTGATGCAAGAGAGACGTGATGGTGTCCCTATGGCACTGTCAGTTGGTCTCGTTGGCGATCAAAAGTTTCAGGATTACGGACTTGGACTCATAGGGATCCACAAAAAGGCCTTCGCTCAGCGGAACAAACGGTTCTTGGAGGTCCGTCATCACCATCATCTGTGCACGGTCCAGTTGCGGCTGTGGCCATATTAGCAATGAAACAGACCCGCGTCACCTGAGAACATACGCTGAGATTGTAGAACTGCACTTCCCGATTGTAAGTGACAATTCCGATCTTCGATCCTTCTGGTATCCGCCTCTCGTCTTCAGGGTTCTCCGATGTGTCGTACAGAGCATCCAGAATGCCCTTGCACACTCCCTTGAGAAAGCCTCTCTGCACCGATTCCTGGGTAGCATCGATCAAGAACAACCATTGAAGACCAACGGGCTGCTTGTTCCAGTAATCCTTCGGGACTAAAAACTCAACCGTTCCCATCATCAACTCAGGACGTTGCATGCGATCGATGCGAGACCCCGCGGGGTCAAGAGGAGCAAAGTACTCGGGAGGCACGTCGTTCGGGAATGTACACATGTTGCAAATGAACTTATTCCCCCCGGATCTAAACTGCATGAAAGGATTGATGTAGGTCCGGCATCGTCTGCAGCGTGGCGGCCCTGCATCTCCGAAATCGAGCACTGGAATCGGTTGTTCGCCGGGGTCAAGAGGCGCGAGCGGTTGCAGAATCATTCCCAGAGGAAGAGAGGTAGATGAGAGGAAATCGGATGTAGAAGGGATGTTGTTCAAGGTCAAGCGCGCATACTTGGGGGACGAGTTTCCTTGGTCGTGGGCAACAAACGGGACAGCTGCAGGCGGAGGTAGATGACGTTCCATTGTTGGATAGACATGGTTGAAATAGTACTGGGCGGGAATGTCTCGAGACCGAGGGATGCTGGGAATCTGTTCGGGGTCGATTTTACCCTGTGTAGGCACCGAACCTGCACCGGTCGAGGGCATACCGGGCGGGGCGCCCATGCCCATGCCCGCCGCTGGAACGGCAGCCGCAGGGGAGATGGGGCGAGGAGCTTGGTTCAACCCAGTGTTCAGGAATTGCGACGTCGCCGGTGTGGTGTCTTGTGGACCCGAGGCAGTCGCGCCTCCAATATCATGATGCGCGTGCCGATGCTTCTTCTTGCCAGCACGATGCGCCCCACCATCACCCCCCATTATGCCTAACCCGCTCATTTGAGAGGCTAGACCTGCCATCGCAGGATCCGCAGGGGCTCCCATAGGGGCCCGAGGAGCCACACCATAACCAAGTTGTGGACTGGGAGCAAGCCCGTGCGGGGGAGGTTGTGTTTGTTGATGCGGCACTGGAGCGGAACCGTACGCGGGCCATTGTTGCGGAGCTGGCTGACCATACGCAGCGCCCGGTTGAGGAGGAGCTGCACCGGGAGGATAGTAACCTCCAGCGGGAGGAGCGGTTGGAGGGAAATGTTGTGCCATTCGATTGGGGTTCGAGGGGTCTTCAGCAGGTGCCTGACCCAGGGTGTGATACATCGACGGGTCGGCCATGGTGCTTCATAACGCGGCGGAAGGATCAGACTGCTCACAACAACGGGGAGGGAATGGGGATTAGAGCAGGACCATCCCTGAGTGCCCGTGAAGGAATTGCGAGGATGGAGGGCGAGCGTGGATATAGATTGCTTGGAGGTTACCGCAAATGACCACCTCTCAACATCCGCGGCGGAATTACGTCGTTCCGAGGTCCCCGTGCACGTGTTGCTCACCCTGTTTTGGCTCTGGAACACATCAAACTATACGGAGGACGCAACTTGTGTATAGATGCAAATTACCTTCCTTTGAAACATCTGCTATCGTCTGGACAGATCCTATCTTCTATGAATCGGCATGCATAACAGCATCAGTCGGTGCCCCTACTTATCGGTAGGGTGATCGCTGATAAGCCTCACCTTCACCATCCCACCTCCACCGCTTCTTCTCCTTTCTGCTCCTAGATCTCTTCACCTAGTTCATAGATCGCACATAATTTCTCTCTGATCCCTATAGACTGAAGAATTACCTCCGATGTAACAATTTAATGTAACAATGTCCACTATCTACAACGACGACGAGCTTCTCCTGGCTCGGATTGGATACAAACAGGTACATTCATCACCTATCCTCCTCCTGGCCTTAGCTCCATCCAACCTGACTCGGTCTAACCAACTCAGGAACTGAAACGAGAATTCTCAAAATGGTCTACCGTTTCATACGCCATCTCCATTCTGGGGATTCTAGGCTCCGTGCCCGCCACTATCGGCGCCCCTTTGGCCGCAGGAGGACCCGCGACAGCAGTATGGTGCTGGTTCATAGGTTCCTGCATGGCCCTATGCATTGGAAGCTCGGTGGCTGAGCTGGTCTCAGCCTATCCCACGGCTGGGGGCATGTATTTCGTTACGAAGCATGTGGTTCCAGAAGAGCAGGTGCCGATGTTCTCCTGGGTGCAGGGTTGGTGCAACCTGCTCGGACAGACCGCTGGTGTATCTAGCGTCGCCTATACCGTCAGTCAGATGTTGCTCGCTTGTGCCAGTATGAATTCGGAACTGGTGGATGGCAAGTACTCGTATTCGCCGTATGTTCTAACTTTAACAACATTCTAGGGGCTGCCGCTGACTATAGTGCAGGACAGCATTGGACACGGTACTTTTGTCCATCGTGCTTCTATGCGTGCTAGGAGTGATCTGTTCAATGACTACAAAGACTCTGCATCGCCTCATTCTCTGGTTTGCCCCGATCAATAGTATGTATTAGCTCTTCTCGAGTCCCGGTTTCGAAGCATGTCAGTGGAAGATTGACCGACACCTCAAGTTTCCGCTACCATTGTCATTTGCCTTGCGCTGCTTTACTTTACGCCAAACAAACAACCAGCAATCTGGGTCTTCACTCATGTCACCGACGGTTCCGGATGGGGCTCCAAGGTCTTCTCCTTCCTCCTTGGATTCATCTCAGTGGCATGGACAATGACCGACTACGACGGAACAACTCAGTATGCACCCTCAAAACCAAAGTAGACCATCTTGGGAACTAACATACTAACTAACCATTCCAGTATGTCTGAAGAAACTCACGACGCGGCGACTCTAGGACCCCTTGCAATCCAGACAGCCGTCCTCGTATCCGGTGCCATGGGCTGGGTGCTAACCGTGTGCATCTGCTTCTGTCTGACCGACTTCGAGGGCATCATGAGCACACCCACCGGCCTTCCAGCCGCGCAGGTCTTCCTCAACGCAGGCGGCAAAACTGGTGGGACGATCATGTGGGGATTGGCGATCCTGGTGCAGTTTTTCACTGGCTGTTCAGCCATGCTGGCAGATACCAGAATGGCCTATGCGTTTGCTAGAGATGAGGCTCTGCCGTTCTCCTCGTACGTTGCCCATACCTTTCGTTGGGATCCACAAGACCAGAAGTCATAACTCTTGTCATGGCAGGTTCCTCTCGCGGGTAAACAAGTACACTCACACCCCAGTCAACGCCGTCTGGTTCGTCGTCCTCTTCAGCATCGGTCTCAACTGCATCGCGATCGGTTCAACACAGACAGCCACCGCCATCTTCAATATCACGGCGCCGGCCCTGGACATATCCTACGTTTCCGTGATCATGGCGCACCAGCTATACAGGAACCGGGTGAAGTTCGTAGAAGGCCCGTTCACCCTCGGGAAATGGGGGCCACTCTTGAACTGGGTTTCTGTGACTTGGGTCTTGTTCATAAGCACAGTGTTATTCTTCCCTCCTTCAGTACCGGTAACCGCAGCAAATATGTGAGTATTCTAGATCTGTCCATGCAACAGACACCGTGGTACGCAGGTGTCACTAACTGCTTTTGCATCAGGAATTACGCCATCTGCGTTGGTGCCTTTATTGCTGCCTTTGCGTTAGTGTGGTGGCTCGTTGCTGCGCGAGGGTGAGTACTTGTCTGCTACAATGTATATCTTGTGGATGAATAAGTTGGTGCTGACGCGACATCACCTAGGAAATACACAGGGCCCCGGACAAACGATTATACGCAGGTGGCCTCGGCTGATCTCAGCCGTGAGTATGGAGCCCTTGCTGATTTCGAATAGGTACAGACCATGTGGAACATTGATTGCGTATATCCATAGTCACCAGAGATGCGTTGCATAGATTGACATATGTACTTGGTTTTCTAGGGAAGTTGTGGGTCACCAGTAGAGACTCACTGGCCGCATTCTTCGCCACCTAACATCACGAAATAAAGAGACAATGCCTTGAGATAAATTCCTGTAATAGATGTTATACTCTGTCAGAATCGTCAGTCGTGATGGATGTCCTGTGTCCTAAAATGATAAAACCTCACCTCTTCACAACTGTAGCGGGTACTTGGACACGAATGCCAAAACCGCCTGCACAAAGCCAGCGGGGTTCTCTTCCGCAATGTAATGGCCAGAATCTTCCACCACCGCGACGTGAATATCACCGCCATAAACCTCCGTTACCATATCTTTGGCTTCGGCGGCATGACGACTTTCCGAGCCACTTAGAATGAGCACAGGCCGCATACACTTGCCTTTCAGACGTAGCGACTCGAGATTCTCCTTAGCATCCTCTTCAAAGGCCCGGTATACTTCGAATGCACACCGAAGGGCCCCCGGTTGCGAATATTGCAAGGCATAATACTCGCAGTCAGCAGCCGATATGGCGTCGGCGTTGAAACTTAGCCTGGAGAAGAAATGATTCAAGTACATTTTCTCCCTCCCCGCGACAAGTGACGGTGCCAAGTCGTCCGGCGCACAATGAAACATGAAATGGAACTGCTCCGGCATCCGCTTGTTTGCGAGGTAGCAGGAAGTTCCAGGAAGCGGACATTCTCCCCAGATAATACAGGCGACATGTTGCGGATACATCGAAACGTATGCGTGCGCAATCATCCCGCCAATGTCATGGCCAACGAGATATATGGGCGACTCGATGTGAAGATGATCGTGAATAAGGACAAATAGGTCTCGAGCCATCGTGGACTTTCTAAAATCGTGAGATGGATGCGATGATTGTCCAGCTCCGCGGTAGTCGGGAGCTATTACCCGGAAACCCTCATCAGCCAGTGGTCGTATTACATGGCGGAATTGGTACGAGGTTTGAGGAAAACCGTGGATTAGGAGCAATACTCCCTTGGCAAGCGAAGAGGTTGATGGTGCGCAGTCGATGTAGCTAATCCGGACCGAGGGCGCATCGTCGTCGGTAGTTTTGATCCACGCGTTGTGCTTTTTCCAATGGGGAGGACTATTCAACAGGGTATCGGGGTTCATAGCTGATGACTCCATAACCAGCGCCTTTAGAATGCTAAAAGCCAAGCCGGCTTCACAAACAGTCTTAATATATTACGACCGATTGATAACTACTTGGATGTTGATTTCTAATCATCTCTTACATAGACAAGCCGTTGCTCTGCCATATGACGTCATGATATGTAGTTCTATACTGTACTCCTGTGATGTGAAGCTCCTCCCTAGCCTAACGTCCTAAGGTAATACCCGCTTTGTTTACTGTGTCGACATGCTGGTCGGCCAAGTGTAAGTGTTATGGCTGAATCACATGTGATGGAGCTGATGGCCTTTCGCCAGTGCCTTCTTTGTTTATTGTCCTTGAAGTCAGCCAACAATACCTGGGAACGGCATCATATAGCCGTAAAAGCCGAAACCTTGATCTGCGGGATAGTCCAGTTTATTGGTAGACCATGAAACCATGCTTCGTGTCCATAAGACAAACATCAGCACTTCTGGACTTTACGACTACGTAGCCATGCTGTTGCTCCATTGGGTAACGGTTAGTTACCCGTCATCCAATAACAGTCCAGGGGAAAGTGGAATCTGCATTGATGACATGGAACTAACCGCATCTATCATAGCAGCCATTTAATACTTCGAGCCTTCAAGGAGAACAAGATGCGTCAGGTCAAGGCGGCTCGAAGATATAAAGCAGCGGGATCATGCCCTGCTTCCTTCCTTGCTTTCGATTTAACATTCTCTCAGTACGTTACCAATATCGATAGCCATCGCTCAAGAACAACATGTCTTCCCAGCAGATCCTGCCCTCGGAGACCCTCATCGACCGATACGGTAGCTCCCTAGCCGGCAAGACAAGTATGCTCCCCCCTCCTATAGCTATAAGCATAATCTTCTAACAATCATTAGTCCTTATAACCGGTGTATCTGGCGACTCTATCGCTGGCGAACTTGCAATCCAACTAAGCGCTGCCGCACCTCATCTCCTGATCCTCAGCGCTCGAGCCGAAGAAAATGTCGCCCCCATCATCGAGAAAATTAGACTCATAGCCCCCAATGTTAATACCAAGTTCCTCAAAATGGATCTAGGGGATACGGGCAATATTAGAAACGCGGTTGATACCCTCCACGACATCCCGAAGATCGACCACCTCGCTTGTGTTGCGGGTGTCATGGTTCCTCCGTATGGGACTACAAAGGATGGGTTCGAGATGCAGTTCGGGGTGAACTATCTCGCCAACTTTTTGTTGGTCAAGTTGCTTCTTCCCAAGGTTAGGGCTGCTGGGGTCGGATCGTCCATCGTTATTGTTGCAAGTAGTGCAGCCAGGAGTGGGAAGGTTGATTTTGAGAATGTTGGGTTTAGTGTATGTGTCTCCGCTCTCCCATCTGTGGTGCTGGTCTAATCATTTCTGACAGGAAGGCAAAACGTATGATCCTCTTGTGGCGTATAGCCAGTCCAACGCTGCCCGAGTGTTATTTGTGAAGGCGCTGGCGGAGAAATTGGGAGACCAGGGAATTCGAGTCTTTAGTGTCGATCCTGGCGGTATGTGAAGCTCACTCATCCACAGCCAGCGAACACAGGGGAATTGACCTGCCATAGCTGTCCGGTCTGGTCTGCAACGTCATTTCACTCCGGAATTTCAAAAGATGGTTGCCGCGCTTAGAACTTCTGGAGGTAGGCCTTCGACCTCTGATATCCTGGGATTTGAACAGTCTTAACACCATTAAACAGGCGTGGTCGACCTCGACGGTAGGCCTGTTACAATTCCGCCGTGGACCACGAAGTCTGAAGGCGCCGCGACTATTATCACGGGCATGATTGACCCTACAATACAAGGTTCGCAAATATCCCTGGTATTTCCTTAGTGAGTACTTACATCGCTAGGACATAACGGGGCCTTCCTCCATAACAACGCCGTTGCGAATGACGAGTTGAATAGCCACACTCGGAACCCTGATAATCAGGCGAAGCTGTGGGAACTCAGTGAGCAGATGCTTCAGGAACCATTTGCGGTTTAGAGAGGCGCGTGGGAAAGAATGCACACTTTATGTATGGAGGTACCAGACTCATTGTAGTAGGTCAATCAGAGATGACAAGTGTCTCCTCTCCTCGCTGCAACCTCCAGTAATTCGTAGACCAAATCACCTCAGGACATTCCCTCCATAACCACCTCCATTTCCGAAACATTCTTTCGGATATCTCATAAGCGGACGCATCCCATGCTTCACCCCAGATTAAGAGTCCGGTCGACTCGGTCGAATCACTGGATTTGCCAAAGAGATCATCGCAAAGTTCATCCTCAGAGTAGAGATGCAGATTGCGCAGCAGAGCGTCCCGCACCGAGGAAACGGCACATAGGTCGATCCAGGGATGGTGGATGATGGATTTCTGTAGATACGTGGGATGTAAGCTGGGTGGTAGATTTGCCCTTGCTGGTCCGCAAGCATTGAACGGGGAGATGATATCCTCTGCTAAGAGGGCCATAGTTAGACCCATCGTAGTAGCGTTGGTGACCATGGCGCGGATGATGTTCCACTGCGTGACTGGGAGGAGAAATTCGGAGGAGAGTGCGCGGGAGACTATTCCTCTGTTCACGCGGTCATGTAATAGATCCAAAACTATCTGGCGTGTTTCGAGGCTGAGGTAGCAGAAATGAGCGGTTGCTGCGTCGATCTCCCCATGGGTGGGATCGCTAGGGGTTATGGATGTCGCTGTTTCCTGCGACGGGGGGACGTAAATTGTCCACTTTCTCATCGACGGCCCAGGACCGTTTGAAGATAATATAGCCTTCTTTCTGCCTACAGTAGCGTTTATAAGTCATACTGCCTTCCTGATTACTATCCATTTGGGTCACTTACGGCTGGCACGTTGGTTGAGGCGGTTCTGGATTCTTCTCCGCTCTTTAGGGTCATCCATTTCGTGTGCATCACCACGTCGCTAAAGATGGTTGGCCGGGAATACAATTGTTTGGTATCAAAGTAATGAAGCAGATCAAAGTGCAAAAGATTGAGTAAGGAAGTGGATTTGGTCGAAGAGGATTGCCGACGCGGAGGACGGACTTAGGTACTTAATTCCGAAAACCCGCCGCCTGGGTAAGCAGACTACAAGCGTCTGTTGGACTACAATACAGTACTCATTCCGCAAGGTTCAGATACCAGCGCTTCTGGCCTTCACTCATATTTCCTGAACCCAGAACAAATGGCAAGGCGCATTGGCATGACGCTGGTCGCTATCCGCAATAAGCCATGAAACATTCAGCACTTCTATGGAGGCGTAACAGACCGTGCTTACAGCAAAAGAACACGGCCCCTGTTCCCTACACTTGCTCGTCCGCAGCAGTTGACCTTAATCGGCTAGGAGTGTGACTGCGAAGACAACAGGCAGACGATTGAAACCAGAGTATACAGATGTTTATGCTGCTAAATGTGACATCGTATATGTAGAATTTTCATATGTACTTGATTTTCTAGGGAAGTTGTGGGTCACCAGTAGACACTCACTGGCTGCATTCTTCGTCACCTAACATCATGAAATAGAGAGACAATGCCTTGGGATAAGTTCCTGTAATAGATATTATAATCTCTGTCCGAATCGTCAGTGACGATGGGTGTCCTGCTCGGTAACAATATAGCTATATTCCTTTTCGGCGCCATAGCGACTTTAGATCCGTCATAAATGCATCTGCAACGACGAACCCCCTTTTCGAAATGTCTCGAAACATCGCACGAATTGACTCCGTCTCTGGAGCGGCTGTTACTCTTGCGCCTGCTACTCTCAATGGGAAGAAAAACAACACAGCCGCCAGATTTGTGGTCTTCAGAGCGATCTGAGTCATCCGTAGAATCGCATCGACGTGTGTCTGGACGACAGTCCGTGAGATCGTGGGGGTGGGTATTTCGCTGAATTGAGCGCGGTAGTCGAAGATCCCAGACAAGTAGATGGAGATGCCGTGAAAATATATTGTTGCGAGAAGGGACTGGGGATTGTGTGCGGGCGTACTAGTATCGGCCGACCACTTTTGGAAAGTCGCATACCAATCACTAAGAGCTGACCGGACAACGAAGCCTTCAGCAGCAAGATCAAGAAGGGCCTCGTGAAGGAGCATGGTCGGATAATTGGAGCCCGGTTTGAGCAGGTCCCATACCCTGAGCTTAATCAGTCATACAGTAACACATAGAGGGCCTGCGGGGGCACTTGCCGATGACTGATCGAAGAACAGGTGATCATCAGATCAAATAATCGCTCCTTTGGGTGCCAGTCGTTCTTGAGATCCTCGTTCCAGATCATAGTTGTGAGTGACATCCATTCCGGCCGGCAGAGAAAAGTAGGTTCAGGGTATATGAGAGCACGACAGATCTCGAAGACTCGCACGGTGAGAAAAAATGACCGCCCGGAGCCAGCTACATGGGCTTTTGGACCGCGAATCTGGAGCATACTGGATGTGCCGTACAGGAAATGCTTCACCCAGCCTTCTCCAGTCATATCATGCATCAGCTAGATTGTGAGGGTTAACATCAAGCTTCCGATATACTCATTCCCGTCCAAGGCGCTGTTGACCTACTTCAAACAAGCCTAAGAAAAACGTCGTCCATAAATTGACTTCTTGTGGCAGGCTCTTGCTTACGATCTCGGTTTTCAATTTGGCGACCGAGATGTGGTAGGCCGTTAATGCTCCCACAACCGCGTCTTTCTTCTGCAGAGGTGTAGTCAGCAGCATCTCCCTGCTCAGATCAAGCGCACCCAGGGCGATGGATGCGTGATACATGCTGGAGGACATCTGGAATTCCGATATGATAGTGCCGAGGTCCAGGTGGCCGCCAAAGTCATTCCTTGTCAAAAACTCTGAGAAGAAACGCTTTACAAATAGGTCTGAGCTTCCTTCCGGAACTTTGGCGCAGAGCCTATGTGCGGGAAGATGAGTGTCAGCCCTTTTGAATGGAGCAGAGACGTTGACAAAGACAGCGCTGGCTTTTGGCTGAAATGCCTGAGGGACACATGGTCGATTCCTTTTCGTACAATACCGACAGGGAGGACCGCCCTCGCACTACAGAGGGTTAAAATCAGAACCGGGGTGGGTTGGAGGGAACAACCGGTATTTGCGGACAGACTGGATGAGAAGAAAATCGCTGACCTTGATTTTGCGTCGTGTACACTCCGCGCACCTGGTGCGAGAAGTGCGCCGATCGAGTGGCCCCAGTACGGCCATTTCTGAGACTAACGGTGGGCAAGTTTGATGGGCATTCCGTGCAGGAAGTTGAAGTCTGGACTTGGAGTACAGCCCTCCCATGCCAAGACTACATCCGCCTTTCCTGAATAGGCAGCATTTGAACGCAGTTTCTTGGCACTGGCATCAGCCAGAAGGTGAGAATCCACAAACGCGCTGTATTATTGCCTGATTCAGGAGTAGGAGAGTCACGATGAGTCGACTCATCAGACCAGATGACCGCCACAGCATCCGCAGGATGAGGCTCCAGAATCCTATATAAGTTTAAGAGCTTCCTCCGGTTTTCTCTGCAGCAGTATCATTTCCCTCTATTCTTTCCTAGAACACTATTCTCTATATCTGTACCAACCCGCCATGATGTTCAACCTCTCTAAGAATTATCTTATGCTTGGTGCCTTCTTTGCTCAGCTTCTCCTGAGAAGCAATGCGGTGTCCTTCCCCGACACCATAGGCCAATACGACACCAGCATCGCAACAACCCAGCTCGTTGATCATCATCGTCTGGATCCCTACGCCCCAACGCCGCAGCCCCGTACTCTGATGATCTCCCTCTTCCATCCCGTTCCTCCTGCAGCATGTTGCCCATCCCTGACGCCCTACATGGACCCCATCACCGCAACCTTCGAGGACGAACAGTATGCATCGGCTGGCATCCCAGCAGGCGCATTCGGCTCACTTACCCTTCGAACCTGCAAGCCATGCACGAAGTCAACTTCGAGTGGCCCGGGCAAGGGCCCAAAATATCCGCTCGTTCTCTTCTCGCCTGGCCTGGGGAATACTCGACTCTTGTACAGTGCTATGGCACAGCAGTGTGTATCCCTTATCTTCTGTTCCCTGTTCATCTAAAACTTTCAATCTGCACGGATCGCTGACCTTCAACGTCGCTCATAGACTGTCCAGCATGGGCTACATCGTCGTTACCGTCGACCATCCCTATGACGCAGGCATTGTAACATTCCCTGATAATACCACCATCCTCGCCGCAAACATTACAACCGATGCCGAAATTGTAGACGACCTGAGCATCCGCGTCAGAGACGTATCCTTCGTGCTCGACCAGCTCCACCGTCCATCCATTATCTCAAAGCTCATTCCCGGCCAAACATGTGGGTTAGATACCTCTAAAGTGGGAATCTACGGTCATTCCCTTGGCGGCGCCACCGCAGCTCAGGCTATGCTTTCCGATTCCCGTCTCAAGGGGGGTATCAATCTGGACGGCACATTTTTTGGCTCAGTTATCAACCGGGGGTTGGATAAGCCCTTCATGATAATGGCGCACGAAGGGAAGAATTTGACAACTGATGCGTCTTGGGGCGCTCTGTGGCCAAAATTGAAGGGTATCAGGAGAAGATTCACACTGAGTGGGAGTACACATGGCACGTTCACTGATTTGGCCCAGGCTGCTGATGCCATTGGCCTGAGAGAGGAATATCCGGCACAGACGGCCGCTTTCTTGGGGAGTATTGATGGGGGAAGAGCCCTTCAGGTTATTGCTGCTTACACTAGCAGATTCTTTGACTTTGTTTTGAAGGGCAAGAATGTTGACTTCTTAGATATGTCCAGTCTGGAATTTCCGGAGGCGGTCGTTGGGAAAGATTAACTCCGGGCAGAAGACTGTTTGCTTCCCCTTCAGGTTGGGTCCATATGTTGACAGAATCTCCGTCGTGGCCGTCGATGGCGACCAACCTGTATCTATATGCAACAGATGACTTATTAAGTTATTATATGCATACATCTCTCTTTGTAAAGAGTAGTATAATAAACTCTATTATGGCCGTACCAGTAGGAAAGTTTCCAAAAATATCCTAGATATGATATTCTTCGTAGCCACCCCCGAAGGAACAGAGAATTCTCCACACATGAAGAGAGGCTTTCAAAACGACCAAGCCAGCACCTTCCGTATCTCTGCTGTAGTGTTTTGAAACATTTCAGAATAGGAACGTTTACGCGAGCTCAGATTTTACATCTGCGTTGTCCGCTTTCCTCAGCCTTGGACTCAGCCTTGTACTCAGATGCACCCCCAACACTGTACGCTCTATTCCGGTGTTGATGGATGGTTATTTGCTTTTTGCAGATGAATAAATACAAAGAAATCTATGTCCCTCCTCCGCCTTCTGCTCAGCACCGCCTGCCAGCTTTCACAATGACTGATCCAGCTTCTCTCGTTGGAACTGTGTCAGGGGTGTTGTCCCTAGGCATTTCAGTAAGTCAGGGCATCGCTACCTACTGCTCACAGTTTAAGGGATACGAAAGCCAGACCGCTGCTTTTCTACACAGGTTGCAGAGCCTTTAAAATACCCTTGAGCACATTGAGCGGCTTTTGCGGGATCCTCGAAGCTCCTTGAAATCGTGCCCAATAGAGGCTGTACAAAAAGTCGCCGACTGTGTCCTAGATTGCAGGGAGTGGTTGCAACAGCTGGAGAAGCTGCTTGAAAAATGTCAGAATTCTGCTTTTGGATGGGCTCGGTATCCTTTCGAACGTGAAACAATCTTGGATCTCGAGAAGACTATTGCTGCCTTTCAGTCAAACCTCGATACCGCTCTACAATTTCTTCATCTGTGAGTGACCGAAATATTTCTCTTAGCAAGGTTAAGTGTTTCTCACGTATAATTAGATGTCTTTCACAGCGTGTTGAGCAGCATGTGATGCAGAACCTTTCTGCCTCGCAACTTGCATCGACCAATACCGGCGATGTGTTGCGATTGGTCAACAAAGTCGAAAAAGACCAGGAAATACACAGCCATATGCTACAGGAACAAACGAAACTACTTCAGACCATTCTTACTCTACAACAACATCAGTCTGAGGCTGTACGTCTCCTCTTGTCTGTCGAGAAGAGAATAAGCTAGCTCATGAAGATTAGGCGAAATCGAATGCCGTTGCCGAATGCCCCCGAATGTTTTGCCCAACGACTCTGCAAAATCTCTGTGACCAACAAACAACAATCAATGAGTCGGTCTCTTCGAACAAAGCGAGTTGTCCTCTAAGCCAAGGAAAACGTACTTGGCAGGATGCGAGCGAGATATCTCCAACCTACGAAACGATTTCGCTATTTAGGAAAAGTTTTACATTCTGCAATCGCTTCATTAAGAAAGCTATTCATGTGAATTTCAGCTTGATTCGAGGGGCAGGAGGACTCGCGATTAGCCCTATACTCACCATACAAACGGTTGTTTCAGCAGACTCTCCAGTTTACCGGCTTATAGCCGAGAAAAAAAGAGAGATAGAGGAAGGGAGAGTCGACGGTGTCGTTTACTTCGATGACTACCCGAACCAACTGGAGAACCTGTTTCGAGGAGGTTCGAGACCCTCTGAGATTCTGCCTGATGGAACATCTATTCTACATGTGAGTGTAGTAAGGTGATCCCCTAAAAGGAATACGACTAATACAGAGTTCCTTGGACCCAGGCCCTTGTCGAAAATGCTCAGTACGGATCTGCAACTCTCTTTGGCGCCTTTTTAAAGCACCTTCTGGATAAATACACGTTTCCTGTCAATGTCCAAGGGCAACAGGGCACAGTGTTAGATATGATCATCGGTTCATCTATTATTGCTTTTGATCTCCACCCCACAGAAGACCATCTGATTGAATGGTCAAACATATTTTTCCATCTATCTTCCAAGGGGGCCATGACTTCCCCACGGTCACAGAAATCCATCCAACGCCGTACGTTTTGTCTTGGATCATCGGGAGTTGGAGAGCACAGTGACTTCAACAAGCTCATCCCAGTCCTTTTGAAACGGGGCAGTATTGAAGGTATGTTACCCAATATAATTCAACTTATTTCTTTATTATATTTAACAGCTTGGTGCAGAATTCTATCTTTCTGATCTCCAAACGGCAATTCTTTCGGAATGTGAGACCAGCCTAAAGAGACATTTACAGGATGCTTCAGCTTCTTTTCCAGACAGCAATGTCTTACAACTTGCAACTTCCTGGCCTCGAGGTCTTCAGATGATATTGGAGGCTTCAAAGACATGTCCGGAAAGGTTTCCGGCGGAGGTTATTCTCAGGAATGCTATAAAAGCTTCCTGTAGTGAGTCGGTTGAGCTGGCATTGAGATGGAAGAGCCCTATCCGCTATAGCGACCTATCACTTGCCACACAGCCACAGATTTACGATGGAGAGGTTTTTGATGTAATAGTCTCACGTCTTGTCTCCAGGCGAAAACGGCTTCAGCAGTTGGCGGAGAATAGTCTACCAGCAAATATTCTCAAGAGGTTCCATTTTTCGCCCAACAAACTCCTCGATTATCATGCAAATGAAGTCTGTCAGCTTCTCCGAAGTTACAAAATCCCAGTGACGAAGGACCTCCATGATGATTCGCATGCACGCTCTGTTTTTGACTGCATTAACAATAACGTGCCGGCAGCGGAGACACTATACAATGCTGGCTTCACTATTCTGTCACACAGAGATCGGCTGGGTCGACCAACACTGTTCAACTTGAAAATTGAATTTGACCTCGGGCCGTCCTATTTTGACATGTGCCAATGGGTTATATCGATACTTTCCCAAGCTGATGACCCCCAATTGACCAGGGACCTGTTGCCTGTACATCAAATTTCAACGACGATAGGAAAATGGTTCCTCCCCTGTGCATGCTTTTTGAATCGAGGCCCCAAACAGTATCCTTGCAGTCGATTCCAGTCCCATTTCCTGCAAAGTTTTTTCTGAATGTGGGCTAGAAGGAAATGGTTATCTCATCAAGATGCTTCTTTCAGACGGCATAACCCGAGATACCTGCTCCTGTGCATGTTCAGGTAACGGGTGCTTGCCGTCTACCTCTCTATTCAACGCGTACTTTCGATATCTGCGAGAGCTCCCTTCTCCAGAACTCACTTTGTCATCGCTTTTCCAGTTCATTGATGTGCTTCTAAGCCGAGATGGTGGGCACGCCTATTATTATGATAAGGTGGCTCCTGTTATCATACGGCTTGGTATATTTAATGAGCTTGAACTGAGCCACACTTGCTGCGCATTCTCAACTTCCAAACCTCCACAGCCTCTGAATATTACGGATGCTTTGCAGATTCAGGCGGAGGAAAACGAGGGCATTGGCCGTCTTGAATCTCTTTCTGCAGAACTCACCGTCAGATACTTTGAGCTTGGGGTGCCATGATCGGAATTCCTGAATGGATATTACAGGACAAGGATAGAGGAATTGCGGTCCGAAAGTGCAGAATTCGACGAAGAAGTGGCTCAAAAAATGAGAGAAGTCGGCGTTATAATGAAGAAAATATGAACAAGTCTGGATTTCTTATGCTTCGAGACCTATCTCAGGTTCAACAATATCACAGCTCTAATTTACTGTTGATCCCCCTCAAACTGCCACCAAGAATGAAGCCACCAACAGCAGAATACTGGCACTTCGTTCATGAGACTTACGGCCAGCTTTTGGTACCACAATGCAAAAGCGCAAGCACGCAAGCGCGTATACACAATCTGCATGCATTCCTGAATTTGAAGTATACAATGTAAAAGCAAGCGCTGCAACTAGGATCATAGAAAAATCCCACATTTCTCCACCTTGTCCTCAGGATCCGGCTTCACCACGTTGGACAAAACAAACTTCAACCAATGGAACAAGTCACTACTCCTTCTAATATCTCCAGACAATTTTACTGCGGTGTAGTCGGAAGTCACTGACAAGGGACCAGCGGATTTGGACCCAATTACCACCGCACGAACAAATATCTATACAAGTTAAGATGCCGTCAACGACAAGTGATTTGTTGGACCTACCGCGAGCTTTGAATGGCGCGCAAAATGTAGAACTGTTGGGATATCGCCATCGTCTCCCACAAGAGATCCCCAAGAGCTCACGTTGCCACTCACAGCGTCCGCAATTAGATTAATGCATTTATACATGTCTTCCACACCAGGGCTTTTCACAGCCACGCTCTTGCCCTCGCAGAGACTCTCGATGCGGATCCCTTTCGATACAAAGCATCTATGCACCAGGGTATGAAAATTCTGTGTTTGCGTTAGACGACGGTAAGGCCAGAGACAATACCAGGTACATACCAGAGCTTCACCCACAGAGTTGAATTGAAAGCGTCGTTGTCCGCCCTCGATCGTGGCATCCTCAGTCGGTGCTTCCGATTTAACCACCGACTCCTTCACGAACTCCACCCAGATGGCCAGTTCTGGCCTGATATTCTCATCCCGTATGATTAGCTCAACACTCTTGGGCGTGGAACGGAGCTGGATTGAGCCAAGAAGCAGCTCGGGTTTCGCAACGACGCCCACGGCACGCACAAAGTCCTATGGGTGTTAGAAGAGCTCAAATAGAGTACTCCGTGTATTGACCATACAATAACATATGAATGATAACTGAAATAGAAGATTTTGGTCGGCGGAGTGTAGACTTGGAACTCTGTCCTCAGTCCTTCCCACACACGCTGATCATCCTTCAAGGCACCCGCGATAGTATCACAAATGCGGGCCATGCTGTAATCCAGTCTCGACAGGCCTCGAGGGCCAGGCTTATGCGTTGTCCACAGTACCGATACTGTTGTTCCTTCCTGTGGAGGACGTTCAGCATGCGTCGCTGGAATGGTCAATGTCGCACATACCAGTCTAAGAAGAGCATCATGCCGGTTCTTGATAGTACTCGAACTTAGAAGGCTATGAAAGTCCTAATTCGTCGTGTTAGGTATTAAAGCGAACAGTCCAGGGAGGAGCTTACCACGGCGTCATCGACGGTCGCAAAGGTAAAGACCTTTCGGATGCCGTTAGGGGGGTCAGTCCGTATCCATCCAAGTCCTAACAACTTTCGTAGATCTTCGCCAAGTTTCTCCCTATCATTGCTCCCTTCCACTCTGGGAGAGAAGATCCACTCCTGTTGTGAGGCCATGGTACGTTGAGGTGAGAGTCTCTGGCTTCTCCTGAACGAGGTGGTTTCCGGAGGATTGATGCACTGGCGGGGCATAAAATGACATGTCGCGCGGGGTCGGTCTTGTGGACACCCAGGGATGCTGTATACCTTGTGGAAATCATGATGTTTGAATGGCTGGTAAGCAATAATTTGGGGGCGATCTCAAGGATTGCTTTCTCATAAGCTCTAGAACCAAGGTCTCCATCTTCTCGTTCGACGCACGCCCAGGCCACAGAAAGTAGACCATACCCAGGTACTAGCATTGACAGATAATGTCGGTGCAGAACGCCTTCTATACTTGAGGGCCGACACTAAAGCGACAGCTGGAAGTTACCCGAAGTGATTGATGCCTCTAGATTCCAATACGAACATATTCCTATAGATACATCACCCATGAAGACTCCAATCCCGAATCACAAACCAATATACACTGCATATAACTTAGCCGCCGGCAATGACCGCCAGGCCTTCATATATCTTTCGTTTCACGGCAAGGAAACTTCCAACTCCACGTCCAGGAGCAGCGTGGGACGCCTGAGCAGAAGCCTCGATCTCAATCTTGCCCGTGCCAGACTTGCGGACGGCGACGGTCCCGTCGATGAGGAGCGTTCCCTCACCGCGGAATTCCGCCCTGTGTCCGGCCCCCTGCATCAGCTTACGGAGATCAGCCAGACGCAGATCACCAACATGCAGCGGGCGAGTCATGGACCTCGTGCCGGCTGCCATGTTGGCTGGAAGAATATCCAGGAGAGGATACACATCGGTCTTGTCGGTAGTTGGCTTCGCTTGAACAGCCGTTGTCGCCGAAGAGTCCGGTTCGGTAGTTGTCGAAGCTTCGCCTTCTAATTTCTGCTTCTTGCTGGGTGCATCGGCCGTTTCGTCAGGAGGCGCGACATCAGGTCCTCGGACCTGTGCGGTCAGGGTGACCACGCCCAGACTGCGGACATGCTGCCATTTCAGACGGCGGACGAGATTGTTGCTCAGCTTGACCATCCACGCGTTCGTATCCACGCTAGCATCGACAACCTCGCCGTTGGCGGGCGTGAAGATAATCGCCGAGTCGGTCGAGGAAGCCACATCAACACCAGCCTTGGCCGCCAATAGTTTTCTGCACTCTGTGGCCAGTGCGGTTGTTTCGCCCTTCATGCCTCCGACAAGGATCAGCTTCCGAGGCTGAATGAGTGGAATGAGCATTTCCAAGCTGCGCTTATCGTGCAGACCTCGGAAATCCACAAAGGCAAGACGCGCATTAATCGTGAGAGTTTCCTTTTCATAGGTAGCTTTCGCAGGCCCCTCAAACGACTGGTCGGCTTCATCCTCTGACACCACCGCGTCTTCACCACCCTCTCCGTCCTCTGCAAGACTCAAGTCATCGGCAACGCTGGTATCCCTCCTCTGGCCATCAGACAATTGCTGGCGTTTCGATCCAGAGCCAGAGAGCCGACGTCCACCTGGCCCCGTCTCATCCCATCGGCGTTTCTGTCCCAGTTTCGTCTGAGATTCAGTCCGCCGTTGCTGCATGTCAACTTCCTCACGCTCCTCTGCTCGAAGGTATTCTTCGGGCCGGATGAACTCCCCATACTCGTCGCCTTTCTTTCGTGGAGCCACATACGGGAACATCCGCTCACGGCCCTTCTTACCACGCACGTCCCAGTCATACACATGCTTTCGCCGCAGGAGAATGTTAACACCGAGATCTTCATCGCTCAGACCGAGCTTGCTGCGGTTTGCGTGTGCAATAGACGTGGTGAAATTCAAGACTCTGCCCTGCTGCTCCGTCTCCGAATCTTCAGACGTAGAGCTGGACCGGTCGTCTAGTGCATCTGCGGTGTTGTCGATATTCTCCTGGCCTCTGGCTTGGGATGCGTCTTGCAGCTGTCTTTTCGTAGCAAGATATTGTTGATATAGCATTTGCTCGCCGGGATCAAGAGGCGCGCGTCGTACATCTGTCCAAGACAGCTCTCTGCCGCCGCTGTGCACCTGCTCGATCATTTCTCCATCCGCAGCTTTCTCCAAGGCTACGCCGTCTTTCCTCTCTTCATACCAATCCCAGATCATGCCACCGAGAGTGCGTCGTTGAGCGCCCTCCTGATCTTCCTGTAGCCGTTCCTTGTGAAGAGACTCGGTCAATAAGAGTAGATTATTTGAGCCTTCGGCAATAAGGCGCAGCGATTCCTTAGCGAAACCCCAATCCAACGAAGAATCGGACGCCAGAATGACTTTGGGCGTCTGGTCCGCCAGGATCTTTTCCAGCTTCTTCCTCCGCTCGACAAGCTTCAGGTTCTTGAATGTAAAAGGACCAACTCCCTTCTCATCCTTTTGTCCTCCAGGTCGCTGGATCGACTGGCCAGTCGTCGCATCAACACCTTCGGCCGCCTCAAACTCGCGAACGATATTCTCGTCCATCCATTCCAGCATGCTTCGCGCCAATCGCATCGTAGTGTGGACCTTTCTACCCGCGAGATACAGCCCAGCTTCTTTGAGTGTCTTATCCTCCGAGCCGCTGGCGGCAGCATCACGCCACGCATGTTCCAACGCGTAAGCCAGCTCCAGCACGCGCGCACTCGTGTCGGTTGGGATGAGAACCGTTCCACCCTTAGCCAAGGTACTCCGGATCATATCCAACAACAAGTCGTCGCGCTTCTTCCGTCCTCCAGGCAGGGCGAACTTGTCGCCCCCTCTCGTGCTGCAGACCAACGCAGTGGGCTTGCGCAGCTGTTCTATGACCTCCGTGCCGCTGGCTCCCGGCCCTCCGAACCACGCAGCTCCTGCCACGACACTCTCCCGCGCTTGGTTCCAGTCGACCGCATAAACAATAGACTCCATGCCATGTTGTATGTGCCATATCGTGCCTCCGACCGTGTGACCCGCATTGTAGGCAGTGAGCGTCAGACCGTTCAGTGGCGGCGAGAACGGCGACGGCGAAGGCTGGTGCGGCTGCGAGTATTTCAGAGGGTGGATGAGGGAGAAATATCTGGCGATTTCTTCGTTGGTCGGGGGCTGGAGAAGGATGCGACTGGGGTGGGGGGCATCCGCGCTGCCTTCGCCTTCTGTGGCTGTCGCTCCGGCAGATGCCGCAGACGTGCCCGCGCCTGGTTCCGATATCGAGGCCTTGGGGAGGAAGGTTGCTGCTAACGGGGCAGATGCGTATAGGTCCTGCAGAAGAGTGCGACCGAGCGCGATGACGGGGCTTGTGGCGTAGACCGGGATCTGGGTAAATAGAGGGAATGTTTTGCAACAATGAACGAAGGCGCCGATATGCGCAGGGGTCGCATGAGTGAGGAGGATGAGGGAGAGAGTCGGTACGTGTCTGTTGAGTATGGTTAGATGAACGGACGATTCATTATAGGATGTGACCGAGCAGGGGTCGAAAGTGTGTACTTTTCCAGTTCTTGCAGGACTAGAGGATCGAAGGTGTCATCCCAACCCACGTCAACGAGGATCTTGATCCCGCCATCGAACTCCAAAATTGATTGCGACGCTTTGGATGACGATGACTGAGCACCAAGAAGCGGCGTAAACGTGAACATTGTGGCGAGTTGAAGCGTAGCTTGTCAGCTCCAGTGCTGCCGACTAGGGATTTGGTGATCGGACAGTTGAAATTGTCGGTAGACTCTGGTACGATTGGGGCCGACAATGAGGGGCATAGAACCCACAATTACTGCTTCATTGTTAACTTATCAATGCCCCTAGCACTGTAACGTGGGCGGAGTTGTGGGCGGGCGCGTGGTTGATGATGCGATGGTTGGTGGTGATCGGGAGACAATGAAGCATCCCAAGAGTCGTGTTTGTCTTGTTTGCACCAATCAATGACTACGAAGTATACACAGGGAGCCAACATCCCTCCCAATACTCTTTGTTCAAGATATGTTGGTGTTGAAATAGTCTGTTATGTCTGTCCCTATCAAATCATACATTTTATGTTCCTATCTGAGAGGACTGCACCCAGGTGGAAGCAGACATATCACCTTTCTCTATCTGAAACCAGCATATTTACCATGTCGCAATTCTTTCAGCACTGGGTGGATTGACTCCATGTCCAAAATTGGATGAACATAGCGCTATACAACCAATAAAAAAAAGTACAGACAGCGTCTAACAGTAAGTACATACAGGAAAGTGTTAAACAAAACTGCTGCGAGACCTGATCTACAACACAATTGCACAACTGACAAGATAAAATGTCTGGTAAAGTGAACCATCACATACTCGACAGTTTTGTGAGGATCTGATGACAACATCAATCAGTCGGCGCTTTGCGCTTTTGTCCCTGCTGGCCCCTGCGTGGCATGAAATGGAACATCCGCGCTGCAGAAGGCTGGCGAGGTAGCACGCGAGATGCTGCTGTGCTGATATCTTTATCGACGACGCTCCCAGCCCAGACTGGTATGCGCCGAAGCACTACTGAAGGAAATATGTTGTCATGGCCTCCTTCTTGTTGCATACGGGTGATCACGTCCCACGGTGCCCAAAGAACGCCGTTGTTGTTCTCGGGGCCGGTTTGATGGGGACTGACTATCTCATGCTCATCTAACATTCCGCGTATGAATTATATCAGTTGCTGTCAATATGATCAAAAGTGCAAAGCTAAACAGGCCCTTACCTTGAAGATCATCTTCCAGGGACATGGAAGGACTCGGGGATCCAGTAGGGACAGTGCGAGGATCATCACCTATTCGAGACAAAAGCATTAGCCCAGTGAGTTCATCGGGGTCCCCTTTATACCCGCGGAATGCCGCTATGCAAGGGCCATCGCCGAGAATGCTGCTTCCAAGTTTCCTATCAACGCCCAACCAGCATCAGCTGTACAAAACATACATGAACCGTTATTCTCTAGAAGGCGCACGGATTACTATTACATCACCTGATAACCTTGAAAGCATACAGGAAAAGACACAGGAACATGCCCAGGACCAAAAAGGTTACGAGGAACCAAAGCCACTTATACTCACCAACATGGAGGATTGGCCCGTCATCGGTGCCTTCGTCACAACGAAAATGAGTCCCGGTTTGGCTTCGTTGATCCTCAAGGTCGCTGCTGCCCGAGTAGCGAGTATCGAGGGATTTTGCACGATCAAACGTATTGGTACTTAGACCATCACTAATAGTCGTGCTGTAATCCTCGGAAGCGGGTGATGGTGATCCAGTGTCTGGGGCGTATTGGCCTTTCGTTCACCTCGTCAGCATGTATTTGCAGGAATAAGGGAGCCGCTGCATACCTGGACGTGTGGCTAACACAGGGCGTTCATAACCCCGGAAATATTCGACAGTACTGTGTGTACCTGCTGGCGGAGCATACTTCTGACCAGGAGGCGGCGGAGGAAGAAGCGGAAGGGGGTCTTCGACGTCGGCCACCTTTAAAGCAAAGGGGCCCGTTCTAATCTCGGATCTCACGGTGTCTCTGAATACGGGGTCGGCGTATGCATCCTGAAGATACTTGTATCCGATCCTGTACACCTCGCTCTGCCTCATCTCCGAAGAGCCAATAGCCTCACCAGAATCGAATACCCATTGCAGAGGCTGATCAGGATCTCCTGGCTTACGTTTGGTAACAGGCATGATCACCCAGCGTGGGGGCTTGGAAAGATATGAGAAGCCAATATGGTCCGGATAACGTGTCTTGGTGGAGCCCATATGCCCTGCACCTAGGATAGGGGGCCGTTTCACAACTCGCCCAGGTGCATCGACAAAACTCTGTGATCTCAGTTGGCTGGTACTCATCGCCGGTTTGGGTTTTGCCGGAAGTTGTGTCGGACTCCGCAGATACGAGTCGCTGGACGCAGTGCTAGGGTGACTGTACCGACGGGATCTGGACAATTGGTGCAGCCCGGGTGTATAGGAATTGGGACGGCGCGTCTTTGGCCGATTCAAGTTATTCCATCTGGTTGTTCCGATAGTGTCTGACTCGTTTTGCGATAAATCTTGCGTGTCGGGTGCCGTTTCTAAATGCTCGACTTCGGGGCCATCCACCGAAACTTTCTTTGCAGATGACAGGTCGGGCTTCTGGTTTCGTGGTCGGCGTGATCTCGTCATTGCAGAAGGTTGCAGCTCTTTTAGGAATGAGATATCTGAGATACTGTAAGCCATTATAATCACAGGCGCATGCAGATTGATACATACCTCAGATGTAGACAGAATGTTGCTCTAGTGAATGAATGCGCCCTCCCTTGAGACGGAATGGATACTACGAGGTATCAATGTGAATGATCGAGGACTTCCAGTTTGCAAGGGGAATGCTTCACCTTTAGAATGACCTTCTTTGTTAGCCTTCAACCGAATGATGTCTTTGTTAGAAAGATAAAAGAACCACAAATAAGGTGAGACTATTTCTGGATATGTCGAGAGCACTGTTTCTGCTTATGTTTCTTTGTTGGACTCTTCGTGCTGTTGTGACTGAACTCGTGACACGGACGCCTGGGACGCAGTACTGAGCCACAGAAGTTTCCAGATAATAGTCTGGATAACCCATTAGCTAGTCAAAACTAGGATGATAGGGTTTGAGTCGGACCGGCATACTTGAGACAACGCGAAAAGAGGGCAGAGCTGGCTTCGAGATGCCAAGATGGGGAAATCGGTGTCTATGTACTTATAGCCAGCCGGCTTTACGGCAATACGCACAATATGCACGCAAAGAATTCAACAGACTGTGCGACATGGATGAATCTGTCTCAAGGCCGTCGAGATCTAGCTCTCCCGGGCCAAATACCCACGAATGACTGCAGGACTACCGGTCCAGGAGGGGGCGACTGCCAAAGAGTCTATGGAAGATGCTTTTTCCTGAACGATCACGCTCAGGGACAAAGAGAGAAGCAGGAAATGTGCGGAGTAAACACCCCATATAGTGATGCAATACGGCCACTGCTGCCTAGCAGCTTGTCGTCGGAATCAATTGCCATTCAATGAAGATCCGTAGTTGGGCGTATGCCGATCCGACAGAAGGGGTCTAATTGCATTCCACGCGGATTCCTGCCATTCAGCGTAGAACAGGAGAGCGCTTGTGAAGGCGGTAAAAAGGGCTATCTCCCTTTTGCTCTACAGGGCTGGAATGTGAAGAGCTTGGAGAAGTCGCGTCCTATGGGGGTTTCTGCGTATGATGACCAGGACACAAGACAAGAAGCCCTTCTATTGCATCATTCAATGACAGACTTGTGACAACAATGACCTCAGGCTTATGAGAGGACAGTAGGAATACATGGAGTTGTAGAGAAGATCGCAAATTCCAACCCTGCATGTGTCATATGCCTCTTGCTTACAGCCTTTCTACCATTAATGTATTTCCACTACGGGCCAAAACTGTTATCGGATAGACACGGAAGTATACGTCGTACCACCATGTTGAGCAATGTGGATCCGTTCAACATCAGCATTAAGAGATCCAAAGGTGCCTCTTACAACCTAGAAGTTGAGCTGACACTGGTAACATGATCAGAGATAATAGGATTGTGGGATCCATCAGTGAAATATTAGAGACTACCAGAAGAGATGGATGATGGGAGTACTACAATGCAACTGCACAATCGTAGGGCTTTTCTTCTTGACTGATTCAAGTGTCTGTCAACTAGAATCACAACTTTATCTGGTAACCGAACAAATCGGTGAGAGTGAAGTGATAAACAGCCTAGTAATATGCTTTCAAGGCAGCTTGTCCAGCCCAGTTGCCCCCTTCATTGCTCGGTCCTAGGCAGCAAATATCAGCAGTCAATCCATATCGAAGAGGAATGAGAAATGGAAGAGCACAATACTACACACCAATTTACCTGTTGGCACGTATTTGGACATTAACTTCACCATGGAGGCCACAGCACCACGCCACACGGGTCCTGCAGCTCCGCCCAAGGTATCCTTAACAATCCCGCGAGCAAAGTCTGCCGGCGCGCTCTTACTCGATACATCATTCCCGACGCCGCGTTTTTGAATTTCCGGGAGCACCTCTTGGTACAGTGAGTCTGCGGGCAGGTTTATGTCGAATACGACATGACATTTGTGGCGACGGCGCCGGTGACATTCGAACATAATGTACCTTTCACGGTGAGGTACAACCTATCCAAGTACGACAGAGTGAATGATCTTGGAGTAGAACATCCTACACTGCGGTGGTTTATTCGGAAGTAGGGTAGTCAAGCAGATACATATCGAATGGAGGTGTTCGAACAGAGAATCCATAGTATTCAACACTAGCAAGTAGCCATCAGAATCTTGGACTGATGGTAATACTCTCTTGAAGCTTCGATGATCGCAAATTAATTACTCAGAACTGTAGTTAAAGAACGTGACCCCCGCATGACGATGAGCAAGGTCTAATTGAAATATCTGGGTTCGTCAAAGACATGATAACGGTGTCCACGGACTCCCTGGCCGCGGAAGAGGCTGGGGAATCTGCGTCCTTCCGGCACCATTTCCTCCGGAATGAACATGTCGTTCTCAGACTCGGGTTCGCCGATAGCAAACTTGCCCACCTATGGAACGATATTAGTAAAACGGGGGGCATAAAGTCTTCTCTGGTCAGACATACCTGGATTTCGGTGTCGGTGATGGAATCGCGGCTGACACGGGCGTATCCAACCTTCCTCAATTTCTTGTATAGGATGTACTCGCACCACCTGTCCCAATCCGTAGGGTCGATATCTTTCATGCCGCTCAGTTCGCTGACATACGTGTTGTAGTTACCCTCCAGGGGTTTCGTGACAAGATAACTCAACAGAACTAGCGGACGAGTAGAGCTACCCATCAACTTGGCCAGGTATTCAGACTGGAGGCGACGGTCCTCTGGATCCTCCTCCTGACCAGAGTGGAAGACAACCACATCGACCAACTCCCCATACATATCGAGGGTAGCATGAATGGCTGGCGCCAGTTCACCGACGGGGGAGGGAAGAAGATGATGCGTGGAGTTAACGATCGGGAATTTGGAAAGTAGAGCAGAACCCCACGTGTGCTTGTTGGGACCGGGGCCGAAGTCCGCATACATTCCCAAGTCCTCAGCCAAGGACTGAGTGATATCACGGTTACCCATGATGATACGCTGGTTATCGGATTCAAGGAGACCGATAACATCGAGCTCAAGCTCCTCGATAACGTTCTTCATGCGACGTTCCGATGCCCACATGTCATTGTCGAGACCGAAATGAACAGTCCAAATGCCCATCGTGGCAAGCTTCTCGTCCTTGTGATACGGAACGTAGTCGTTGGTAGGGAAGCGCAGATATGCCACGGAGATAGAAAGGAGCTGCAATGCCACGAGCACGTAGGTATAGTACGAGCGTTGTCTTCTGCCACTGGGGCTGATGGTCTTACTCTTGGGGGTGGAGGAGTTTGTCACACCAGCTGAGAAAACTCCGGCTCCAATGGAGAGCATGGTCACAGTCATCAGCCAGTCCGTGTGCTCACGCACAAGGGGGCCACCAGGCACGAAGGCGTATGCAACAACCCAAACATGGAAAAGGACCAGGAACATGTACAAAAACATGCCAATTCCGAACGTGGTGGCTGGTGAGTGGCGCACAGCCGAGGAAAGCAGGACGGGAGCGACAGCCAAAAGATAGAATGCGAGGATAAGGCCGCCGTAGAATCCAGTCCAGTGGCTGTAGCAGGTAACCATGGCCGCCCCAAGCGAGCCGATGCCAAAGGCAGTCCAGCTTCCTGCAGCCGCAGGATAGAACAGACCGTAGACCAGGCCAGCGCCCATCACGAAGATGGTATACGCTCCGTGAGGAACTGCGATTGGGCCCCGGACAGGGTAACCATCCCAGACCCAAGAAATCATAGTGCTAGAATCCGACAGCATGGAGTGCATGGCAAAAACGAGACCTCCCACACCGAGAGCAGCCAGGATAGGGGAACCCTTCCGGCCGGTAGTGGGGAAATAATCTCCTCCACTGGTTGGGGCACGTCTGTAAGACCGAAGTGCGGCGAGGACCGCCAGAAGCAATCCAAGCTTGTTCCAGCCGCCATTTTCAGCATGCATGATGGGCCAAACAGGGTTGTTAGTCCTGCAGGCGAACTTTGCAATGCTCGACATGATCAAGCCGAGACCCCAGGCGAAGATCCGAGATTCGAGACGGGAGCCATTAGCTCTCTCCGCATACAAAGTCGCGGTCCATGACAAGCAGCCGCAGACGACAGAGAAAACAATCAGGAAAAGGCGGTTGGCGGGATCCTGCACCTTGTAGGCAAGTAGTCCAGAGATGGACAGAAGATGCAAGATACGGGGGTTACGTGTGGCGAGAGTTTTCAGACCCGGAATGGCGAGGAGAGCTGGCGCGGTATACGCCAGAATGGCAACCTCATAACCGGAAATGCCCATGTACCAAAGAGGGAAATCTGTGTACGTCAGAGAGCTGCATGTATGGGGGAGTCCTCAGACGACTTACACCACACGAGAACAGGGAGAGCCGTCCACAGGGACCAAAGGACAAACTACAAGTGGTTAGTCGTAGCTCTGATATGCAGTAAGGGGCTGTGTCTTAAAATACCCCATTGTAGGCATCAGCGGCAGCGTCAATGATTTCTGACCAGAAGAAACCTTCGCCAAAGGTGTTTCCAACGGGCTTGCCCTTCCTGTCTACGGGTTAACGGAGGGTGATCGGATGCTCATGGAGAACAGATTATACACACTCTTTTTCGAGAACGGAATCCGCGGTGGTCTTCAGCTGCCTGGAGATTTTGAATCTTAGAACAAATCCTTCAAGTACCAACAACCATCGTTTGGCAACTGTACATTTTCCTCTCCCGGTTTACTTTGGAAGCCACTGTACATACCCTCTGCTAACACCTTTGACATCCCGCACCACGATTTCAAACGCTTCAAAGTCAAGGGCGGTGACCGCGTCGAATCCAACATCAAAGAGGATAAGGGACCATTCGAAGAAGGCGTATCTCGTGTAGGCTAAGCGTGGATAACGGTTAGAATTATCGTGAGTGAAGTCAATAGGCTGTGCATCTCACCTCCAGGAACTTTGTGGACTTTGTGCTGGATGAAGTAGTAGATCAAGGGCACAAGTGTGCCAAAGAACAAGCTTGCCAAGACCTTCCGGTACTTGACAGCACGGCGGTTGTTCGGGCTAAGGGCGAGACATCCGAGGGTCCAGGGCAGAGTCGCAACAAGGTAAGAGATCATAAAGATGTCGTGCCAGTCATGATCATCCGTCGACGTAACATATGTCCAGCCACCGCAAGTAAACGTGCGGAACAGTCCGACCCCAGCGACCACCTTTGGCAGAGTTGAGTTCGGACGTGCAGTCAAGACGTACCACAGAAACACGAGAGCGAAGCGGGGACCGGAGGTAATAGCGATGAAGACTTGGAAGAAGGATCGCTCGGGGTATCGATCACCGATTGTCGCTGAGACGGAGGGGAACCATTCGTCGGGGTAACCGTAATGTTCGTTCTGCACGATTTTGTGGAAATGCAGGTACATCCCAACCACCAGGGCACTAAAGAACGCGGTGTAGGCCACCGCCGTATGTGCCCAGGAGACCCATTTCCCATTAAACTGCCAATCCGTTCAGCATAAAGCCTGGGGGTCACCTGGTAGGGATCAATGAGCAGGACTAACCGCTACAACGGCGTCCCCGTCCTTGTACTTGGGAGCCATGACAGCGCAGGAGACCTCGGGAGCGTCTCCAGTGACACCGGTATTAAAACGAGTGGGGGAAAGGAAAAGGAAGGGGATTAGAAAACGATCTAAAAAGAGCGTAGAGAATAAGAAAATATAAAGAAGTAGACGAAAGACCAAATTAGGAAAATATCAGGAAATCAATGTCAGAGCCCCTGAGGCAGACCACGCAACTGGGGGAGAGAAACAACCAAATCAACACTGAACTGGCGATTCTCCGGCTTCCGCAGACGCTAGTCCCAATAGGGCAAGCGGACAAGCCCGCCCGCCTAGACACGGTTTTTCTGCTGCGGGATACCGACAACTTTTTTCTCTGGAGACCAGAGAACTTTCCTGTTTGACCGAGCTCGTGTCAAGTTAGTCGAAACCATCGCAATCATGTCTGCTGCGGCGGATAAGGCTCGCTTCTTCTTGGAGAAGTCGGTGCCGGAACTGAAGGAATTTGAGAGGAAGAAAATCTTCAGCAAGGTAAGGAGTCTTTTTATGATAGATGCGACAGCTCACTGACGACTGCTGCTTCTATTCGTGTAGGAAGAGATCACGTCTATCGTCAAGAGGAGGTCGGATTTCGAACACAAGCTCAATGCGCGAGGCGCCAAACCGGCCGACTTTGTGCGGTACGCAGAATATGAAATGAACCTGGATACCCTCCGGCGCAAAAGAGTAAAGCGGCTCGGTATTAGATCGGCAGGATACTCGGGACAGCGACGGATTTTCTTCATCCTGGACCGCGCCACACGCAAATTTCATGGTGATATTGGTCTCTGGGTCCAATATATCGAGTATGCCAGAGAACAGAAAGCGTTCAAGAAGCTCTCCACCATATTCACGGACGCTTTACGACTACACCCGACGAATGCAGAACTCTGGGCTTATGCGGCGCAATACTCTATGGAGGATCATGCGGATATGACGCAGTCAAGGAGCTACATGCAACGCGGACTGAGGTTTTGCAAGAACTCCCGGAAGTTGTGGATTCAGTATGCGAGGCTAGAGCTGATCTATATCACCAAGCTCGTCGCTCGACGACGCATCCTGGGTTTGGACGAAGCTGAAGCTCCCCGAAAGGCGGTTGAGGATAGCATGGATGCTGACGCGGATATGATCTCTCTCCCCAAACTCACTGGAGAAGATATCAATCCAAGCGCCGGGGGAGAGGGAGGAGACGCGGGTGGAAACGACCAAGTGGCACTGCAGAACCTCAATGCCACGCCTGCCCTCAGCGGAGCCATCCCTATGGCGATTTTTGACACTGCGATGAAGAATTTCAACAACGATGATCGGTTCGGGCACGAGTTTTACGACATGGTGTTCGAGTTCGGAGATATCCCGTGCCTGAAAAAGATTCTGGGTCATGTGCTCGAGGCGATGCAGGCTTCGAAACCCACCAGCCCTCATACCCTCATTTGCTATATCAAGTTTCCCACCGCCGGCGTCTCGGTTACATCTGCAGACTTCCCAGGGGCTCTGAGTGCATCGTTGATGCGGATGAGGGACCACCGAGAAGACCCGAATGTCGCGAAAGAAATCATTGGCTGGCTGCAGCCGCTGGAGAACACGGAGAACCTGGATCCGGCCTTGCAGAAGGCCATTGGTGCTACTGTACGGAACGCAGAGCGGGTTGTGCAACAGTAAGGGGTTGTTGGGTCATCACATGGCATCGGAAGGCGTTCACTGGTATATTGATTTATTGCTTCGTCGTCATCGGATTCGAACACAGAGCGCCACTTGAGTATATGAATTGTGAACAGTGCCGTAATCATTCATCATATTTACTACCGCGGCGACTGCTTTTCTTGCTGCTATGCAGTTTTTTAAACTTGATTCTAGCCTCATTCTCAGCCTTTTTCCTGGGCATCGTTAGCAGCTGGTCGAATGAACGGCCGGTATGTATGGGAAATATTATGAATAAGATATAGTAAACTTACAGTTTATGCACGCGGTCTCTTTGGGCTTGGGATGTTTCTCCCGGGATAACATCCTTGGCGGTGGTCTTGAGGAGTTGGTGGAGCTTGTCGTAACAGGACTCGACGTTGGCCGCCTGCTTCCGGGATTCCTCTGCGTGGATGACCAGTGTCTCAGTCCGCTCTGCGAAGTAGCGGGATGTGCGAAGCGAGGGATGAAGAACGCGCGGGACCAGAGGGAGAAGAGATGCCAAGGGGACTTTTAGAGTGGCTTTGGAGTTGACTCTATTTAGATGATCACGAGTTAGTTATTTTGTCAGGGACGGACCGGGATATTGTCAGGACGGCGTTGGTGGTACGGACTTGTTGACGTTCTGGCCCCCGGGACCTCCCGAGCGACTGAAGGAGATGTGACCGATGTGACGGGGGAGGGGATGCGCGTCAAACCCCACAAGCCATTGGCGGGCTGCCTCGAAGTCATCGTCGGAGTATTCGTGGGTCGAGTGTATGGCAGCTGCACGTCGCGAGGCGAAGGCTCTTGTAAGGGAGATGGTGGGGGCTGAGGAGAAGGAGAGAGGCGGGGGAGCACCAAGTCGCGCAATCCGTGGGAGATGTTGTAGCATATTCGGACTTTTCCCGGATTAATATTTTTTCTTCTCTTATTTCCCTTTTATGTATTCTCGTGTTATGCTGTGCTGTTTTAGTCTGTAATGTGTTTGATTGTATTTGACAAATGTTGGGTGTTGGTGTACGGAGTAGTGAACACAATCAAATGATGGTAATAGAACAGGACAGTGGTACAAAGCGACATTGAATTAAGGATGGGATGCTAACCAGTAACAAGCACGAGGATCATCCCAGGAAGCCAAGCTAGGGAGCTTTTAGCCCGACGGACGAGGCCGCTGTTCCAGGGGACCCGTCGTTCCAAAATAATAATTAAAGAATTAATCGGAGCTCGCATTGATCGGCTACGATTACCGTACCTTACTTGGATGTCTCAGCCGGCCGATCCGTGGACTTTGGGACTGGTGGTACATGGAACCTACGTCTGGCGTACAACCTGCAGGATATACCTACGTACTAGGTATCTAACATATGCACCTTATGTACCTTTACATAGATGCGTACTCCGTAGGAGCAGGTAACTACTACGGTGTACCCTATACTACTCCGTATAAAGAAAACGGCAATAGTCCGTCGGAAAGGGTCTGGACCTGCAGACTAATAAAGAGAATTTTTAAGGTATAGGCGGTGACTAATCCCAGGAGCCAGCGGGCAGACGCCTTGACCCACCACTAATGCTCAATGAGGGAAGAACGTGGACACCCCAAAAACTCTGACCGTCATGCTCCGTACACGAAAGATTCCTTGCGCCTTCCAGGTTCTTCCATCCCTCATTCTTCCCTCCGGCTCTGTCTCCTTTCTCTTCCCCCCATCACCAACCCGGATTTTGATGGTCGGATCATCCATTTACCACATTCTGCCGTCATCTTGCGTGGTCCAGATCCCTCCCTCTGCTGTGATAACCTCCTCTTCGCCAGTCTTTCTACCCTTTCACCAGTACTAAGTGGAACCGTACGACGGCCTAGTTACTTGCAGACTGCCGACGTCCGAGCTTTATTTACATAACCCTCCCTCGATCTTCACAGCGTCGAAACTTCTGCCTTTCGTGTCATTCCACCCTTCCTTCTCCTCCTCCTCATACTCCTCCCACTGAAACACCTTCGGTGTTCTCATCTTCTCCATCGCGCGTTTTCCCATCATTTCTCCCTTATCTCCCTGACGAATCGCTTCCAACGGCCCCGGTTCCTTCTCCCAAAGATAGAAAAGCCCCACCTTAGCTTGGGCGGGTTTGAAAATCTCCATTATTACGTCCTCGTGACTTGCCTCCTCTCCTCCTTTCTTCGATCGCCTCGCCTGTGTGTGGTTTTGTAGATGAATCTCTCCCTCCTCCGCGGTCTACATGACTCCCAGTCCCCCAGATGAAGCTTTCCAGTTTCGAGGCGAGACCCTGACTCCCGAGAGCCCTCGTCCGCTGCACATCGCGGAGCCCGCCAATATCCCTGTGCTGCAGAATCAAATGGACCCTGTGTTCAACGATACCTCGACTTATGAGAAGTCCGACTCGGCTCTTGGAAATAGTTCCCAGGCATATCACAATGGTCATGGATCTCGGGAGGATGGCTATACTCACCCCGCAGAGGGTAGCGGGCATACGTCGTGGTTGAATCATCCCGGTCAACCTCCGCCACCCGCCCAGCATCAGCAACACACACAAGGTAGTTCTCACTCTGATCCTCTCCGGATGGACGAGATGTCCAGCACGAATGCACCCACGTCTTCATCGGCGACCCCGTCTGCACCCTCCGCCCGTCCTATGGCCCCAGCGACCTGGACTCCTGTCCCAGATGCCCAAGCAAGGTCTTCTCTAACCACTCTGCCTCCATCAGATATAACACACACTGTCCCCGATGTCCCTCCCCCTTCTTCCCATGTCGCTCAACATTTTCCCAATGCGAGCGCGGTAGGCCCGGCCGTCAACAATTGGGCGCCCGAGTCCGTCCCGCAGGACCGTCCAGACGCCCAAGGCAAAGTTGCAAATTCTACCGGTGAGGATGGTGTGGATTTCCAAAACCTCCTCGATAATCTTCCCCCGTCCACTACGGCCGCCCCGTCTGCGGATGCAGTCCCTCAAGCAGCAACGGACGAAGCGCAGCAGTCATCCCCGGGCCTCCCTCCTCGCCCCCCTCCCCAGGAGAAGCCCTCCATCCATCCTAATTACCAGCCCAGTGATGATATCCGTTCCTATCATCAGATCCCTCCCCAAAACCCCAGCTCGCCTTCCTCCTACTCCGCCCAACAGAGTAATTACCAGTCGAATGTCGGGGCCCCTTCTTTGGCCACCGCTGGTGCTCCGGGGACATCGTCATCGGGTGCTAGTGCCCTACCGCCCCCTCCAGGTCCTAGTTTCCAGCAGTCCTCTCCCGCGGAGTCCCCGGGTTCCTCTCCTGGGGTACAAAGAAGCGGTCGTGGCGATAGACAGCCAGCTCGCTCTGGTAAGGATGAGGATACTCCCTGGGGCCCCGAGGTGCAGAAGAAATATGATGAGTTCTTGCATGATGAGCGAGTATATGTCACAGAAGGTCTCTGGGATCGCTTCCCACCGGGGTCCAGGCTGTTTGTCGGTACGTATCAGCTGCCCTATACGCTCGTCGGTTGTCGTGTCACTGATCAATCTTGTCTATACAGGCAATCTACCCACTGAGCGAGTAACTAAACGCGATTTGTTCCATATCTTCCATAAGTACGGTAAACTCGCGCAGATTTCTATCAAACAGGCCTATGGTTTCATACAATTCCTCGAATCGAGTGCTTGTAAGCAGGCGCTCGATGTGGAGCAAGGCGCTGTGGTCCGAGGTCGGAAAGTCCGTACGTATCAACAGCCTTTGATCCTCCAAAGAGAAGGAAAAAATGCTGACTCCGCTACCAGACTTGGAGATTTCGAAGCCCCAGCGTAACACCAGACCCGGTCCGCCCTCTGCGGAGGCGTCCCGCGCTCCACCACCGAGACGCTCGAGATCTCCCGAGTTCAGTCGAGGCGGTCCTCCTGGTGGTCGCAATCCCAGAGCCCCCGGGGATCGGTATGACCGATCGTATGAATCGGGTCGCGTCCCGTTCAGCGATTTTCGGGATGAACCTTCACATCGCCGACGGGACGATTATCGGCCACCTCGCTCCCCATCGCCGCGTGCGTTCCGAGGAAGAGATGGCTACCGCTCTCGGGACAGAACTCCAGAGCGGTATGACCGACGAGAGCGACGGCGATCTCGGTCTCCGTATACAAGGGACAGAAGATATCGCAGCCCAAGCCCGAGAGCACGGGCCTTTGATGCCGACTCGGACCTGCCTGTACCTAGAAGAAACCCTCGGGATGTACCGGAAGTCCAAATCCTCGTTCTGGAGGAAGTGGATCGGTAAGTTGCTTTTCCTCCTGAGAGCTTCGAGGCCAGACTCTAACCATCTGCAAAGCAACTTCATATTCTATGTCGAGAATGCCTTCCGCAGTCGTGGCCTCCGAGTGGACGTTCTGATGCTCGGCCCGCGCATTCCACTTAACGCCGCGGTCCAACGCCAAATCATTGAAGGAGTGCTTGCCGTTATAAGGCTTGCGCGTCCCAACCAATTTTCTCGGAAGATTCCACTGCAAGTGTTTGATCGGACTGGGGGACCGGACAATGTGCGGTTCAATGGTAAGAATACATCCTACGTCAGCTTTCTTCATATGGACTCGCGTATTAATCTCCGATAGAATACCCTGACGTTGACCCCAATGTCGCTGCGGAAATCGTCTTCCACGCCACTCAATCGTTGCAGCGTGGAGGGCCTCCCACCCCCTTCCCTCCTAATGCCGCCGCGTTTGGAGTACCACCACTCGCGCCGGCACCGATTCCGCAGGCCCCGTTACCGCCTCTCACCAATCCGCCAAATCTGGCGAACTTAATTACCTCACTCGATGGGCCCACTTTGCAATCCCTTCTAGCTGCCCTTCAGCAGCGTCCGCCGGCTATCCCCACAGCGCAGCCGACCTTTGCCGGCGCCAGTGCCCCCCACAGCGGTGCAGATCTGGCAAGTCTGTTGAGCGCTGCGACTCGGCCGGCTGTGCCGGCTAATCCGCAACAGCCACTTCCACCGCAGTCCTTTCCCCTCCAGGCACCTAATGCTCCCGCGGTGTCGGATCCAAACCTCATCTCCCTGTTAGCCAAAGGCTTGGGCGGACAACAGCCTCAGAGCCAGGCCGGTGTGAGCCCACATGTACAGAATATCATGAACCAATTGGGCAAGTGGAAGCAATGACTTATGATACCGTTTCCTTATTGTCTTCTTATGCTTTTCCTTCAACTTCCGGATTTGATTACGTTGCAGGTCCTGCAACCATTTCAGGTGTCGGGCGTTTGTCGAATGGTCGTTTGCAGTTTTGCGAAATCGGTATGGGATTAAGCCATCAGGTACGGTCATGATGGCGTGGTTGTTGGTCACTTTTGCTTTTTCTATCACATCTCGTCGGCATACTTGGACGGAGTGCAATGGTTTGTTTTTATGTGAACGCTGAGATGTTCGCGCGATAGAAACTTCGGGTATATGGCGTCTCAGCGAGTGTGATCTTCAGGTGCCGCTCGTCTGGTATTATGATTACTTTAGTATAATATGGCGCATAGCGAGTTGTTGGAGCAAACGAACATAACATATTCGGTATGAATGAGAGCTGGAATACGTTCAGTTACCTAGAGGTTGTTTTGGGCACGGGCTTATGAAGTTTGAATGGACATCACATTTGAACCGTTAGATATGAATGGGGAGAGCATAGATATGGTACAGGGAACCTCTGCGGTTCAAGGTATAAAGTATCTGTTACACTGATTGCCTTCGTCGGTCTCGTCCTTTTTCCAATTGCCTTTTCGTGTATCACCGCGGAGTCCAACCCTGTGCCTTCAGATCCTGGACTTTGGCCGCATCTTCCTTCTTGATACGCTCGATCGTCTTGTCGCGGTTATATTCCATCACCCGCTTCTCCTTGAAATACTTGACCTATTTCTTCGAGTTAGCGACAACAGCCCAAGAAAGAAAGGTACAGGCATATGAACCCGCATGATATACATACCCATGTCTTGGAGCACGCATTCTCAAACTCTGCAATCTCCTTGGCGCATTTTCGGCGGGCCTCCTTATCGTCTTTGATCGCGTCGATGATGTTATTGTCATCCAGGCAGGAAAAGAAGAGATCGCGGCCTTCCCAGCAGCGCTGCCGCGAGGTTCGATCGGGTGCTATGCGGCCGCCGTCGGAGGCGCGGTTCGAATCGGAAGACCAGGGAAACCAGCCCATTGTGGTAGAATCGCGGGGTGTCGAGAAGTTGAGGAGAGAACAGTAGCGGGAGAGGTGTCGTTCAAAGAGAGCTGTGGTGATGTATGATCCGGAGATGGTTGTCGTGATGATAGCAAGTCCGTCACTGGCTTTACGGTATGCAAACAATGCAAACTGTAGGTAGTCTGCTGTCGGGGACCTCTGTTTACTGTCTTGGGACGGTCTTGGCCTCCTTATATATTGTCTGTAGACTAATCGTATGCTGTTCCTCTATTTTCGCTCAGAGGAATACAGCTACCCACCGAGGCAGTGATACTGGCTCAACAACTATCTACGCAACGAGTCGTCTGTCTGGTGAGCGACAACACGTGTGGCTTGGCATAGTGTGGCGCTCGAAATCCCCGAAGTGGAAACGCAACCCCCAGCAAACCTGCGGCCACCTTCATCTTGTTATCTACAGTTCTTCCTCCTCTCTGTGACCACTACAAGATCCGCTTTTTATCCCACGGCATCAGCGGCTTACATCGACTATTTCGCGCTCTTTCACACCATTCTGCCGCCTCGCGGATCACTCAACCTCTACCGGGCTTGATCCTCCGCGGAGTTCAGCCTACGGACGACACATCGCAGACCTCACCGGTCTTGCTCCGCCCACCATACAGTCAACCGCCATCACCATCCCTAGTTCATGCCCCCGCGCCGCCGTGCTCCTCCTGCGGGGGCGCGAACAGAGCTTCCGCCACTGAAGATCGTGCGCAAGATCGTCCTGCTTCAGCTGGCCTACTATGCCTCGGCGACGGCCCTGATCCTGTTCACTACGCTGGTCTATGGCACGCCATTCTCGCTCGATTTGATTCTGAAATGGGACTCCCTTCGAGGCGATACCACCATCGGGTGGATGCTGGGTTTAGTGTGGATGTTGAATAGCGTCCTAGGGTGAGTTGTTCCTCCTTGCGGTTCCGCCCACTGCGATCCGTCCGTTGACTAACCTCGCTGGTAGTGTCATCTTCCTCCTGCTCTTTGTCGTCCGCTCGAAACTGATTCCCGATTTCGCGCTCACCCTCCACTTCCTCCACCTTATCATCACATCCTTCTACACCCACGCGATCCCGTCCAACTGGCTCTGGTGGGGTCTGCAATGCGCCAGCGCCGCGGTGATGACCTTCCTGGGTGTCTGGGCCTGTCAGTGGCGGGAACTGCGGCCCATCAGCTTTGGCGGGATTGCAGGGACCGGGAGCACCGCGGGCTCGTCCCAGCCGCCGGCCGACGAAGGCCAGTCGTCTCGCGGACGCGGTCGTGCACGCGATCTGGGGGCTAGCAGTGGGGAGTACGAGTTGAATGAAATGAAGGGAGTGGGCGAACAGGCCGTATAACCCTCTCGTCTTTTTCGCGGCCTTGTTCGCATTATCTTCTCACTGCATGGCCATGGCCTTTGGTTTATTTCTTTTCGAGTCCGTCGGCAGGCCGACCTGGATAGGGTTTGGCTTCAGACGGACAATTGCTATTGCGTGCTTGGCTTATGTATACCCTGACTGGGTGGTTGGACCACCCGTATAGATGGCGTTCTTGGTTGGGATGTCATCGCTTTGCTTCTGTGGAGTATCATATGATGACGACCCCGATGATGACCGGGGCGATTGGACGAAATTCGAATGTGCGGGCACATGTGTATTATCGAGACTCTGTGTTAAATAATGAGAACTGGTTGATAGAGTGATAACGAGATGGTGGAAGTCCGGGTACAAGCACCCGAGAGCCTTCTGGTGATGGCCTGTTCGGCGCCCTCTAACAACACAACAACCCGGAATTGTATCCGCTCGGCGGGATGCGCCTATGAGATGACCTCCGATTCCTATCAAGTGGGGGCGCCGCCCAACTGATAAGAATGCAAGAGCGCTGTGTAGTTCTGTCGCTCTCTTGAATCCATCTACATCCCTTTCAGGGCCTATTTCGACTTACTCCCTCTAAAGCATCATCCGCCGCCATGTCCACCGCAACACTCACCGAAGCCGCCCAGCAGAAAGTCGTCGTCACCAACGACGAGTACACCAACACGCCCACCGCCGCAGATGCAGATGCCACCTTCCAGGCGACCGCGCGCGGAGACCGGGCCGGCACACTGAAGCTGCGCGGCATCCCAACCTTCAGCGACCCCCAAGAGCAGCGCAAATGGATGAAAGAGCACATGGCCGCGGCGTTCCGCTACTTCGGCAAGCTGGGCTACAGCGAGGGCATTTCGGGGCATATCTCCATGCGGGGTGGGCTTCCCGTTCCCGGCATTGACAAAGCACTCCCATACTGAGTGAATGAACACAGACCCCGTCCTCAAAGACCACTTCTGGATGAACCCCTACGCCAAACACTTCTCCGCCATGAAGGCCTCCGATCTGGTCCTCGTGGACGCGGACGGCTACGTCACCGACGGCGGCAACCAGGCGCCCATCAATGAAGCCGGATTTATGATCCACTCAGAGATTCACAAGGCGCGCCCGGATGTCGTCGCTGCGGCGCATACGCACGGCGTGTATGGGAAGACCTGGAGTGCATTTGGGCGGCCTATCGAGATGATCTCGCAGGGTGTGTTCCCTTCCCTTTTCCAGGTCACTCGCGAAAGTCAGGGTAGAGCTGACGCTGGTAGATGCGTGCAACTTCTACGGAAAGCTGAGCGTGTACGACGACCATGGCGGCGTTGCGCTGGCGCAGGATGAGGGTCGGCAGATTGCTGCGGCGCTTGGTAAGGATAGCATTGCGTGCATCTTGCAGAATCATGGGTACGTCTGTTCTCTGTTCTCCGGGAGTGTTGGGATGTGTGGGATAAGCTGATGCGGTTTCTAGGTTGTTGACTGTCGGCCGCACGGTGGATGAGGCCGCGTTCTTGTTCTCCAGCTTGGACAATGCGTGCCATTCGCAGCTGATGGCGGATGCGGCGGCCGCGAATGGCCTGCCGAAGAAGATCATTCCTCATAATGTGGCTAAGTATACCGCTGATGCGGTGCAGAACCCTGTGAGTGCTTCCTGATGTTGGTGGTGTGTCGATGTGCTGACTGTTGCCAGCATAACTTTTACACCGAGTTTCAGCCGGAGTTTGATCTGATCGTGGAGGAGAGCAATGGACGCGTGCTTCAATAGGCTTCCTGGCGGCTGTGATACTCTTTCGGTGATGGATTTTTATGGTCATAGTTTTGATATATAGTGAGACGAGATATGAATTGCCACGCATAAGGTTGCGGACTCCTCCTAAAGGCCTACCCTCAATAAGACCCTACTACATATAGAGTGATAGTCCATTCAAAGTTTCATAATGGCATATCATAGACTGATGTGTACTGCGTTGATTGGTTTCATTTAGCGCTCGGGGAGGAATCATTAGACGCCAGGCCTGTACAACATTCCATGCAGGTAGGAATATCATGAAACTTACCACTTCTCTATACTCTAGATCGACTCATTCCTCTACACAATGCCCCGCACCATCTACCTCGCCGTCCTATCGAACGGCGCAAGACCAGCCCATTTCTCCGTCTTTGTCCCTACCGGCGACAAAGGAGAAACTGGCAAAGTCATCCATGTGACCGGGAACCCAGCAACAGGTTTCTTCCTCCAGTTCAAGCGAAACTACGACTTGGCTACATCGGAATACAGCTTATATAACCTCATCCCTTCTTCACGTGTTGATGACCGGTATATCAAAGATACTGTAGGCAACGGACAGCCTGCTGAGGATACGATTGCCCGTGACCGGCTGGAATCCGTCGCTACGACAGTCCCACCTCCTGGCCGCAGTGCCAACTCGTTTGATCCGTCTGTACGTTACTTGTTCTGTGCTTGCAGGAGTTATCGTTGATCTAGACTAGGCTCCGAATTGCCAGGATTGGCTGCGGGATTATGTCCAGAGACTTATTGATGAAGAGTTGGTCGAAAGGAACGCAGGCGTGGTTGTGGAAAACGTTCCCAAAGTATTGGGTTAGGACCTAGGTCAGGGCAACTGACCTGTTGGTTCGGGCCTATCTAATACCTACTCTGTAAGGAAGAACAAATTTTCTCCATTTGAACGAGAATCAAGAGATGAGCGTGCGCGCGTAGACTCCGAATACCTCCAACACTGCGAGTATGTTGTATTCTGCGATTCTATCACAGGATTAGCTGTAAGAGCTTGGAGCAGGCGATTGGCTGGGGAGAGAGCTTGGAGCTCAAGTTTTCTAAGACCGCCGCCGTCAACCTGTAGTTATGTGATGAATATTAGCCAACAGTTGCTTTGATACGAGAAGATAGTGATCGCTACGGAATGGATTTGCGATTGTAAGGACCATCTTGAGACTACAGAATGGGCTTCTTGCTTTGTATTTACGACGACTAGTAATTATTGTCAACCCAGATATGGACCATACTGGGGCCCCATTAGTGTATTCACACTTTTGGTGGCCTAGCGGTCATTTTTACATCTGACACTCTCTCATCACACGAGCGATCAGGGACACGATGGTGTTACGCTTCTGTTGCGCATGCACATAAATGTGAAGGAGTAGCTGTCGGTAACAACGCCGTACACGGTGTCATTGTCCTTCTTTCTTTGGATTTTGGCTTTGTGGACAATCCCTAGACTGGTCAGAGAATACAAGGGAAACAGATTAGTTCATTGGGAACTCACCCATATAGGACACCAGCTGGGTCAGACCTGGCGTCTCGCGGGAAGATCCTTCAACTGAAGCATGCGGACCGATTCGGCTTCAAACTCAAAAATGGAATCGTTGAGGAAAGTTCCCCATCGTAACGTTTTGCTTCCATCACGATCAGTTGTTGGATGCTTTAGCTGCGTCCCTATACCACAAGGTATAGTTGGCGATGCCCGTGAGGGTCCGGTGCTTTCCACTAAAGGTCACAATGGACTCCAGCTTCCTCTCACAATGAAGGAACATGTTCTGTTAGTCCTCGATTCTCATTCCGTGGTCGACAAGTTCGCAGTAGGCGAAGATGATGATCGCGCCTAAGCGCCATCCCATGGGGGATCACAGGGCTATACTGGAGCTGGGCCCGGGGGGGGGGGGGGGGGGGATGTATCCCGCAACCTGCAGCGCCCGGTATCCCAGGCTCTGCTGGATATTGACCCGTTTCTCGCTCACGGGAGAGGTGTTGAAAGTCGCATTCTCGTGCCACTCGATCAGAGAGCGCGCGATTAATATCTTTGCCAGCGCCTCGTCTAGCGCCGCCTACGGGATAGGTAGACGGGTATTCGGCACGACGGGGCGTTCGCGGTCGGCGAGGTGCAGCGCCATATCAACCTTCGTCTCGCTGGCGTGGAGGCGGATCACCATAGCCTGGCGGTCGGTGATGACGGAGTTCGCAATCTTCTGCGGGGTGCAAGCGAGGTCGACCACGCGCCCCAGATAGGCGTGTCGCGCTCCTGCCGCAACGTCGCCATGAAGGCGTTCAGGAGAGAGTGAACTTCGCGGCCCTCCACGTAGAGCGTCACGGACGGCACATCCCGAAGGGCACGGCGGATGGCGTGGATGACGGGGGTTCGGTCGCCGAAGTCGATATTGCTAAAAAGATTCACGTCGTGCACCGCGCGACTAGGCTTAAGATGGATAACCACCTTCGTCAGGCGGCCTTAGGCGACCACGTCCGCTATATAGGTAAACTTATGCAGTAGCACCGGGGGCACACACTTATTATCGTCGGGGATCTCTTCGTCGGCGGTCTTCTGCGGCCACACAGACTACAAGCGCAGGGACTAGATATGATGGGCGTTCCAGTACAACTGGCTGAGGATCGGCTCGCCAGGCTCCTTCGGGTTGGCCGGCTGCCCAAGGCGCACGGTGAACCGGATCGCCAGAAGCGACGGCAGCCGAGTTATAGCATGATTGCGAGACGGATCTTGACGCCCGGAGCGCTGCTATTGCTCAGCGAGCCTAGGACCGCGGCGTCTTCGTCCGGAGTGGGATTAGCGACGAAGATGACACACAGCCACGAGCTAAAGTCCCTCAACGTAGTAGATCTAGGCAGCAGATGGTCCAGACGGTGCGGGGCTTTATCGTCCAGGAGACCCTTAACAGAAGCGGCCTCGACGCCCGCCGTATCGTCCACAAGCTCCATCACCTCCATGGTACAGAGACAGTCACGAGTCTAGATGTCTCGCGTTAGCCACCGTTCCCGTAGCCTGGCGGACCTGGAAGAAGAAGGTGGATGGGAAGAAGGGAGGGTAGGCACTCACCGAGATTCGGGGATGGAAGGGTCTGTAAGTTGAATGGAGATCCTTCATGTAACGCTGTGGCTGGGCTAAATAAGTCCGTCTGTAACTCCATCCTCCTGCTGTATACACTACAATGATCATAGCTGGCTCACTGTTCGGGGATCTCTCGAAGTACTATCGTAATTCCGTGTTCAGGATTGTGACGGACACTTGCGGAGTTGCTTGATGCAAATGTCAACGTCCGTGTCCACATCGGCAAGCTGGTCTGGTAGACGTTTTAATTGTTAAGATCACGCGAGTCATGCTAGGGCTTTAACTTCTTTGGAGCTGGTGAGAAGGTAGCTAGGGATCTGTTAGGACCCCAGTCGTGACACTGAATTCAGTAATATCGTTCTGCTGAAAGGCCTAGCGAATCTCATTCGATGTATGGCGCTGCTCCTTGTCTGGTTATTGCCAATAAGGAGCACCCCTTCTTGGGAATCCTCCTTCGAATGGAATCCTCCTTCGAACTTTCGTCCGCCTTCCGCTCTTCGGTTTGTGGAGGTTGAGGCCCAGTGAGCCCACGGCGTACGTAACAAGAAGGACCTGAACATTAGACTGCGGGCCATTGAACTCCTGGGCGGCGTTGGCTTTCAGCTCGGTCGACACCTGGGCGCGTAACACCTGGTACGGCACGTTCAGCACCCCCAAGAATAACTGCGTCATCCACAGAGTGACGGGCCATGTCAGGGAACCCTCTCTGGATGCGGCCGAAACCACGCTGCCTTCGAACAAGGGAACATTTCCGCTGCCAAAGCGGCTGAACACGTTCATAGGACTTTCTGAAGGCCGCCCGAAGATCGCCGCCCTCTTCTGGCGACTCTCCGCAGGAAAGGTGGGTTCCGCAGGACGCATTCGCCAGTCGTCGAAGATGCTCGAAGTGCTTGGCATGGCGATGAATGATGGTCATGGCAACGGTAGGCGATGAGACAAGCTCTCTCGAGTAGTACTGGGTATTAGTTACTTCCTTATCTTGCCAATAAACATGGGGAAGTCCGCTGAGCGATATGCTGCTTCTCTGCCGGCCGAACCACAGCGAGTGTGTCACACGTCGAGTAAAATCGATTGTCCGGAGGCTATCTGCCAACGTTCGCTGCAGGTCCACGAATCGGTACCTCACACTTATACACGCCCTTCCCGTTAATATCCCAGAATATGTCCTCTAGCTGGCAGAAGGCTTAGGGACCAGCGTTCGGATATGCTCTGTCGAACCCCCGATGCATCGTTAGCTGTAGAAAAGACGCGATGTTTGCCGGCGTTGTCTCAAAGGGCGTGCCGGATAGAAACCACAACGGGGGCCGACGCGATAGATAATTATCACTGCTGTCTGAGATACGGCCTAGCGTCGCGAAGGTACTGTGAATATCCCTTAGTGCCTCCGCTTAACGTGAGACTTGTCTGCAAAGGCTCGGCTCCACGCCCCTCCTCGGAGCTCAACCTTATAGTTTGTTCTCGCTCCCACGCCGGACGAAGGTTTTGGTACGGCATACGTGTGGCGTAGGCATTCGTCGACCTGCTTCGTATAGCTCTTCGCCGTGGTGACTACAATAAAGCAGTCGGCGTCGGGGGGACTCTCCGGGACAGTAGTCCGGCTTTCTAGCTTAGCCTCTATGTCCTTTGGGTTCGGCGGAAATACGCAGCCGGAATGCGTTCTCGCTCACCCAAATGCTAGCGAACTTGGTCTTTCCTCTCATTAATAACCCATACGCCCAGAGCGTCTGCATCCGTAGGCAAGGGTGGTTGACATCCACAATTTTGTGGAACTCATCGTACTAATTCTGCAGCAGCGATCGCGGCGCTAGAATTAGGTTTATGCCTGTCACCGGAGCCCCTAGCCGAGCTGGAGGGCTGTTGGCTGCACACGCGCAGCAGATGGGATACCGGTCCTAGGAGAGACATGGAATGGACTTATCCGTATTCGTGGCCAGCAGGTAGGTCCTGTCACCCAGCCGGCGGGACTCCTGAACGTCTCGGCGGTTGAGACTGACCCATCGGCCGATGCCCATGAACATCTATATAGTCCGCGACATTAGCACGTGGGGGCACCGCGACGGCCTACCAGTCCAAGGGGACGCTCACCTTCCCTAGGCCCATTTCGTCCGCCACAAAACGTCTCACCCTCTAAAGATTCAAAGATTCAAGTCTCAACAGAGGTAGCAACGCCAAAAGAGCTGATTGTTTGGACGTTGCATAAACAGTATAGACAGACACGGCGCCTTTCTCAACGATGAAGAGGGTAAGCTGAGACTGTATTGCCGTTGAGGAAGGCCCATTCATATTAGCAGCAAATGGGCCTTACACCGCCTAATGGCCTTTGGATCCTTTTGGTGAGTGTCTCATCGACATCACCGTCGTGGCACAATATAAAGGAGCGCTTCATATGCACTGCGCATGATTCCTTCAAAGTCGCAAACAGAGTGGCCAACTTCAGCTGTCATAACTTTGCATGTCCCATATAATCTGACTCCCCGGTCATGGATGTAGTAAGTAGTGGAGAGAGGAAGAGAATCGATTCGGGTAGAGTATACATAGAAGAGTGAGGGTGGAAGAAGATTCAGGAGTCAAAGAGATAGGCATTCTAATCCAGTCACTATATTATACCCTTCACATCGAAGATAATGAATGGATACGTGGACCGAACGTATCCGTTTGTTTATATAGTTGGACTGCCTGGAGGCTAGTGAATGCTAGGCGGGTGAATGCAATCTCCATTCCAAGACACGTAGTATCTTCGGGAATAGCCGAAGAAGTGAAGAGTATGCTATGCAAAGAAACTTAATACCTTGATGAAGACACATTCAGCAAAACGATAGATGAAGTCAAGCTGTTGGGATGAAGTTATTCAAACCATGAGAAGCTGAGTCATCCAGATACGCGATAACTAGCCAGGCTGTCCCGATACGGAATAGTGCGACGACACATGGCCTGAATGGACTTCCAACCATCCATTCATCCATGCCATTCAACGTACAGCTTCAAGATCGAGATCGGGTGCGCGATCCATCAGACGTGTCACACAGGGGTTTAATCAATTAAGCTCTCTCTAGGATCTTTGGGCCCTGCATCTCCCCATCCAAGTGGTCTCATTGGCCTTGTTTGACCTGAGACGGTGATACCCAAGCACTTTGGCCGTTGCGTTGTATACCTTCATCGTTTGTCTCAATCCGTTTGTCGGGCTGCATTGTCCGGAGAGACCGTGACTTCCCATCGATACCATGGCGGACGGCGAACCGTCATACATAGACTACGAGGCCTTCCTAGATCCGGATTTCTCGCCCGCCTCGTTTGCCAATTCGTTGGTCGTAGCCACCAACAATGCGACAGACACACCACTGGATCTGTCGACCCCGCTCTCGCGGGTCCTCTTCGATCTCCAGGAGATTGACACCCATATTCACACGCTGACCACGAAGTCCGCCCTGCCCCTGTTGACGCACACGCGGGACCAAACCGCCGCGGCAGGCCACGTCCTCCAAGAGGCGGAGGAGCAGATCTCGTCCGTGACGCAGGGGTACGAGAGGCTGGAGAAGGAGGTCCTGCGCAAATGGGAAGCGGCTGACGAGGCCCGGGTGGCCGCGGAAAAGTCTCTCGCGACGGTGCGATTGGGACGCGCCGTTGCGCGCTGTCTCACCCTCGCCCGACAGCTGGAGGGCCAGCTCGCGGAGATCACTAGCCGCGGTGGCGGCAGCAGTAGCGGCGCTACGGGGTCCGGGAACGATGGAACGGCATCCCCGACCCCCGCGAGGGATGACTACCGCACGCTGGAACGAGCGGCCACCACGATTGTCAGTCTACGTCGGATGTTCTCTGCCACGGGGGTGGGCGAGGAAGGCTACGGCCTGGATCGGGTGCGGGTGACCCGGATCTTGCGGAACGACCTTGTAATGCCGGCTGAGAATCTGGTCAAGTCTCGAGCGCAACAGGCTATCAGTCGGTTTTCCATGTCCGCGGGCTCTGCAGGCGGCGCGAGCGCCCACACGCAGTCTGGCTATAAGCAGGCGCGTGATTCGCGGGCCCGTTTGATATCCGCAGTCACCATCCTGTACCTCCTCTCGCCACTCCCCCGGAACCTGGACGCTACCGCCGAGTTTCAGCCGGAATTGCTCCTTTCTACACTCCAGGGGTACATGCACACGGCGATTGTATCCTCCCTCAACGCCCTGTCCAAGTCGCTGTCCATGCTGCCGTCGCTGGAGCGCACGCTCGCCGAGGTCTCCGCGAAATGCCAGGATATCTTTGCTCTGGAAGCGATCTTGAGCAACCTGCGGCCGCCATCACACCCTCTCCTTCCTTCTACTGACCGCAATGGGGCCCGATCGGAGTCGCAGGCCCAAGACTCTGCCCCGAAGAATAACCTCCTCCAACCGCTTCTTAATGCGCTCGACACTTCATCTCTCCCATCCTACTTCTGGCGGTCCCTGGCGTCATCACTGGCGAGTCGCACGCAGGAGATCATCAACCGTGGCGGGGTGTCGGCACGGACGCTGCGGTCTAATCGCGACCGCCTAAAGAAAGAGATCAAGGAATGTGTGTTGCGAGGGTCACAGCTCCCTCCCTCGATCGTGGGGATCGAAAAGGGCGCGGGGTCTGGGAGCTGGGAGCGGGAGGCGGCGGTGATGGTGAGTTCGGTGGTGAACGTGCTGGAGCGGTAGCCGTCCAGAGGACGAATCGTTCCGAACGGATTACATTGCATGTACATTAGATATGGTACTACGGAGTACTTAATGAATCTTCCGATAGCCTTCCGCTAGCCCTCCGTCCGTAGTGCAAGCACAGACCGCGACAGACACCCAACAGCCACAACATGTGAAAATGCGCCGGGATCCACCAGCAAGGTACTAGCCCCAGCATAACGGCATCAGCTGATGGCAATCTCACAGGCCAAGTACGACCTCAGCGCGAGGGGAAACCCCAATCAGCGACACGCACGAGCCCGGAGACTCACCGTCTGGCGGTGTTGTAGTCGGAGCCTCAAACCATCGGCCAGTCGGCCAGGACGAATGGGAATCCTTTGATGAACTAACTGTCTTGCCTCGTCGTCTCTGCGGCTAGTTTCGGGCTTTGCCACATGCCGACCCTCTCCTTCTTTTCTTGGAGATGCGCCCGTCATGCATGATACGCATGAGGTGTGCGTGGAAACAGGAGAACAGGAGACCGCCATGGGCCGACCTGGTTTTGTGACTGTCATATCGACGAATGGCGGTTGCCCATCGGGCCGTTAGGAACGGCCGAGATTTCACCCAGAATCCAGCCTCGCCTCTCCTGAGGAGCCTGCACGGGGATTGATCGTTCCCGGATCCTGCGCACCTGGGTATGGATGGCCTCCACGACAGGGACCGACTCCTGGGGGTACCTAGACAGGTACCGTGGACGTCTTGGACCTGTGGCGGGTCTGTCCCTAGGTAGGATATGCCTGTCTCTGGATGGGGTATGTTTGACGAGATCGAGTCGACAATTATGGTGTACTTGGTAATACTGGACGATGCATGTCCAGCGCATGGGCGAAATCAAGATGGCTCTCCTCTTATCGACCCACCGATCTCCACGCGATACGTAAGTCTGAAGTACCCTCCCTGCGATCCGCTGACAGGCTGGGCGTGTCTTCCCCATGACGGCTAGTCAGGGTCCCCTGTGTGACGGGACGATGAACATTGCTCCGCGACTAGAGCAGGTACCTGCCTGGTACCGATGGCCGTGCACCAAACCCCAGACGCGGGACGTACCTATGTACGTACCTAGTACCTAGGAGGCGCCGTAGTACCTATCCTATCTTACCTAGTCTAGGTACAGATAGATAGACGAGTTACCCCGCTCTGATAAGGATACCCGTATCTTTCGTCTCTTTTCATCGAGACGTTGAGATCATCCCTGCAAAGTTAGACCTTACCACAGGGGCAAAACCGGATGCTGTTCGATGGATTTTCTCCGTGGGGGAGGGGACGGGGCGTCCGACCACCAGCCGACTGGTCGTGGTTGGAGACCGTCCATCAACCTGGTCGAGAGGGAGGGGAGGGGCAAGTGGGATATCTAACTAGCTGGGATGGAAAGCTATCGGGGGCCAGTGGGCCAGGCTTGCCACGTCGATCCCCCTCAGGGCCTCCGCCTGGTCTGTCCGGACCCAGGAGCAATTTCCCGAATCAACTAACAGAGGGGTATATGAGGGCGCTAGTTACTGGTTGGTGGGTTGATTATGTACTCAACGCCGAGAGACGATGAGTTGAGGTTCCCGTCATGTATATAGCATCGATATGCGCCGTCTCTACCTAGTCTCTACCCCAGGATGCCAGATCATCCAGATCGACAGTGAAGCACATCATCGCCCCCCGGCCAGTGGCGTAAAGAACCCGGCGTTTCAGTCTTCCGACTGTTTATGTCACGGTTAACAAGACTTGAGGTCAGTTGGCCAGGCAGAGTGGTCGTGAGCAGGGTACATCAACCCGATGTCATCGATTCGAATGAAGCTTCCACTGGGATCCGGGTCCGTTTGCAGAGACCGTTTGCCTCCCCTGAGTAGAGTTGGGAAATAGAATTGGATTGTAAGGTTTAGGTTCGCCTTGAACTTTTCTGAAACCCTGAGTGAGATCGGGTTTACAAACGCGCCCGTGGTGTTTGGTCCTCTTTACCTGTCTTTACCTGACCAGGAACAAGCTTCCCATCGAATATGTCCTCCGCAGGACCTGTGTACGGTGAAAGAAACGGTCTCCGTATACATGTAAGGTACCTCCGCATGGGCCACAGCTGCATGGTACATACCAGCACGCGCTTGAGGATGCACCTTTGAGCGGTGGACCAGAGCCAATCCTCTTGTCTGACCATCGTTCGTATTCCTGAGCCGAATCTCATTGTTCCGCTGCCTTGGGCCATTTGGGAATCCAGTCAGATGGGTTGAGCGGGCTGACGCGGTCTGGGACGTTCCAGGGTCCGACGTCCCACCGAGCATCATCGTCATATCTATCTACAACAATCATAATGGGGGAAGGTCGCACAGAGACACGAAGTGAGCAGAGGCTCAACCATGGCCAGGCGGATTTCCCATGCCTCCCCTCATTCCGAACAGGCGGATGATCTGGGATTTGACATCTAGATAAAAAGTTACCAGAACATAGAGGTGCCCCCCCGGGGATCCGGATGGTGAACGTCACCGCTACCACTGCCGAGTGGTTTGTCCCAGTGTGGGAAGTTGGGATCCGTGGCGGGGATCCCAGTAGTCAGCAAGGGTGCGTGCTATCAATCCAAATCGACAAAGAAAGTAGAACATAGGGACTGTATGTGATGGTCGATGGAATCTTTAGCCGATCATGTCCGAGACTAGATCCTTTGCTTTTCTCTTTATCTCGATTTTCTCTGATCCGTCCATTCCATGGCGGTTTAAGTGCCTGGTGCCTCAGCCCAACAGCGGGAGAGGGCGATTCGAGACCCGAAATCGATAGACCTGCGTGCACCATGGTTCGGATGGCGAAGACCAGGTTCGAGACCGTTTGACCTCCGTCCACCGTCTCCAGCCTTACCGGTCCATCCATCTGGCGGATGCTTTGACCACGCCGTCAGCCACGGGCCTCGTAAAGAGTTGAGCCGGTGGACTGACTCGATGGGGACCCTGTTAGGGTTCCTGATACCGTTCAATACGGGCGCTAAGGCTAACCCAAACGGGACTCGACTGGATGTATCTCGCAAGTAGTTACATACTCCATAGTTAGATCCTGCGGCCATGAACTCAACTAGCGTCATGTTTCAGATATCCTTCGGAGAACAGACGGGGCGGCCATGGTTGCCCTGGTGAGAGACGCATCGCGGAGAATTCCTCTGGTCGACTGTAACTCGCGCATCTTCTGTGATCTCTATCTTCATCTCTCTCTGTTGGACTTCCCAGCCACCTCGTTGAATAGTTAAGACAGAATCAAAATTCGCCAAGACTGGTCCATGAGTTCATCTATTCGAGAAGACTCCACCAGGCCCCTCTAGTCGATGATTCGTGTCGGCCGGTCCGGACCAGTCGACTGAGTACCTGGGACGACGAGGCAAAACTACTCCGTAGGTAAATAGATTATTTGTCTGACTATAGTCAGACAGAAGTCAGACATTGTCGGAGACTGCTACCTGGACGGTGCTGGGCCTCCATAGAGCTAGGTAGTATTGACATGAAGATTGCTAGTAGTGATGATGAGGATAAGAGAGCGAGACTGTTGTTTAAGCTCACAGTAACTCGACGGAACCACAGGACAAGGCACTTAAAGTCTACCTTGACTATTAATATGATGATTAATTCATACTAACTAGTTAACTATACTCCCCTCTTGCCGTCCCTCACTCTCTGCCCCTCGTTTCGCCGCCCGCTGGTCGCCCCGTTGTTTCCGATCTCCCGTTTGTCTGGTTCTCCTGTTTTTCTTCCTTTTTCTTTTTCTTTTTCCTTTTTTCCTTTCCCCATTTTTCCCTTTTCTTCTTACCGTACCATACATTCCCCTTTGCCTCCCAGAAGGGTATCGTCGTCACCATTCGATTCCATCCGCCTCGGAGGGTGTGCGCTGCCGTCATCCAAAATAATAATACTTTTCCACCACCCCCCCCTTCGTTCTCATCGCGGAGTCTCTTACTTCTACTGTCGCACCTCGCCCTGGCGCATTTCTTCTTTTCCCTTTTCTTTTTCTCTTCTTTTTCCGATTTCCTTTCTTTCTCCCCCCTCCTCCTCGATTCTGACCTGAACACCGACGACTCTCCGACTGGTTCCTCCTTCCTGTATATCGGCCTTCCACACGTCATACGGCCTTTCATCCCTTTCGCCTTACGTGATTCTGCGTAGTCTGGTTCATTTATATTTATTTTTGGTACCTTATCGACCTATCGTTATTTCTATTTCGGATCGGTATTTATCTTCATTTGGATTCCACTCGACCTCTTCGATTTCGGTTTCTTCCCTCCTTGTGGCTCATCTGACCCAAAAACCACCGGTCTCGAGGGTTTCGATCTATCAATACTGAATTATTTTCTTCTTCTGGTTCCTGTCTCGGTTTGCGGCTTGGCTGGGCCTGGCTCTTTCTACACGGTGATACATCCCCACAGAGGAGGACTCGACAGGACGCAGGAACTCGCTCGAGTCTGTTAATCCCAACTCAACGCCATCCACGACGACGCTCCCTCGACGGCTTCTACACCGGTTGTCAACCCACCACGCCCCGTCCGACCGTCCCGCACAGCCGAGTGATGTGTTCTCGATACTGATGCCCGTGCTTTGCCTCCGATCGTGTACCGCCTGGTTACCCTTGCTTCGCCATCTCCGTCGGGCATTCGGCTAATCTCTCTCATCAACAACATCCTGTTACATTCCTCGCCCTCTCTACCCCCTGGCTCAGACGGAGGCGTTTTCCTCTCTTGTTTCTTGGTAAGTCGCCGTCGGATTAAAAAATAACAAAACCCCCCTCCTTCCCCTCCCACATTCTTTGCGGGTGTCTGTCCCCTCCCCAGTCGATCCCCCCCATGCTGACAAGATTTGCGCAAACGTTTCCAGGAGTCAGCGTCCCCCTTTGTTTAAACTCGTCCACCCCGTCCCTTGACCCGACTCGTCTCGTATCTCCCCGCGTGCGCGAGCGATCACTCATCGGACCGGGGCTTGATTAGTACATAGACGCCTCGCATCCCTGTCAATATGGCCTCATTTTTACCTGTCAATAACATGTCATCACCGCAAGACCGCGTCATGGAGGAGGCGACTACACCCACCACGCCGCGTCCCTATACGCAAAAACCCACCGATGCGCAAGACGCAAATTCGATCGACGCCGCCATGGACGAGAATACCCCGCGGAGTGTACATAATAGCCGCGATTTGCCCCATCACCGCGACGCCCAGGGAGGCATCTCCACTGAAGAAAACACACACGGCGACTCGGAAGGAGACCGCGACGGTTCGGACCATGAGGCAGAACATAAAGGAAGTAACGCGCCCCCGTCGAAGAAGAAAAAGGGCCAGCGGTTTTACTGCACAGATTACCCGCCTTGTAACCTGAGTTTTACTCGGAGTGAACATTTGGCGAGACATATTCGGAAACATACCGGCGAGCGTCCCTTCCAGTGTCACTGTTCGCGCAGATTCTCTCGGCTCGATAACTTGCGACAACATGCGCAAACCGTACATGTCAACGAAGAAATTCCGGGGGATTCGCTCGCCGCCACCGGGACCCGATTTCAGCGCCAGATCCGTACCGATCGCGTGCGGCCTCAAGGCCGCGCGCGAGCCGGGACTGGAGGAAGCCAGGGCGCCCATAGCCGCGGACATAGTCGGAATTTGTCTACTTCGAGTATCGCGTCCACTACTTCCACCTTCAGCCAACCCCAAGAACTTCGTCGCCGACCTCCACCGTTGATCATGGCCAGTGATGGTCGGCCCCGGCTCGCCATGGATACCATGGTGGACGGTCCCTGCACGCCTCCGGGCCAAGTCCGGGGCATGCCTGGACCGACGGCCGGCGGCTCGCCTTACACCCCATCCCACCACATCTTCTCTGCTGGTGGTAATGGAAGCCCACATCTTGCGTCGCCGATGTCGTCCGCATCCCATGCATCTGGCTTTTGGGATGGGAAGACGGCGGCGCGTCGTCTGTCGGTGCCAACTGGCGGCAATCCGTTCTCGTCGCAACCTGCCTACCCCCCCGGTTACTCCAACCCCGCATACCCTCCCCCTGCGGGCGTTTTCGCAAGTCCTGTCAGTTCGCATTATTCCTTGTCACGGGGCGATGAGACTACCCATGGCGCTGCAGATGCCGACCTGCGTAGACGAACGTGGCATCCCTCAACGTATTCGGCCGCGCCTCGTCCTGCGACCAGCGGCCTCCATAGCTACCAGACCCCTGACTCGTTCTCTCCATCCCTAAACACACCCGCGTCAGGCGAACAGCCCCCACGGCTTCCCGGAATCGAAAGCTTTGATAAAGTGGTTTCCATGCGTCCCCTCACACCTCCTGTTCGTCGCCCCAGTCCTATGCAGGTTGACCAGCCGAACAAGCCGCCTAGCTACGCGTTTGGGGGCGGGTTCAACTATTCGCAGCCCTCGGTCCGGCCGCCGCCGCCAGTGTCTGGACCCGGCCACCGGCGAGGCCATGTGTCCTGGGACATGTCATTGCACACCAATCTTACGGGACTACATATCAGAGATAAGCCCGCACCGAAAGATGCATCTTATTGGGGTCAGCAAACCATTGCAGAGATCCACAATATTGGCTCTGGCTCATCTGCATCATACCAGCCTCCTCAGGATTACCGAGGCCCTAGTGGTCACACACCAACGCATACCAATGCTACCTCGAGCTCCGCTACCCGGACCACCCCCGAAGATTCGAGCAGCAGCGAGGGCGTCCACACGCCGTCGACGGCGTCCGTCGAATACCATCCCGCCATTGTCCATAACAACGGGTACATCGAGCCACACCACACCCCCTTCTCGTCCGATACGTCTCACGCGGTACGCACCCGTTATCCGGAAATTCTCCGATGACGCCAAGTCACTAATGGATGTATAGGCACCTCAGTCCGACGGGTACCAGCCAAAACATGATCACCGAGCTGACATGTTTGGCCGCCGGGAGTCTGGCATGGGACGCCTAGAAGCCCTCGTCGCCGTTGCTACAAGTGAAAATAAAAGTGCCACGAAACTGTTCGCATAAGTCGTCACCCGCTTGAGACGCTACCCATACGACTGAGATATGTTTTTGTGAGATGCATCTATCCGCTGTTTATGAACGGTGGTTTTGTGAAACCCGAATGAACTTTACGACCGACCTTCGCTCTTCTCCTTGTTCTGATTGAAGCAGTGTTGTATAGTCACGGTCAACAGACCTTCTCTTTCTCGTTTCTCTCCGTTTGTCTTTTCCGGGTACATACTGCGGAGTTTTAGATCTTGATCCCTCGTTACTCCAAGCTACACCACAGTTGGCTGCGGGAATCTTTTATGAAGTGATGATTGATGATTGATGCATAAGCAAACTTTCATGTTGGGGGTTGATTTCGGTGTCTCGGCACCAGGTTTTGGACATTTGGTCTTGTATTTCCTGTTCCGCTCTCTCTTTTCGGGTGTTTCAATCAGGTTCTTGCGTTTTTCTTGCATGCGTGGGCGTCGTCTGGGATTTGTCCATAGTGCATGAAGATACCCCCGGCCTCAATCTCGAGCTTATGACTTTGAGATTTGGGAATGGAGTTTTCTACTCTAGTCGTGGTGTGGCTTCACTTGTTTTGGATGATTGTTTATATCAGGTATTTATATATTAGCTGCTGTCATCAGTCAATGCAACTAGTACTATTCTTCAACTGTTGGTCATTATGTCGAGTATTGAACAGTAGAACATAGGTACCTCTGAGCGACCAAGAACTCGGACAACGCACCTGGCATGATACCTACCCCACATTTACACTGGACGACGTCAAGCAGTGGATGACTATGCAGTGACGTTATTGCCGCGGTCTCTACCTCGCCCCCATCATGTCCGCTCACCACCGCCGAGGAGAGCACTGCGCAGTGTCAGTCGACAGAGGGAAGTACGAAGCCTAGTAATAGCAGTCCTACCAAGTTCCTAAGAGCGACTTACATCCGTGCACATACTCTGACAATGCGACTTCCTTAGAGTAAGGTAATATGGGCGAGAATCCAGACTTGGTGGGCCGGCCCGATTAGCTCGACGACGACGTCATACCCTGTGACATCCATGCCTTGCTATAAAATCGAACGCCTCGAACATCCATCCACCTATTTAAGTCTTCAAGCTGTCCAGCAGAGAATCTGAAATTCCTCACATCTTCATTCCCCACAGAACTACCATATTTACCGCCAAGCGCGAAATCACTACCACCATGTCCAAGAACAGAACCGGTCTGTACGCTGCTCTCGCCGCCGCCGGCGCTGGCGGTTACTACCTCTACCGTGCGGGCGGCAGCCCCCAAGGCGCGAAGCAGGAGATGAAACGTGAGTGTTGTTCTGCTACCATTGGTTCTTGCGGTGTTTGCGCGGATATACGACTGACTGACGGATGTAGATGACGTCAACGTGGCCCGCAGCAAGACGCCCAGCACTACATCTGCCGAACGGGCAGGTGAGAAGGTCGGCTCGGAGGCTGGAGCCCATATCGACGAGGCGGTATGTATTGTCCTTTCTATTTCCCGTCAGGTGTCGGCCATCTGGCGGCCTATTCGTGATGTTTGCCTGGTCGGATGAAATGGAAGCTCATGCGGTTGCTACAGGTCACCAATGCGAGCACCAAGGCCAACGAGGCGAACCAGCAGGCCCGCGGCCTGGCACAGGAGAGCATCCACAAGCTGGATGAGGTGCGGCAGGACGCGTCCTCCAAGATCAAGACCAATGTCGACAAGATGGATCGGAAGGTCGAGGAGAAGGCGGCCGAGGCTAAGGGGTCGCTGTCGGGTTGGTTCGGTGGTGGCAAGTAATTGGGGAATTGAGTCTACGCTTATGCGACATTGATCGCTGGCTCTTGTCTATGTTGTGCACGTCTTTATGTATTCATGTTAATGGTGATCTAATGTACAGATGGTTCAGCTGCCAGGGGAATATTCAAGCACTACACTAGTGGGTGGTCTGCAATAGTCTTATTTCATCCGCATTAGATAAAGCAGCTGTCCAACTTTGAGTTCCTGTCATCTGGTAGCCGTTGCTGCGGTATGCTGCATTCCGTTCTGCCATGCTGATCACCGGAGGGATGAGATGCCATATGAGGTATCTATCGATGGTCTCCTAAGTGATATTTGGCTCATTCAATGCCTGCAACTGTTATTGCCGATGCGTATAAGGTACTTGCAGTAGTATACCTGCTTATGTGGAACGTCTTTGTTCTCCTAGCTAGTATATCAGGTAGAGCGGGCGATCTCACTACAATTCCCCACCAGTACCATATCACCATGTACCTGTAGCACCAAATAAGGTACCCTGAGGCAAACTAGTCCCACTGTGGATGACCTGCCAACCGCCAGTGAATTAGTTCTTCCGATTCTCCTGTCAATTATGCGTGTTACTAGGAGGACAGCGGAGCCCCACCACTATAACCGGATCGGGCCCACGCGCGTGTCAGCACGCGCCGGGCGTGTCGCGCGTCGCCCAGAAAAGAAAAACTAAGCAGCCGCCCCATACACCCATCGATCCCATTCCACGCCTCGCATGATACCCCCGAGCCACTGCAATTGCCCTCTTATCCCCCATCCATTACCTTCCTAATCGCCTATATGCTCCTTCCATAACATCTCTTACCATCGTCATCCCCTAGCGAAAGGAAAGAGGAACTCGCGATGCCGCGCACCTCCCCCCGAACCCCCCTTGCCCGAGGGCAACCCGGCATCCAGAGTTTTGCAAGAGCGACCAAACCCGGCGCGCCTGCACTCGGCGCCGCCGCCGACCGCAAGAAGCCCGGCACCGGTCTCGCCCCTTCGCCTTCCAAGAAGCGGAAACTCAACGAGCTCGAGAACGTCGACTGCTCGACCCGAGGAAAGGGGGACACCGCCGCGGCCGACGCCCCCGGTTGCCTCACCCCGTCAAAATCGCTCCGCATCAGCGACTTGTCGCTGTCGACGCCTCGGAGTGGCCATTATGTTTCATTGGCGCGGTCGCGCACGTTGGCCGCGGGTGACAGGCCCGTCGCTGCGTCTAGTCCCTCGAAACGGGCGGCCAGAAGCGTCCCCCGCCGGACTGCGCCTGTTCTCCTTGCTCGTCCGTCGGCCGTCAATGACGTCCTGGGTCTGCATTCGGCCTTCCTGAAGGCTCTCACAATCCATGCGGCTCATCAGGGTTCATCGACACCGGCGGACATGCGGGAGTTTCTGTATAGCGTGGAGCGGTTGTGGAAGAAGCGCAAGGTCGTTGTTAAGGATATCCAGCGCCTTCTGTGGATCCGGGATCAATGCCATGCAGATGTTGGGCCGGCTTACCGGCTTGCGAATTACGGCCTCGGACGGGTCTGTCTGGAGAAGCTCGTCCGGGAAGGACGGAAGGACCGGGTCAACGAGACCGAGTCGCAGGAGAAGTTCGAGGAAACGATTGACCTCCTGTGGGAAAAGGCCCTGGATGCAGCAGGGGGCGACGAGGACCAGGTAGATTTTGTCAACACGCTGGGCGTCGCCCCCGTCCATGAGTCGTTGACGCCATTCACGGCCTTCCGCAAGGGCCAGCAGCGACTCCAGGATCTGAAGGGCGGCGTGATCAAGATGAAAACTGAGAGGCTCCGTGCAGGTCCTCAAGCCGCCACGCCGGAGAAAACCCCCGAAGCGACGACCGCGCGTCGTACCGGTCTGCTGGATCGTATTAGAGACAAGGCGCTACGACAGTCCAAGCTGCCGCCTCCGCCGACCAAGGAGATGTTACTCCATCGGGCGGCGGTCCAGCACGTGGAGGAAGTTGCCGGTGTGCTTTCTCTGCTGAAGCCGGCGGGATATGTGGGCACGGGCATCAAGGCGCTGGTTGCGACGCGAAGGACGCCGTTCCGGATGGAGATGATTGTACAGAATGTGCAAGATTCTCTTCGAACCCCGATCTCGGAGAAGGAGGTTGAAGTGTGTCTGGAGATACTGTCTCGGGCCGATATTGCGGGTCAATGGGTCGAGCTTGTCACCGTGAATCAGATGAAGTCGGTGGTGTTGAAGTCGTGCAACGACGTCAATACAAAGGAAATTGGAGCCAAAGTGGCCGCGTTGAAGATTGGATGGGAAGGCCATCCTCCTACTCCGGAGGTGTCCACCTAATGTTTTGTTTATTGTCGTCTGCATCACTGGTGTTGTGGTTGGATACTTGGTTGTATATGCTCATGTATATGGCAGGCGTTATGATTGCATTGTCTAGCATCATGGCCATGGGTTGATTAGCGTCATGGTCTATCCGATCTGTTTTACTTTGTCATAAGAATATTAATGATTATTAACTGCACTGCAATCTGCATTTCCTGCCTAAGTAATTACTCCGAGTACGAGCGTTTGATACATCCACTGCTCAAACCAGAGTACGTTGTCATCTCAGCCCCTGGTTGGCTGTGACCCACCACTTCACGCGCAACGCGCATTCACGTGACCGTGACACCACGGAGCGCGTCTCAGCATTCAATTCAATTGTCCGAGAGCTCGAGACAGCCAACCTACCCCAACGACAACAGGCCGGTATCGAGTCCCTTTATCTGACTAGATACGCACAGGCACCATGTCTTCCAGGCCAGATCTCAAGGTGATTAACTCAATGATAGCTCCCCAGTCACTTGTTAATGTCTCCCGTTGCAGGTCGACGACGAAGTCGGTTTCATCCGCTTCTACCGCTCACTTGCGTCGGACAGCAGCGACGACACCATTCGTGTCTTTGACCGCGGCGACTGGTACTCCGCCCATGGTGCCGAAGCCGAATTCATCGCCCGTACAGTGTACAAGACCACCTCCGTCCTCCGCAATCTAGGCCGCAGCGAGACGGGCGGTCTCCCGTCCGTGACCCTGAGCGTGACCGTCTTCCGCAACTTTCTCCGCGAAGCTCTCTTCCGACTGAACAAGCGCATTGAAATCTGGGGCAATGTCGGCACCGGCAGAGGCCACTGGAAACTGGTGAAGCAGGCAAGCCCGGGGAACCTGCAGGATGTGGAGGACGAACTGGGCAGCGTGGGCGGGCTGACGATGGAGTCGGCCCCGATCATCCTGGCCGTCAAGATCTCGGCGAAAGCGTCCGAGGCGCGGAGCGTGGGGGTGTGCTTCGCGGACGCGAGCGTGCGGGAGCTCGGCGTGAGCGAGTTCCTGGACAACGATGTGTACTCGAACTTTGAGTCGTTGGTGATCCAGCTGGGCGTCAAGGAGTGTCTCGTGCAGATGGATACTAACCGGAAGGATGTCGAGCTGGGCAAGATCCGGGCGATCGCGGATACATGCGGCATTGCCATCTCGGAGCGACCGGTGGCGGATTTCGGTATCAAGGATATCGAGCAGGACCTCACGCGGTTGCTGCGAGCGGAGCACTCGGCGGCCACGCTGCCGCAGACGGAGCTGAAGCTGGCCATGGGCTCTGCCGCGGCGCTGATCAAGTACCTGGGTGTCATGTCGGACCCGACGAACTTCGGCCAGTACCAGCTTTACCAGCATGACCTGTCGCAGTTCATGAAGCTGGATGCGTCTGCGCTCCGTGCGCTCAACCTCATGCCGGGTCCGCGGGACGGATCGAGGTCGATGAGTCTGTTTGGCCTGTTGAACCACTGCAAGACACCCGTGGGGAGCCGGCTGCTGGCGCAGTGGTTGAAGCAGCCGCTCATGGATCTGGGCGAGATTGAGAAGCGGCAGCAGCTTGTGGAGGCGTTTGTCGAGAATACCGAGTTGAGACAGACAATGCAGGAGGAACACCTGCGCTCGATCCCGGACCTGTATCGACTGGCGAAACGATTCCAGAGGAAACAGGCGAACCTGGAGGATGTTGTGCGGGTGTACCAGGTTGCAATCCGGCTGCCGGGTTTCGTTGCGTCTCTGGAGAACGTCATGGACGAGCAATACCAAACGCCCCTGGAGACCGAGTACACGTCGAAATTGCGCAGCCATTCGGACAGCCTGGCGAAGTTGGAGGAGATGGTGGAGACTACGGTTGACCTTGATGCGCTGGAGAACCACGAGTTCATCATTAAGCCCGAATTCGATGAAAGCCTTCGGATCATTCGAAAGAAGCTCGACAAGCTCCGACATGACATGAATGTCGAACACCGCAGGGTCTCGCGAGACCTGGGGCAGGAGGTGGACAAGAAGCTGTTTTTGGAGAACCACCGCGTCCACGGCTGGTGCTTCCGACTTACTCGCAACGAGGCGGGCTGCATTCGAAACGCCAAAGAGTACCAGGAGTGCTCTACGCAGAAGAACGGCGTCTACTTTACTACCTCGACCATGCAAACCCTGCGTCGAGAGCACGACCAACTGTCTTCTAACTATAACCGAACCCAGACCGGCTTGGTCCATGAGGTCGTCAACGTCGCGGCATCCTACTGTCCTGTTTTGGAACAGCTCGCTGGCGTCCTCGCCCACCTTGATGTGATTGTTAGTTTCGCGCATGCCTCCGTGCATGCCCCGAGCTCCTACGTCCGTCCCAAGATACACCCTCGCGGCACTGGCAACACAGTTCTGAAGGAAGCGCGCCACCCGTGTATGGAGATGCAGGATGATATCTCCTTCATCACGAACGATGTGTCTCTAATCCGGGACGAGTCGTCCTTCCTCATCATCACCGGCCCTAACATGGGTGGTAAATCCACCTACATTCGACAGATTGGCGTCATCGCCCTGATGGCTCAGACCGGCTGTTTCGTTCCCTGCTCTGAGGCAGAGCTCACCATCTTTGACTGCATCCTCGCCCGTGTGGGTGCAAGCGATTCCCAGCTCAAGGGTGTCTCCACCTTTATGGCTGAGATGCTCGAGACATCCAACATTCTAAAGTCCGCCACTTCCGAGTCCCTAATCATCATTGACGAACTTGGTCGCGGAACGAGCACATACGATGGCTTCGGGTTAGCGTGGGCCATCTCAGAACACATCGTCACGGAGATCCGCTGTTTCGGTCTCTTCGCGACCCATTTCCACGAGCTGACCGCGCTTGCTGATCGATACCCCAAATCGGTCAAGAACCTGCATGTCGTCGCCTTTATCGGCGACGGCACAAGCGGCGATAACGAGGAAAACAAGTCCAAACAGAACCATGTCACCCTGCTGTACCGCGTGGAACCCGGCATCTGCGACCAGTCTTTCGGTATTCATGTAGCCGAGTTGGTCCGCTTCCCAGACAAGGTGGTCAACATGGCTCGGCAAAAGGCCGAAGAACTCGAAGATTTCACCTCTGCGGACCAAACCGAGCAGCAGTCTGCGATGGCGGTCGATGGCTGTTCTCAGGAAGAGGTCGAGGAGGGCAGTGCGCTTCTCAAAGCCATGTTGCTGAAGTGGAAGAATGAGATCTCCGGCAAGCAATTGACGGTCGAGGAGAAGCGGCAAATCATGCGTGATCTTGTCAAGGCGGATGAGAAGCTCCAAGGGAACAAGGTCTTTCAGGGCATTAAGGCTCTTTAGACCGTGGACTGTTTAGTGTCTTTTCGGGGTTCTTAGGGATACTATATCACCGGCGGATGGCGTTCGAAGGCATGTTTATGTTCTATAGGTCAATAATGTTAGGTGTAGCTACTTATCAAGCCGGTCTCATTGTTTCACAATAGGCGTGATGAACCCCTGCCAACCTCATGATAATCTGGGCCTCTGATTCCCAACGCTCGTGGGCCTTTACTAGTCACTAATAACCGTGGCAGGTATGATTCACATTGCTTCGCAATGAGAATTGCCTGGACATATTACTACGTCTAGGTTCAATAAAGTAATATAGTTCAGCTGGGACCAGTCAGATGTACAAATGCTGAGAAGTGTAATCATGGGAAGTACAGTTCTTTGCTTATAAGGACGGAATATATCTCCCATACTATACCCACTTATTCTGATTCCAGTTCTCTGGGCCCGTGTTCCATGCTCTAACTGCCTATTAACTAGTCACTAATCTAGCTTGTAATAATAAAAACCAACCATTAAGAATTATTCTAGTTCAATGTGTATAGTTTGTCTCTACCATGATGTTGATCAGCATCTATAAATCACGTGAGGGCGCGGAGATCTAGACGCTGCTCTCGGGATCCCCCAAACGATCAATTGTTGCTTATCCCCAAAATCATATCGTCGACGAGCTCTGCCTTCTTTCCATCAAAGAGATTATCTGTGGAATTTAGCGCCCTTGCGGTTTTTCTTCTTCTCCTGCTTGGTCAATCCATTTCCCGTTATCGAACTACCTCCTCCGACCCCTCAGCCATGCGCGCAGACTAAGCTGGCCCGCCGAGCAGTCTTGATTCATGCACCCCTTTTCCATTCTCACACTCGGCATCTTCGTAGCGGGCTACATCACCGCCAGGTGGGATCTAGTTACCCGACTATACGAACTGGCTATCTTTGCGTGGGACCACGGAGTCGTGGTACGTGCCAGGACCTCTCTCCATTCCCGTGCCCTGGCTTCATCTCCACACACCTTGGGCTTTGTTACACCACCCAACGAAAATACGAACGAACATATTCGCTAATTTCTCTACCTACTTGGTTATAGACCCGGACAGCAAAGGGGTTCCTACTCCTTTCCGTTTTCTTCTTCCTCCTTGTCCTCCCGATCAATCACCTGGCCACGAAAGAAGGCGAATTGGTATGCGCACCACCAATTGCACCCTCAAAACATCGACAAAGCGGTTGTGTGCAGTTGCGCATCATGCTAATAAGTGTTTAGCATCCCCGATACGCGAATTTGGGTATATCTGCGCGGGAACAGTTGCGCCGTCGGGGCTCCTTCTAGTTGCGCCTGGAGGATGACAACATGCTCATGAGCGATGGACTGCTACGGGTATTCTGGCCATACGACCTTCCTCGATCGTCGTCGCCAGGAGTGATTGTCGGATGGCGTAACTCAGAACTCGATCTGTTCGTGTTGACCGTCTTGGAGGATGTCGAGGTGAGTGCTGGCTGCATGAGCTCTGTTCGCACACGATGAGGCATCGCATGTCTGACGCAAATGATCGCGGTAGCCTCGAAACGTGGATAATGCCCTACGCGCGGGCATTCTGTTCCGAAATAGCCCGCATCCGATTGTAAGGATATTCAATCTTTGTGGAAGGTCCGCCATGCATGTTCTCGGTTCTACCAACCCTCAAGATCCGCCGACGTCCTTTAATCCGTCGCATCTACATGTCACTACCCATCCATCATACAGGGTTCCTCGGATCTACTGTCCACCAGAGACGAACCTGTCTGTTCAGGTTATTATGTTTCATCGTCCTCATCCCACGCGCATGGAGTATATGTCGTTGGACCCCATTTCTCTTGCCCTGGGAGACAAGACCTCCACCTCTGACAAATCGGATATGATATCTGATACGATAGACACAGAAGAGGAAAGGGACAAAGTGCGCACGACGAAGCTGGTGGAGAAGCTGAAGCTTCATACGGTTGTAAAGCATGTTCCGTCGCATAAAGAACAGGCACTTCCTCTCATAATTAACCAGGTCAATTGCGCTTATGAGATGGGTCAACTCATGGAACGGAACAGCCATCTCATAGGGATCAGGGTGAAACGGAGCATGAGTGTTGGAGAGCGCGTCGTGGAATCTGCGACAACCCTCTGGGATCTTTTCGTGCTTGGCGTTTCCTACGTGTTCTGGCAATGGATCTGGCCTGTCATTACCCGGATCTTCGTGATCGGGCTTGTGTTCCATCGCTCGGTTGCGGAAGTCGTCTTGCAGGTTCTGGAGTGGCGTGCGCGTCCTGATGCAGCCGCCTTGAAGGACATATCTGCTACCGCACAACAGGTCGACATTCGACTTCAACAATTTTGTTACTGGCCCATCCAGTATGTCAAGCTCCGTCAAAGAAAGGACAACTGGGAGAGTGTGACTACCAGTCATCCGGACTACATTCGCTTTTACAATAGCTTGTGGCTCGTGGCCAACGATGTGATCATTGGGATTGCGTTGGGCTCGTACATCATCGACAATGCTAATTGGGTCGCCTTTCAAATAAACAACATCCTTACTGGATGGACTGTGGAAGGGCTGCAGCGCACCATTTCCTGGTTGATGGACTGGCCTGCTGGTCTGAAGCTCAACAATGAACTTGCCGCGTTCCTCGGTGATCTGTTCTTGTGGGTGATTGAAAACTGGGCAGGTAAGGGCTTCGCTTGCAATATAGTCTCTGTCAAACTAACGTGGTCAAAGCGTGCATTGCAAATTTGCAACCATACCTCCCTCACATCATCTATGTAATTGGGTGCTCCAGCTTCGCCGGAGCGAGCATGCCGATTGCGCTTTTCTCCGACCTGGTGTCCATCTTGACCGTGCACATCTACTCCTTCTATATCGCCTCCGCCCGTATCTTCAACTGGCAGCTGACTATCATCATCTCTTTGTTCCATCTGTTCCGCGGCAAAAAGCGCAATGTACTGCGCCACCGTATCGACTCATGCGATTATGATCTTGACCAACTCCTAATTGGCACCATCCTGTTTACGGTGCTTTTCTTCCTCTTGCCAACGGTTGTCGTCTTCTACCTTGCATTTGCATCCGCGCGGATGATGATCATCTCGCTGAAGGCGGCACTTGATACCTGTCTCGCCTTCTTGAACCATTTCCCGCTGTTTGCGCTCATGCTTCGCGTCAAAGATTCGCGGCGTCTACCAGGTGCGATTTCCATAAATACACATCTCATTCTCTTTACTAACCAGACGCAGGCGGTATTCGATTCGAGCTTCGCGAGGAGCACGACAAGTCTCCCGGCGCCCAGTCGACTACGGTCCCATACATCCATCTTGAGGTGCGCTGCCTGCTAATGGTTCTGTCATAGCATTCAAACAGTTGCTAATGAACACAGTCGATCCCTCTTACCCTTCGGTCCATGTTCGATCAATATTTCCAGCTGGGCCATCGACTTCGAAAGCACTACCTAGCACCGCGGGTGATATTCTGTCTCTTTACCGGCCGATTTGTGCCTCCAATTCACCGGCGCAATCTCTACAGTATGCAATACAGCATGCTCCCGGCTCGTCGTGCAGGCTTGGCGGAGGTGTGGTCCATGTTGATGCATCCTCGGAAAACCAGCAGTGGTAGTGGCGGATCTTCGTCAATGGTGGGCAGCATGGGCACAGGTGCAAACGGGATACTCAAAGTGCCTGGGGTGTTTGGCCAAGAAGGAAAAAGGCGAGGACATCGATGACTCCTTCGGTGACGGGGAATGATTTACGCGCACTATACATAGACGTTATAATAATTATTATTCCAACGAGGTTATGTGAAGAGAATCTAAACCTTCAGTATCGTACATGCATGACGTTGTTAGTTTACATTACACATGCCCAAGTGAAAATGCATCGAGTATAGAAATACAGTGTCCAAAACAACGCTAGAGTTCAGTGTGGTACAAAATGCATCAGCTATCGCTTGGGACAGCCGTGCAATGAACAAGACGGTGGTTCGTGCGCGACGTCAATGCGGCAATAGCCAGAGTGGCCTGACATAGTAGCGCAAGCCTCGGAAGATAGTATGGATGATTATCCAGTATTTCCTAGCCCGTGTTTAACCCACGGCGGATGTTCACTGCCTTACACAGAAGAGGTATTCGGCGTGCTCATCGCGGCGTGTCCGATCGCGTCGATGTCGCAAATATATGTCCATAGGAGCGGAGAGTATGGTCTTTAAGCGAAGAAGGTAGAGGTCTAACTTCGGCGGAGATACTCGGCGTCGCTCTCCTTGTTGCTTTTCCGGGCATCATCTATCATCGTATCAATGCCTCGTTCCTTCAGGGCTTTCTAGTAGAAGTTAGTATGGACGTATATATGTGTAGACTGCAACTTACATTTAGACAGGACTTGTACTTCGAAAAGAGCTCGTCGCACTCGTTTGACTTTGTGTTGCCACGGAGATACTCTGCGATCTGGTCAGTGGCGGATGGTATGGAACTGAAGTGACGGACGTACTCTCGCTGTACCATTTCAGGAAACAGGTATCATATTTCCTAATCACTGTAAGTCGAGGGCCATGACTATATTTTAATAAAGCTCACTCTTTGATTTCGTTGCATTCTGGAGCTATGGAGGCGGCCATCTTGGAGGAATTGAGGGTTGAAAGTAATGGTTGAATGGTGTAGTCCGCATGCTTCTGGACTATTCGAGAGGAAGATACTCCGCCAGTCCCGATATAGTAGGCGGTCACTCTCTGCCGGCCCGGCCATTTCTCCACCTCCGAGATTTTTTACTTTTGATGGTCGGAATAATTCCAAGACTGACATCGCAATCGATCAGTCGGTCTTGACGAGCTATCTGAAATTCTCGCCTAGTCCGATTCCTGCAGTTGTGGTCAACATCTTTACCACAATGGAATCAGCTGCAGACTTCCCTCCGTTCCAGCAGCAGCTGACGTCGTCGCTGGTGCAGGTGACGCGCACTGTTGGACAGCTCTCCGCCGAAGATCTCAACTTCCACCGTTCATCAAGCGCGGAGGTCTCTGAGTCGCTTGACGAGCAGAGCGGTAGAATTCTTTCCCTTACCTCATCGATTCTCAAAGCCGCGACCGCTGGTACCGATTTGTCGACACCCACCCTGGAAGATGAAGACTCTCTCGAGGATAATTGGCGCGGCGTCGTGGATGTGATTGATGCGCTTTTGGAAAAGGCCGATGCCTGTCTGGATGAGTTTACGGGCGTGATAAGGAGACTGAGCCCGTCTCAGCAGGATCAGAATGCCGCGAAATCTACCAGGAAAGCGCCTTCGAAATTCCCGACCATCTACGACTATGGGCCGTCGAAGATCCCGAAACCCCAATTGCAGTTCGAGCGCTTGGCCGATAACACCGATGTATCCCCGTTCAAGCCTCTGTTGAAGACGAAGCCCCATGCGATGGTTCCCTTGGAGCAATCTTTGAAGGTGGCCGACCCTGCCGCCGGCTATCCGAACCCCTACGAGGCCGAGATCCGCGCCGCGAAGTATCCGGATCCTACCTATGTCGAGTCGCCTCCTGTCGATTATCTGCCCTTCGAGTCTACCACGGCGACCTTCGTGGATACTGTAGAGGGCGTGAAGGAGATGCTAGGCGAGCTTAAGGCGGCGAAGGAAATCGCCATCGATCTGGAACATCATGACGTACATTCGTATCACGGACTTGTATCTTTGATGCAGATCAGTACACGCGAAAAGGATTGGGTGGTCGATACGCTAAAGCCGTGGAGAGAGGAACTGCAGATGCTGAATGAGGTGTTTACGGACCCGAGCATTCTCAAGGTTCTCCATGGTTCGTCGATGGATATCATCTGGTTGCAGCGGGATCTTGGGCTGTACATTGTGGGAATGTTCGACACCTACCATGCAGCCTGTGCTCTCAACTACCCCAAGCGTAGTCTGAAGTACCTCTTGCAGAAGTTTGTCAACTTCGAAGCCGACAAGCGGTACCAGATGGCCGATTGGCGGATTCGACCTCTCCCGTCTGGCATGTTCGACTATGCTCGCTCCGACACCCACTACCTTCTTCATATATACGACCACCTGCGCAACGAGCTTATCCGCAACTCCACGTCCAACAACAACCTTATCGACTATGTCCTGGAACGGTCAAAAACCGAAGCGCTCCAGCGATACGAGCGTCCGGTCTATGATGCAGCCTTAGGTCAAGGGCCAGGAGGCTGGTATGACTATCTGTCTCGCAGTTCCGTCGTCGTCAGCAAGGAACAATTCGCCGTCTTCAAGGCCGTGCATCAATGGCGTGACCAAGTCGCACGGGAGGAAGACGAGGGTGTGCAATGCGTATTCCCGAAGCATGTTCTCTTCCGAGTCGCTCAGGTCATGCCTCTTGACCTTGGGACATTGTTCAGGACCCTGTCCCCCGTGACGACGATTGCCAAAGAGCGAGCATCTGAGCTTCTGGAAGTCATTAAAGCGGCCAAGATCGCCGGCGCAACCGGCCCAGAGTGGCGCGACGTATATGTGAAACCGACGAGGACGAACAACACTTTCACAGCCACTTCCGAACCGGCTGCTTCCACTCCAGCGGAGGAGGGACCTGTTCCCACTGCCGACCGTTATGAGGTCTCCCAGTTCTGGGGTTCCGTGCTGAACGCCCAGGAGCAACCTGTTCACCCCGAATATTCTATTGTCGCCTCGGCCGAGGCCCTTCGCCTGTCACTTCCGCTACCACCCATGCCCAAGACCGTCTCCGAAGTCCAGGAGAAGCTGGCGCCCAACCCTGTGCCGTCGAAGCCGACGCCAGCTCCTGCCAAGGAGCCCGAGGAAAAGGAAGAGAATAAGATCTTCACCGTGAAGGAACTCGGCGGACCACGCAAACGCAAGGTCACCCCCGTTGAGGGTGCTAGCCAGGCACCATCGTCCGAAGCGGAAGAGGGCAGCTCTTCCATGGAGACGTCGGAGAAGCCGTCGAAGAAACAACGCCGCAAAGAGAAGAAGAGCAAGTCCGGGTCGCAGACTCCAAAATCCGAAGAGCCCGAGCCGTTCAACTACGACGCCGCGGATTCGGTTCTGCACGCGAAGCGCGCGCAGGGTACTGCTGCCCCGGCCAAACGATTCAACCCGTATGCGAAGGCGATGGAGGCTCCGTCTGGCGTGCGCAAACAGAAACGCGAGACTGCTGGGAAAACCTTTACTTTCCGGTAGTCTGGGTTTTAATATACGTTGGTTTCGGTGGAGTTGTCTCAAGGTTAGATACATGATAGAATGATTCAGTGCATAGCGATACCCGATTGGTGTAACAATAAATGCATGTCAAGGAGTTATCTTCCAGTAGATTACATTCATTGTTCGTATGTCTATAGTCTGAGTATATACACTGCGGTTAGAAGTAGATCTGGTGATAGCACGACTTCTGGTCTGACGATACCATGTCCTATCCACTCAGGTTCTAGGAATTAATCTCCATATCTGGAACATATCCTGTGCCCAGATTTAGTCAATTGTGAATGACGCATGACTGCGACAGCAAGATCAAGACTTCGACAGTGTCTTCCGACGCTGCTTGATCATGTACGAGTACATCATGACCGCACCTGCAACATCATTAGCCACACCTCAGTAAAAAGAACCCGACTAACATACCCGGAGCATATAAAGCAAGACAGAAATAGAACACCCCCGCGACGACAGGACTCTCCGTCACCCGGGCCGCGCGATACATCAGCCACCACTCACTACCGATCCCGATGGGATAGAGGACCGCAAAGAGGGAGTACCTGATCAATTCATTAGCCACCCGCTGCACCGCACGGCGCACATCGAGATTTCTCACCGCAGCCACTTGAGAAGCGCGGGCATGGAGCCTCCCGCCAGCAAAACAATAAAGTAGGAGTAGCGCACGACGTCTGCGACAGACCATGCGAACAGCATCGCCGGATACGCGGGCGACGCGGCCGTCACACCGGGAAAGCCATAGTTAATGGCCCAGACCTGCACGGAGCGCGCAAAGACCTGGGTGAAGGTGGTGAAGATCGGGGCGCGGGTGATTCCTGCGTGCGGTCAGTTAGTTGCATGGTTGGAGTAGAGGGGGAAGCGCACCGAGTGCGGCGTGCAGGATCTCTGCGGCGGCGAGGGTCTGGGTCCATCGGGTCCAGGGTTCGAGGGTGGTGTAGACTGTGGCGGTGGAGGGGGCGCTGAGGATGGGGATGAGGATGCGCAGCCAGAGGAGGGCCGAGAGGGCGTTGTAGGTGAGGAGGTAGGGTTTGGAAGTGGAGGGCATGGTGTTGATACTGATTGTGATACAGCGTTGGTGTGTGGCATAAGAATTGACCAACAGTTGTTGGTCTTGCAGGATTTTTCCCGGTTTGGGATGGTTGAAGTCAGTGCCGCTTTTCTTTCTTTTCTTTTTGGTCTGGCACTTGCTGCGGAGTACTGTACATAATTTGTCAAGAAATAATGGGGCCAAATCATACTGATACTTGCACGAGTCATGTAGGTGTCAGGATTGTACCTCGGTAGTACTACTAATTATGTCATGTAGCAAAGCGACGTTTGTAGTGACCAACTGGTCAACTCATATCAACCATCAGAGGCAAACCTTCTATAATTCATTATAGCTCATGTGATGATATGGTTTGCAGGTGCACCCCCTATGGATCTGGGGTACCAGGGTATCCCTTGTACAGAACTCCTCTTGACCGCATATTGAGCGTCGGAGTCCCGAGTATACTGTGGGGTAGGATACGAGCAGCTGGTCCCAAGGAACAGGTTCGTGTTGTACAAGATGTCTGTGCTCAGCCAATATGGTCTCAAAGTTTGTACTCCGTATTTGGGTCTGGTCTGGCGGAAAGGTACATGATGTATAGCACCCATGTAGGTATCATCTACGAGGACCAGGTATGCTGGTTGGGATCCCAATACCCCAGAGTCGCACGGGAGATGATGTGCATCCAGCCGTCTTTTTCTTTTTTTTCTTTTCGTTTCGGCCTGGTCATAGCGGGGCGGTGGTCCCTCAGCTGACTCCTGAAACATCCGTGGTTGTCATCCTGACGTGCATACACGACACATAACAAGAATAAAGCATATTGATGTACAGTACTCCGCAGAAGGGTTCGGGAACCCCACGCGGTTCGGACGATAAAGATAAAGATAGAATCTGTCCTCTTGTACTCCTACTCGTGGCACGGGAGATCGCGTCATAGATATAGTAGATACCTCCCGTCTCATCTGTCTGCGACACCTGCAGGGATCCTAACCGGATGGGTCCCTCTTGGTTGCCCCTTGACGCAGGTACCAGGTCGCACCAACCGTGGCCGAGTCAGGTCTTAGTGGCGGCAGGTTTCATCGTCCCACGGTATGGGGACTGCGGGAGATTTCGTTTCAATTTGCTTTGACCCTTCTATTCATTTTTCATTTTTCATTTTTATCTAGAGAGAATATTACTTTATTGGTTGTTGGGAATTACTTTGTACAGAGGCAGATGGTATACTCCCTAATCCAGAGGATGGGGGACGGCGAGATGGAGGGATGGAAGGATGACATAGTCTTATCAGGGACGGTGTGGGCCTTAGTCGCCAACGTGATCAGAGAGCATTCTCTCATTGCATGACATCCAGTCATCGTTGGTATGTACGGAGTATGCATGACAGCTGAAACCGTTATGGTGCTGGATGTTCGCCAGATGGCCGGAGACTAGGGGGATCATTATATTCCGATGAAAAAGTACCGGGTACGGCGATAGCCGCCGTAGCCTTCTTCCCTGGGATCATTGTAGTATTTTATTTAAAATACAGACTATTACAATTGGAATACTCCCATGAATGATGGTACTGATAAAGGTGGCAAACCGTCGACTCGGCCAGGGGGGAAGAATGGAGGAGGTCAAAGAAAGACAAAGTCCGCTATAAGTTAGGACAAGTCGGACGTGCAGCAAGGTGGGTTCCGGACCGACTGGAATTCATTCCCCTTGCGTCGTCGTGCATCACCGGTCGAATGTCTGGCTTCAACGATGTCTATCGGAAAACGATCATCCGATTGTGACTGGATGGAGGTGCTTTGACTTTGTTCTGGGGGAGTCTATTGCTTTCTGGGATGAAGGTGTAAGTTGGAAAAAACAAAATTCAATAGAGTCCGAGCATGGCTGATGGAGGATTTACGAGTCGAGTACCTTGTGTACTAGGGACTCCGTACTGGTGTCCGGGTGGAATGCGAGTCACATTCAGGCACCGGCGGAACCGACTGGGTCCTGGCTGGGGTGGAGGTGGAGAGGGGAAGAAACACGGTTACTGGGACCACACCACCGTGGTTCATACTCGGTAGTGATCGTACAGGGAACCTGTACCGAGTACGGAGTAGATATCTGGAATCCGTAGTACTATGTATGATCTGGTTATATCAAGAGTCTGTGTTCTAATATTGATTCTATATAATACATAAATAATATTATTATAGAAAAGAAAAGTAAGACAATACCCATTATCATTATATTATCATGTATACCCTGCGACACCGCCATGAGACTGCCCAAGACGACTCCTCCCATGGTCCACTCCGACTGGTTCCTGTGCCTGGTGTGTCTGTCTGCAGGTCACGGAAACCAACTCCACCACCGCCTTTTTCTCCCCTCTTTTTCTTTTTCTTCTCTTTTTTTTCCCTTCTAACCGTCCAAACCATCGGGTTGGTTATTATTCTTTTATCTTTTACTATTATTATTATTATTATGATTTTTTGATTGTTGTATTTTTATATTTCTTTCCTTGATTCCCTCTTTATCATTGTTTGGTGTATCTGTATCTTTTCCCCTCCCTGTCTGCTCCCGTCGTCATCCAGTCGATTCTACCAATACCCCTGATTCTCCTGCACTCGATTGCTTATTTAGTCGCCCTGATTTGGATCTTCAACCACCTTATCCACCACCACCACCACCACCACCACTCGGACGGGATCGTTCCCTGCCTCCATCCTTCTTCCACCCCATTAATTTCTCTGACCTTGCTGCTCCCTCTGTACTTTTCCTCCTTCATCCACTCCTCCTTTGTCCTACCACTCTCCTCCATTCACCGACGCGACGGTTCCTCCTTCGAGACCCTAAGGAGTCGATCCGCCCCTCGTTCGCCCTCCACCAATTTCTAACCTCCCTATCTGCCTATCTCGCTATCAACCAACCTTGCCAATAACCGAGCGTCTGTCCAGACCTCTGCAATTGTCATTCCGATCACCCCCTCGAACCGTCTCCTCTCAAATCGCTCGCTTGGTTCACCTTCCCGCACGCCTTGTCCCTCGCGCGATCAATCAGGGGCACAACAACACCGGGACCCCATCGACCATCGTGATCGCGTCGATTCCCCGATGACCGATTTGGATCCGTGATCTCCTCCGCGACCGTTCTCAGCAACTACAGCGTACCCTGGAGATTTGTGGTCGTGTTGGACTCGGTGGCTGGTCGCTTGTTCATATAATATCTCTCTCCGTCGAGTTTCGACCGACCCGTCTGCGTCCCCAGCGCTCAACTCAACGCTCATCCACCACTCAGAATGTCGGTTGCCACAATGCTTCAACCTGCTTCGAGAACCTCTACTTCCTCGTCTTCGTCCTTTCAGCCCGTGTCCCGCCAAAACACCATGTCGTCGCACGATACTCGGTCGCTCCGCCAGTCCAAGCGGCTCTCCGTCACCGCGCTCTACCTGTCCATGTCCGCAAAGGACCGGGACTTGGAGATTTCCGATGACCTGGCGCGAGGTGAGTTACTTGAGAGACGTCCACCATGGTTCCACACTAATCCCTCGCGGAACAGCCCAAAAATACCTCCGAGAACTGAAAGGAAAGATTTCCACCCAGTCGAAGAAAAACTTTGTCCTCGAGAAAGATGTCCGGTACTTGGATTCGCGAATCGCCTTGCTGATTCAAAACCGTATGGCGCTGGAGGAGGTAAGCACCCCGATACTCGTCCACGCTTTGACAGACCCTGATTTAACGCCCTCTAGCAAAACGAAGTCGCCAGCCACCTCGACGAGGCGATCGATCCCCAGGAAGGCTTCTTCCCCAACGACGAGAAGACTCAGAAGTACGGAAATCTTCTGTTCCTTCTCCAGTCCGAGCCGCGCCATATCGCGCACCTGTGCCGTTTGGTGTCCATGTCCGAGATCGACTCCCTGTTGCAGACCGTCATGTTCACCATCTACGGTAACCAGTACGAAAGTCGCGAGGAGCACCTTCTGCTCACCATGTTTCAGTCCGTGCTCACCTACCAGTTCGACAACACCCCGGAATATTCGTCTCTCCTGCGTCAGAATACGCCGGTCTCACGTATGATGACGACCTACACCCGGCGTGGTCCTGGTCAGAGCTACTTGAAGCAGGTCTTGGCCGATCAGATCAACGCGCTGATTGAGTTGCGCGATGTGGACCTGGAGATCAACCCCCTGAAGGTATATGAGACCATGGTGCGGCAAATCGAAGAGGAGACCGGCTCGTTGCCGGACTACCTGGCCCGGTCGGTCACCGCCGAAGACGCCGCCGAGAACAAACAAGTCCAGGCTATCATTGCGCCCCGCCTGAAGATGTTGACCGATATCGCCAATGGTTTCCTCACCACCATCATCAACTCCGTGGACGAGGCTCCATACGGAATTAGATGGATCTGCAAGCAAATCCGTAGCTTGTCTCGACGCAAGTACCCGGACGCCCAGGACCACACCATCTGTACACTGATCGGTGGTTTCTTCTTTCTGCGCTTCATCAACCCGGCCATTGTCACGCCGCGGTCCTACATGTTGATCGATGCCATCCCCACTGACAAGCCCCGCCGCACCTTGACTCTGATTGCGAAGATGCTGCAGAACCTCGCCAACAAGCCCTCATACGCCAAAGAACCGTACATGGCGAAGCTTCAGCCTTTTATCCAGCAGAACAAGGAGCGCGTGAACAAGTTCCTGCTGGACTTGTGTGAGGTCCAGGATTTTTACGAAAGCTTGGAGATGGATAACTACGTGGCGCTGTCCAAACGCGATCTGGAGCTGCAGATCACTCTGAATGAAATGTATGCGACACATGCGTTGTTGGAGAAGCACAGTGCCGCCCTTGCTCAGGATCAACACTCCCACTTGCATCAGCTCTTGCAGGAACTCGGCACCGCCCCTCCCCAAGTTCCGCGAAAGGAAAACCGGACCATCACTGTTCCCCTGTTCAGTCGGTGGGAGACGGCCCTGGATGACTTGACCGCCGCCCTCGACATTACCCAGGAGGAGGTGTTTTTCATGGAGGCCAAATCCACCTTTGTGCAGATCCTCCGGTCTCTGCCCCCCAACTCTTCCATCACCCGACGACCCCTTCGCCTGGACCGCATTGCGGAAGCCGCGGCGACCCTCAAGAATGACGCGGTCATGGTACGCAAGGGCATTCGCACCATGGAGCTCTTGAGCCAGCTGCAAGAGATGGGCGTCATCGACCGTTCCGACGAATTCAGTCTCCTCCGCGATGAAGTCGAGCAGGAATTGGTCCACCTCGGATCTCTGAAGGAGAAGGTGCTGGAGGAGACCAAGAAGCTCGAGGAGGTCTTTGCGACTATCCGCGACCATAACGCCTACTTGGTGGGCCAGTTGGAAACGTACAAGTCCTACTTGCACAACGTCCGCAGCCAGTCCGAAGGAAAGTCCAGGAAGCAGCAGAAGCACCAGGAGCTTGGTCCCTACAAGTTCACCCACCAGCAGCTGGAGAAGGAGGGTGTGATCCGGAAGAGTAACGTCCCGGAGAACCGACGGGCCAACATCTACTTCATGTTCAAGAGCCCCTTGCCAGGAACTTTTGTCATCAGCCTGCACTACAAGGGTAGGTTACATCGGTCTCGGTGTTTATTTTCGAAAGTTTACTGACCTGGATTATAGGCCGTGCTCGTGGGCTTTTGGAGTTGGACCTCAAGCTGGACGATCTGCTCGAGATGCAAAAGGACAACCTGGAAGACCTGGATCTGGAGTATGTCCAGTTTAATGTGTCCAAGGTGTTGACGCTTCTGAACAAACGATTTGCACGTAAGAAGGGGTGGTAAGGCCACCGTTTCTGTTATGACGTATATGAAGCAGGCCGATAAGGCTGCCGATTGGTGCCTGTCTGGGCACCGGTCGTTTTCGGTCGAACGATGATGGGTTGCTGGATTCGAAGGGATCACGAAGGGCCCTCTGTTCGCCAATCCATGTTTTATATCATGAGAAACTGTTGAAGGTGAACATCCGTTTCTGCCTGTACAGGCTCGCCGTCCCATCACGACGGCGGATGAGTTTCGTTACCTTAACACTGACTGCGATTGCTGTTGCTGTTGTTGAATCTCTCCTCCATGGCCCTGGGCCAATAATCCGGTGAGAATGTGAACGCCTTGATACTCGGGATGGATTCGGAACTCCTCGCTGGCTCGAGGGGTCACCATGACCGGGCATTGGGCGGATTTGTTGTTTCGTATACCCTGTTTTCTGTTGAGTGACTGATTTGACTGTATTCTGGTTTGGCCATGTTGATTGTGTGCGATTTGATGACGATCTCATTTGTTCTTGTTGAACTAATATATGTGTTGACGTGCTTTTCTTTTGTTGACTGCGTTTGTGATGTCTCTGTTTATACCTGCGCATGTACCTATACGGATGAGATTCCCAGCCTCTGGAGTGAAGGCTGTTGTAATAATGCAGATGATGTTCTGTTGCCAGATGGACTACTCCTAGAGATGCTGTTGACGATTAGGGGAGTTGGACCGTGCTACGTCATGCAGGGGCGAAAAACACAGAAAATTTGCGTGGGTGTGGCGCGGATCGCTGCCAACTGGACAAACATGGTCAATCGGATTCTTCTTGTGGAATGGAACTGGTAGAACAGGAGGCCCCCCTATTCTGGAGACAGACGGTGAATCAACAACAGAAACATCGTTATAGCCATATATTTAGTAGAAAATAATCAGAATCGCCCACATTAATATGATTAGTATCAACCAATAGTCCCACTGTCACAGCCCCTCTGGCGTCCTTCTTGCCTGGCTGGCCTTTTGGGGGGGTTTCCCGCTAAAATAAAGTGTTGTTTCCGTCCAGCGTCCTGACCGTCTCTTGTCTGTCTCCATTCCCCTCCGTTTTCATTTCTTCACACCTCTCTCCCTTTTCAACCCGTTGTGATTTTGTCTCCCGTTCTCCCTCTAGATCAACATTGTCGTTGACGCAGAAGACAACTCCTTCTCAGTCTATCCTGTACCCCTCCAGTTTCGATCTGTCATCACCTCTCCGCTCCTATCAACCTTCTCTTCCCCACCGACTCGTCTACCTCAGTCGATTCTGTCGCCCTCGACAACCAGTGATTAGCACCTCGTTCAACAGCTCATTCAAACAAAAATGGCCGCCCCCGCTGAGAACCAGATTCCGAAGTCGAAGTACGACGACTACGACTTCCCCACGACTGCGCCGGAAGCCCAGTCCGGTCACCCCGGCCACACCACCCCCGAACAGGATGCAAAGGTGGAACAACTGCGGAGTGAGCTGGAGCAGCTCGGTTACACGGAGAGACTCGATACCCTGACTCTGTTGCGCTTCTTGCGGGCCAGAAAGTTCGATGTTGCTGCGTCCAAGACTATGTAGGTTTTCACCCTGGCGGAATTCTCCGTGGAGAATTCGGTCTCCTTTTGAATCATTGCACGTATTGTGGCGGTTGCGCTGACAGGGTTTTCCACCAGGTTCGTCGAGTCGGAGAAGTGGCGCAAAGAGTTCGGCACTGACGATCTCGCTCGCACTTTCAACTACGAGGAAAAGCCTCAGGTCTTTGCTTACTACCCCCAGTACTACCACAAGACGGATAAGGTGCGTCGGAAACCTACGTTCCCCTTCGCGTTTCCGTTACTTCGAAATATCCTGACCTTTGTCTACCGGAACAGGATGGAAGACCCGTCTACATCGAGAAGCTGGGCAAGATCGATCTCAATGCCATGTACAAAATCACCACCGCCGAGCGCATGTTGCAGAACCTCGTCACGGAGTACGAGAAGCTCGCCGACCCCCGCCTGCCCGCTTGCTCCCGCAAGGCCGGTAAGCTCCTGGAGACTTGCTGCACTATCATGGACCTGAAGGGTGTCGGCATCACCAGCGTCCCTTCGGTGTACGGTTACGTCCGTCAGGCCTCCGTCATCTCCCAGAACTACTACCCTGAGCGACTGGGCAAGCTGTACCTGATCAACGCTCCCTGGGGCTTCAGCACCGTCTTCAACGTCGTCAAGGGTTTCCTCGACCCCGTCACGGTCGATAAGATCCACGTCCTCGGTGCCAACTACAAGAAGGAGCTCCTCGCTCAGGTCCCCGCGGAGAACCTGCCCACTGAGTTCGGCGGTACCTGCCAGTGCCAGGGTGGCTGCGAGCTGAGCGACATGGGCCCGTGGCAGGAGCCGGAGTGGGCCAAGACCCCCAAGTGGGCTCTCCCCAAGGAGCAGAGCTCGTCCACGAACGAGGAGAAGACTGAGACCCCCCAGGAGTCGGAGGCTCCCCAGCCAGCTGCATAGAGTCAGTGCCTTCGACTTTTGGATCATAGCGTCAAGGAAGAGATCTCCAGTGCGATCTCATTCCCCCATTTATACTTCTTTCTCAAAGATTTCCTTGAGATGAACTATATCAGCTGTGCCATTTCCTTCTCTTCTTCGTTTGCTCGATCGATATCATCCTTGGTTCCAAGCCTCATAAATTCAATAGTTGATCATCTGTGCTTTGCTGTGTCGGCGTGTAGAGCCGCCTGTCGTTCTCCTTCTCTTCCGCGTTTTGTTTTCATTTTGGCTTCGTTGACTCTAGATATCAAACAACGCAACATCAGCGGCGCGAGGTTTTATAGATGGGAGTGGGAGTAGTAGCATTGGGAAGAATATAAAAGTGGTTATCTGATGGTGACGGTGGTGACTCGGTAGATGGTGCATACTTTGTGATCAGAGGAAACATTGCAAGTAGTGTACGTTATTGATGCAGGGGAAAATGTATGGAGGTAGTAGTCGTTATCTTATAAAACAATATGAATCGTAAGGTTGTAACAAAGCCTGGTATCATTCCATTCCCGACGCCTCAAGCCCCAAACCCGAAAACCGCAAAGAAAACACGAGCCAAATAAGGCGGTCATTTTTTCTCGACCACGTCCACCGCTTGGGCAGCTCGTTCGGCCTTGCCGACGGTCGTCGCTAGTCCATTGCCGTCGGCGGCTTCGTCTGTCGACCCGGCTGCGTCCCCGGCAGCGACGCCTCCCTGGAGCCGCAGCAACGTCCGTAAAGCATCCTCATACACTTCGGCCATCTCCCCACTCCGCCAACGCTCCGCCTCATGATCCGTACCGAGGGGCAGCTGTAGTTTCCGATCCGACCTGGACAAGTCGCGACGCGATCTCGTCCTCCGGTCCCGCGCTTGGGAGCCGTTCTCGTCTGCATCAGGCATCTCAACATCCTGGCCTTGTCCATCCGCGTCGTGCCCGTGCAGTCCGTCCAGCGCGTCCTCCAAGCCGCCTTCCTCCTCGTCGTCTTCGTCAGCATCGTCGTCCTCCAGCGTCTTCTTCAATTGCTCCGCATACGCAGCCGCGGCGCGCCGCGGAGCATCGCGTCTCAACTGCGCAACCGTCGTGGTCAGCGACTCCAGCTGCGCATACAGCGACGTCACCCGCGCCGCGAGCCGGCTATCGTACTGCTCGTACTCGACCGTCTCGACGGGCGCCGTGAACGCAGCCGGGAACGGGAACTGCGGCGACGAGGAGTCGAGCCCGTTGATGCTGATGGAGGAGGAGGCGGTCGTGAAGGTGCGGTTGATGAACTATTCTATTAGTTTCTAGCTGGAAGATTATGGACGATGGGATGAGGCGAAGGAATGGGAGGCGAGGGGAGGGGAGGGGTTACCTCGTCGACGAGTTCGCGCACGCGCTCGCGCATCGGGTCGGGGCCATCGTCGGGGTTGGCGGACGGCGGCAGGTGGAGGTCGAGTTTTTGGCGCGAGAGCGCGACCGTGTTGGCGTAGAGATAGGTGAAGTCGGCGGCGGATTGAAGTTCGATCTTGCGGTGCATGTCTGTTGACATGGTGGCGGTGGGCGGTGGTGGGAATGAATTGGGAGGGGAAGGGGGACGCGTTGAGGGGAATCGGGTGAAGCCATCCAAATAATCATAATACTGAGAGCGGTGAGGCCGGCCTCAGGCAGCCACGCCGGGTTGTCGATCGCCCCGCAAACGATGTCATCGATCGATCGTGAGGCTTCTTCGTATTCCTGCTTTTGTCTCTAACTCGTGCGCTGGGTCGCCTGTCTCTCGTTCATAGTTTTAATACTAATCCTTCTCATATCTTCGCTACCCTGATTATTGTTTCGTTCTTCTCCGCTTCTATTCAATCCCCCCGGTCCTCGTTGCGGCAATGCATATGCTCGCAGTGAGACTCATCTAGGGCAGCAAGGACCACCATGGCGGAAAACACCATCCATCTAGTCGACAACACCGCTCCAGTCCGTCGATTCTCTGAGGACGAACCGGAGGATGCAATTTCGCAGATCCCCACCGCCACCACCGACCGCTCCAAGAATGGCTCCAGGCGATGGAGGACTCCCTCCGTGAGAGCCTCGCTGCGGAACAGGCGATACGCGAAATGGCAGCCAGAGCGCCTCGGAATCTCCGACACCAATGGATCAGACGCCCGCGACGAAAGCGAGCTGTCTCGTGCGGGCACCAACACGAACACCCTCGGCGCTGAGAGTCTCGCGTCGGTCTCGTCCTTCCCCACCACCGAGCAACATGGCGTGGAGGCTGCAGATTTCGCGTCGTCAGGGGGAGAGCACAATAACGACACCCAGGGGCCGGGGTCAGGGACGAGATCTGGCTCGCAGTCCGGGTCGGGCACGCACGCCCACACGCACGCCCATGGCCTCAAACCCGGGAGTGAGCTGGACATCCTGTACGAGAACCAACGGGGGTGGTTCTTCTTTGGTATACCGCTGTACTCGCACAGTTCGCTTCTGAACTTCGATCCGTGCGCCTGGGTGACGGGCGATTTGCGCGACAGCCCGGTCAACATCACCAACGCGCAGCTTCCAGACCCCAGCTGGGAATGGGCCTGGAAGTCGTGGTACGTGGATATGTCGGGCGACGTGGACGACCAGGGCTGGCAGTATTCGTTCTCGTTCTCGTCCACGGCCTGGCACGGATCGCACCCCTGGTTCCATTCGTTCGTGCGCCGGCGCCGTTGGGTGCGGCTGCGGGTGAAACGCGCGCCTGAGAGGAGCCGCCAGGGCCGCACCGAGTTCGAAATGGCCCATCGGCTCAATGAAGATTACTTCACTATCCATTCGGCGTCGAAGAGCAGGGCTGCGTCGGTCTCCGAACCGGCCTCTCGTATGACTTCGGGACGTTCGGGTCGGGCGGCGACTCGTCCTGATGATACTGCTCCTCCGCTGGATGAGATTGCGAATATACCGACTTTATTACATGCCATGAGAATGGCGGTCGTGGACCGGGAGAAGATCGATGCTCTGGATCGGTTTCTTCATGAGGGAGGTCACGAGTTGTATTATCTGGATGAAAAGGTGAGCTTGAGCTCCATCGGACCGTTTCTCGAGGTATCAGCTAACAGGCGCTGTAGATGCCGGAGATCATGTCGCTGTTTGTCTTCCAGGAATCGCGCTGGCAATTCGTCACCCACATGACCAACTTTATCGACGAGCTGTCCCATGAGGAATCTCTGAGTAACGACACAGCAGCGGAGGACATTCGTCGCCAGAAGGAATATCTCACTAAAGCAGTGGAGACGGCCAACCGCCATCTCACGGGGCCGGAGCTTTTCAGTGCTCAGACAGAGATGCTCAATCTGACTCCTATCGCGAGGAAGGGCAGCTTGGTGTCAAAACACTCGCGCAACTTCTCAGCCCCTCCCATAACTAATGGCGGACACATCAAGGGTATCCCTCGACAGGCGGAGGTGGGACGCGAGGGTCATATATACTAGTTGACTGTGAGGACGGAGAGGGGTGTACAATAGTTTTATGTTTACGTTGGATAGACTCAGAGCAATGGAGGATCATCGGCGTTGTCCACGAATCTTCGTCATCCGCATGCTTTCAAACGAATCATCTTTGCTCATAGGATAGAGAATGCATGGGAGGGGATATAGTATGCCCAAGGAAATGTCCTGTGCTGACCGCCTACCCTTTAAGACCCGGCGGCAATTTATTATTCTGTGTGACTTTCGGGAGCTTCTTCTGCACAAGAACAGACTGACAAACGAAGACACAGCTCTCACCTTCCCTTCCAACACCCTCTTCCCTTTCCATGACCGTGACGACGCTTCGCCCGCGTCATTCCCCATGTTCTCGCGTGGCCACCCGTGCTTGAAAAGACGTGGTCTGGCTGCCGTCTTGGACACCGTCGCGGCTGGCCCCGAGGAACCCTTACTCTTCCTGTACCCTCGATGGTTTACGTCGGGGGCTCGCGCTCGGAAACCGATCTCGTCGATTAAATCCCCCTCTCCAGGCTCTCGCAGTTCTCGCAGACTGTCTTTCGGACCCCCGTCCCGACGATGGATCTCTTCCAACTCGGCCGTTGGCGCCACCGCACTGCCAGTCGATAATATGCCCCGGCGGACCTCTTCTCCCAATGCCGCAGAAGTGAGTCCGGCGGACCGATCTGAGACGAAAGCCAAGACGCAGAAGCAGGAGGCTAGTGATGTATCTCCGAAGCGGCGACATGTATTCAACGCCTTCGCCGATATTACGCCGTCGACTCCCCCTTCCGCACCACGAAACATCGCCCGCAACACCCGCTCCGCGGACAAAGCCCTGGTAGCCATGAAGCGGCTATCGGTCCGCGACCGACGAAAACTCCGATACCGATTGTTCCTTTCGAAACAGCTCCAAGAGCGTGGCGTGAAAACCAGGTCCAACCAGTGGACCAAGATCCGGGACTTGCTGGAGCGGTTGCAGGAGGAGGCCCGCGTGTGGGCGAAGAAAGGCACCAAGCAGAAGGAATTGCTCATCCCCGAGGAGACGGTGGCGCTGCTCGCCGGCGTCACCGACATGGCGATGAAGGAAAACATCTGGTACGTCCCGGTTCACAACGGGTGTCGCGTGCATGTGCTCCATCCGCTGGAGAGTGAAGGCCAGTACCGGAAGGTGATTTTGTCTGGCTCGGAGCGCGTCGTGGAGCTGGTCGGCGACCGCATCATGCATGCGCGCGACCTCCAGGCCCGCGGGGCTCCGCTGGTCGATATCCGCAAGCCCCGTCTGCCGGTGTTCCCGTCTATCGATGCGATGAAGCGAAAGGGCCATGAGGTGCCGCTTGTGCGTGGTGTTTGGGACTTTTATTCTGCGCGGGGGAGGCCGGCCAAGTTGGATTTGATATTGGCGGCTTCCGAGAACTTGTCGACGGTTAGAGAGTTTGCGGAGCATGTGGAGGAGCTGACCAGATCCCAGGCGCTGGCTTACAAGCGTATCAATGGCCATCCTCAGGCACCCGTTCAACGACGCATTGCCAAGGCGTTGGTGAAGTTGTTTCTGGACGACGCTAACCGTGACTTACTGTCGACGGCGGCGTTGAATCGCGCGCTGGCTTTTCTCTGCGAGCATGATTTGCTTCGCTTTGCGAAGATGGTGTTTCTCCGTGCTGAACATGTTGCGACGGTGGATACGTTTAATATTCTGCTGAAGTCGGCTGCGAAGAGACAGGATGCGCGGTTCTTCCGCCAGTACTTGCTGGTCATGTCTCGGATGAACATCCGACCCGATTCATACACTTGGGTTGCATTTCTCGACTGTCTTGTTTCACCGAAAGCGAAAGCGAACATGGTCATCTACACGCTGCAGAAAGGCTACCTCAACCAAACGGGCGCGGTGCGCAGCGCTTTGCAGTTGACTATCCAGGACACGTTTCTGACGCACCTGGAGAGCGGGAAGAGCGTGGACTCCTTTTTCAACATGGCTATCGACACGTACGGGACCAACTGGTTCCCTCCTTCGCTGATCAACCAGATGTTCAGTGTTACGGTCCGGTTGAGAAACTTCCAAGCCATGGATCGGCTCCTTGAGATCTGCAAGCAGCAGGGCTTCTCTTTAAACAGTTCTACGGTCAACCAGATCATCGTACTCTTCCGGTCTGATATCTTCTCTGCGCTCCGCTATGTCTGGAGATGCGTCGACCAGCCGGAGAAGAAGCTTAGGAAAGATGCATGGGAGCGGCTGTTTTTGATCGCCTTCAAGGGACGCCATTATAATATCTGCCGCGTCTTGTGGAGATACGCCTGCTTCAACGGGACTGTGTCGTACAAGATGAAGCAATCTGTGCTCACTTCGTTGGCTCGGAACGTCGCACGGAAGAAGGGCAAAGACGTCGACAACGTGTGGCGTACGAGCGCAGGCAAAGTCATTGTCGGGGTTGACTTGCATCTTGCATCGTACCCCCAAAAGAGGGCTCTTCTGGATGGCGTGCCGCCAGAGTTCCACGAGAACCCGGTCGCGTATCTTGCCAGTGGATTCAAAGCCGACGGTGAAGATCGCGAGAGACAACTGCGACTGGCAGCGATGCTGACGCAACGTGATATTGAGGTCGGCCCGTGGTATCGCCCTTCGCGGCCTTTGGGCATCATGCTGGAGGCTGCTGCGGTGATGGATCTCGAGTGGAAAAACACACCACGGCCCACGCAATGGCTGATGCAGAACGCCATTAATGTCCCTGTGACACAATCTGTCTACCCCCGGTAGCCGTGCCCTGTTCCATCCACAATGGCATTGTCGTGCTGTGTGGCACGTCCGTCGTACATGTCTTGGATGTATATAGCTTTGCTTCTGTACTCTAGTGTATATTACATCTCTACCCACTCACATTGTATATAGAATAGAATATCTTCAATAGAGAACATAACACGACGCCTTTATTCCAGCCACTGGTATATATCATTATCATAACTGTCTCATGTCATCACGCATGTTAGATCACGCCTCCGCCATTGCCATGCAGCATCGCCGGGGCCGGTGCAGCAATGGGGCCATGCATGTCGGGGCGAGCATCCGCAGGAGCAGCATAGGGGTCTGCGGTGCGTATCGACCCTACGCCCTCCTTGAGATACAGCACCAGCCGGTACGCCGAGTTCCCATTCAGGTAGTACCGATGCAGCCGCTTACTGCGCAGAAAGCCCAGACGCTCGTAGAGCTTGATAGCCGCCGTGTTGGTGATTTCCGTCTCGAGCGCGATCTGCGACCTCCGTCAGCTATGAACATTGCCATTCAAATCATTCGCGCATTTCCCGTGAGACTGTCACACCCTCCGTACAACCCTCCCATCCGCACCGTGACAAACCGAAAAGCAAGAAAGAAAAAGACGAAAACGCACCTCATCAGCCCCCCGCTCAATCATCGCATCAATAGCCATGCGCACCAGCTTCGTGGCGATCCCGCGCCCGCGATATTCCTCGCGCACGGCCAGCATGGCGATGTATCCGCGCAGGGGCCCGGCCCGATGCGGCTCCAGCTTCGACACGACGACGCCGACCATCGGCTCGGCCGGGCGCGTGTCGTCCATCGCCATGAAACAGAGCTCGCCCCATTGGTACAGGAAATAGCGGTACACGTAGATGCTGTAGGGCTCCGAGAGATCTTTGGAGATTAGTTGGCGCATGGCGCCGACGTATTCGTCTTCGCGCGCGCTGTCGTAGCGTTCGTAGCGGAGGGGCGGCAGACCCTCCGCGGCGGGGACGGGGAGGTTTGCATCGTGGTTCATTTCAGGGTCATGCGTTTGAGGTAATCGCGAGGTGGAATTGATTGTTGGTGGGTTGTTGGAGGGATAGGTGTGGGTGTTTGTAGAATAAGTTGGGTGTGGTGTGGAAGGCAGAAAGAAAGTCGGCGAGCATGACATGACGTTTTGCCATGTGATTATCATTCCCGGGGTCTTTTTCCTCCCTCACTCACACTTTGCTCTTTTTTCTCCTTCTTCTGTCCTCCCCCTGTCTCGCTTTACTTTCAATCTCGTTACTCGTCCGCTTCAATTCCTCGCGGTCAATTGACTACGCCCTCCCTGTCCTCCTTCCCCCTGCTTCGCCTCCTGGTGTCGCTCTGATGCCGGTCCGCCGCCGTCAGGTCCAGGACGACGACGTCCGGTCCCCGTCGGGGGCTCCTGCGACGAAACCCGTGGAGGAAACCAAGGATGAAAAGCCTGTGAAGGTGTACAGCAAAAAACCCAGCAAGCGTCGGTCCGGGTTCATCTTCGTGCTGGGCGGCCTGTTCGGCATCTTCATCGCCCTGTTCTTCGCCAACCAGCAGGATGTCATCCGGCTGGACTCGTGGATGGACTTTAATATAGACACCCTCATGGATGTCATTCCGCAGGGAATGCTCAAGGATGCGAAGGAATTCTCCGTACGTTCCGTTCCGGCTGTCCCGTTACCCGCACAGCCCAATACTGACTTATACGATCCAGCAACATGAACGCGACACCGTTAGCTACGATTCGTTCGCCGTCGGCCTCCAGCTGCAGTCGCAGGGTGTCGAGGCCAAACACCCCATCGTCATGATCCCCGGCGTGATCTCGACCGGGCTCGAGAGCTGGGGCACCGGCACGGCGTCGCGGCAGTACTTCCGGCGCCGGCTCTGGGGCAGCTGGAGCATGATGCGGGCGCTGGTCATGGACAAGGCCGAGTGGAAGAACCACATCATGCTGGACAAGACCACGGGGCTGGATCCGCCGGGCATCAAGCTGCGCGCGGCGCAGGGCTTCGACGCCACCGACTTCTTCATCACGGGCTACTGGATCTGGAACAAGATCCTCGAGAACCTCGCGACGATCGGCTACGACCCCACCAACGCCTTCACGGCCGCGTACGACTGGCGCCTGTCGTACCCCAATCTCGAGGTGCGCGACCAGTACTTCAGCCGGCTGAAGTCGTACATCGAGACGGCGGTGGAGGTGCGCGGCGAGAAGGTGGTGCTCGCCTCGCACAGTATGGGCTCGCAGGTCGTGCTCTACTTCTTCAAGTGGGTCGAGAGCCCGGATCACGGCGGCGGCGGCAGCGACTGGGTCAACCGGCACGTCGCGTCGTGGATCAACATCAGCGGCTGCATGCTGGGCGCCGTCAAGGGGCTGACGGCCGTGCTGTCGGGCGAGATGCGCGACACGGCGCAGCTCAATGCCTTCGCCGTCTACGGGCTCGAGAAGTTCCTGTCCAAGGAGGAGCGCGCCGAGATCTTCCGCGCCATGCCTGGCATCTCCAGCATGCTGCCCAAGGGCGGCGAGGCCGTCTGGGGTAACGCCACCTGGGCCCCCGACGACCAGCCCGGCCAGACCATGACCTTTGGCAACATCCTCAACTTCCGCGAGTCCAACTCCTCCCTCACCCGCAAGAACCTCACCACCTCCGAAAGCCTGGCCTACCTGCTCGACGTCAGCGACGACTGGTACCGCCGCCAGCTGCTGTCCAGCTACTCGCACGGCGTCGCCCACACCACCAAGGAGGTCGAGGCCAACGAGAAGGACCCGCGCACCTGGCTCAACCCGCTCGAGGCCCGCCTCCCCAAGGCCCCGGACATGAAGATCTACTGCTTCTACGGTGTCGGCAAACCCACCGAGCGCTCCTACTTCTACCAGGAGGAGCGCGACCCGCTCGTCAACCTCAACGTCAGCATCGACACCACCGTCACCAACGGCGACGGCGTCGACCACGGCGTCGTCATGGGCGAGGGCGACGGCACTGTCAATCTCCTGAGCACGGGCTACATGTGCGCCAGGGGCTGGCACATCAAGCGCTACAATCCCGCCGGCGTGAAAGTCAAGGTGTTTGAGATGCCGCATGAGCCTGATCGGTTCTCGCCGCGCGGCGGGCCCAACACAGGTGCGTTCCATTCCTTTCCCCCCCATCCGCTCCGTAGAGAACCAATGTCTAACGAATCCACGGCTACAGGCGACCACGTCGACATTCTTGGTCGGGCGTCTCTCAACGAGTTGATCCTCCGCGTTGCCGGCGGCCACGGCGACGAGATCGAAGAGACCTTTGTCTCGCGCATTCGGGAATACGCGGATCGTGTCCAGATTTATGAAGAGTAATGCCTGCTATTGTGTCTTCTTTTCCTTTTTTCAGCGTTCAGCCCAAACTACATAATTCCGGACGACGTCCATGGACAGCTACATCGGGCTGCGGTAGATGGTTGTATGTTCAATTCCACTATAGATATGTATGAGCGATCATAATGATGACGATGCCTTGCTACATATATTTTTACTCCGAGATCAAGATGATCAAGACTAATCTGCTTAGCCCAGTAATAAAATTCTCTAATCAAGAAAGTAATGTATAGACACAAGCCAAAAAGAAGACACCAGAGGGCACCACCATAACAGCCAGTGATAATGTACAAACGGTCTTCTTCATAAATCATAACGTGCCGGCTGGGGATTATAATTAGTGATACTGCGGCCGCAAATAGACACAACAGCACCCGCGGGAAGCCCTCGTCCGAAGTAATAGGTGAAACATGCCTATCCCAGAACAGAGCGTCCCTTTCCACCATTGTCCTCCCAACACGGGAATAGGACACGACCGGAAGACTCCTCGCCGTCCTCTCCGCACCATGAATACCGTTCAAGCGAACGGCGGCCACGGTCTCCGAATGATAAACACAAAAAACATTAGGGTCCATCCGTTCCCTCCTGTCCTTCTTGCTCTCTATATGCCAAATGCAATGGTCATTAAAAGTTGAAAATGAAGCGTCAAGAAGAACCCTTCAAAAAGCACAGCGAGTGAAGTGCAATGCAGTAGGGCGCCTGATCCCCGATTTTATGTTCCCATTGAAACATTTCTCCCAAGGCGCCGGTGTGAGCGATCGACATGAATGTAAAAAAGTGTAAGGCAACTATGTACCTGGCCGAGCAGAAGGGAAAAAAGAAAAAGACTCGACCAGTGGGGAAAGCGATAGACATCAGTCGGTATCGGACGAAGATCGTCCTCACTCTGGATCACTTTCCAGAAAGAAATATATGAAGCGAATGTCTCCCAACAGGGTATCACGAAAATCGGTAGCAATTGGCGAGTGTAACGAAATAGCCACGCAAACCGAGCTTCGGTATTAGGATTAGAGGACAGAACTGTCGAGGAGCCCGGGCTGGACGATCATGCTGACGAGAAAACCACGTAGCCCGACTGATTCGCGATAAATGCATGTACAGTTGAAAAGGGTGGTAATAAAAAGCGGCAAATCCAAGCAGGTAACATTAGGCCTGGACTGCCGAAGAACGTATTAAAGTGATAAGTGTCGAAATCTGCTCAATGCGATAAGAAAGCCAGCATGTCGTCAAATGGTGCAACGCCGTTCATGAAAATGCAAGTGCTCAAGCACGGATTCGGTATATGCAAGCTCGAATCAACTCAAGGGGGAGAGGAGGTGACGGCCGGACTCAATGTCAGTAGCGGGAGACGCTAGAGACTCATGTTCCCATGTGTAGTGGTCGTCAACGGGACTGAGCGAACCGGACGAGACGGAAGATGAGGAACCAACTGTCCATTCATCGCTGTCCATATTGAATTCGCCGCCGAAGCTGGCCAAATCGTAACCGTACTCCCGAGTCGCATCACCGTACTCGACATAGTCGTAGTCCCAACGAAACATCTTGTCGTTCTGCACGCGGGGCATGAATCGCGTCTTGGCGAAGTAAAAGGCCGTCGTCGCGAGCAAACCACCGCTAACCAAGTCCACCGCGTAGTGGTGGGAGAGGTACATGGTAGCCCACCACATCCAGAGGGTGTAGGTCACGAACAAGGGCTTCAGCCGCGGGAAGACCTGGCTCATGAAGAGGGCGGCGAGAGTCGAGTCAGCGGCGTGCAACGACGGAAAGGCACCAAAAACAACGGGCGACTGTTTGAATCCAGAGGTATACAAGTCGATACCAAAGAGCTTGTCAATGCGCTTCAAGCCTGCGGCGTTTCCTTCCATCGAATAATCGGCCGGCGCCAGCCCATACAGGTTCTCATACCATGGGGGAGAACAAGGGAACACCAGCTGAATGGTCACGGCAGTCATGCTGATATATCCGAAGGTCCGGGCGAAGAGAGGCACCGTGCCAGGAGGACCAAAGATGAACAGGAGGAGGGAGACGACAAATGGCGCTCCGTAGTGGCAGATACCGTACGGGAGCCACGCTAGGACGTCCAGAACGACATTCTGGTGAGCAGACAAGATATTACTGATGTTGGCGCCATATAAGATATTCTCCAAAGCCGGAAGGACGCGGACCCAGATTGCTGGGCGCCAATCGCTGGGAATGAACCTGCAACGGAAAGCCACGGGTTAGTCGTTGATCCTTGGGCATCCGGACGTGGGTACGATGACTTACTGGCAAGCATAGAAGAAGATCAACCAGCCGGCGATGGGGAGAAACGGCAGGAAGAACTGGCGAGTAATAGGAAGAAGAAGAGAGACCAGGAGCAGAGAAAACACAGCGGTCTTTGCGAGAGGCCCCGGGACCTCAATGACGCTCAGCGAAAAGATCCCAACAATTAACAGCAGTAAGTATTGGAAGTCGTAGAGCGTCCACCGATGGCTCTGGAGCGAACGGAGAGTGTCGACCGGGGAGAAGGAGGTCTGGAGGGAGGAGATGGACGACGTGGGCGAGATTCTACTGCGCAGCTTTGAACGGATCTTGCGACGCATCCGATGCGGAACCAATAGCTGAATGGAGCGCCATGGGACTTGGATCTGAAGCTTGCCGAAGTGTTGTTGCGTGCGATCCTTCCACGAAGGGAGGGAGGGGTTCATCTCTGCGGCGATGGCCGTCGAAGGCACCTGCAGATCTCGCTAGGAATTTGGGATCTGATCCTTTCTCCTGGTTGAGGGAATGGGAGGAGGAATGGTGTCGGAAGTCGAGGGGTGGAGGGTTGATGGAGTCCCAGCGGATTGGACGGAAAGGGGGCTTTGACTGCCAGGCGCCAACGTGACGCAGCAAAACGTTGACAATCGCGGGGAGGCAACACGCTGACAAGCCGCTGGTGAACGGAGGGCCAGAACGGTGTTGTTATTATTGTAGGAATCGATCGGAACAGCGCAAGCTCCGGTCTCCAGAGGCCAAATGATGATGCCCTTTTGGGGGGAAAGGTGGACGAGGGTCACGTTTCCAGGGCTTCCGGGACGCAAGGCGGACAGTAAGGGCGGTCGAAGGAGAAAGTCGCGAGAGGACCACGGAGCCGGAGAGTTGACGGAGAGCCGGAGCAGAGAAAGAGAGCACACGGGGGGAAGAGGAGGTAGAGAGAGAGAAGAGAAAATGGAGTAGAGTTTGAGAATGGACGAAGAGAAAGAGAGTCGAGAGCGCGAAAGCGAAGAGAGAGAGAGAGAGGCCGAAAGAGCGCTAACCAGCGAGTGGTATTGGTATTACCGTCATGAAAACCGGTATTGGTAACTCCGTCTCCGCTTCGGCTCGTGTCGTCACGACTAAGCCCAATCAGTCGGTGCTGGAGATGAGGTAATCTCCCTCTTGCACAGGTGCCTGACAATGACCCTTGGACGTTACCACGGACGATTACTCGACTGGGTGGTCGAGGCCAAGTGCAGAATTTTTGAACAGAGATTTCTCTCCTCTACGGAATACAAAATTTTACATCTTGTCCCGGCAAAAGCCGAGGGCCGTCAGATTGTGTTGACATAAATCGGAAAGCTCTGGAGCGGATGCAGCGGAAGTTCGGAGAAAACGGCAGGCCTGGACACCGAGCAGCAGGCACAAGCACGAAGGAAGGAAAATTGTGACAGAGCTACAGATGGAGCTTTGAGTTAGTGTGATTTTGGTCAGCGGGGACTGGGAGGATTCCAGCATAAGCCGTAATATAGTACTAGGTTTTGATCCAGGTAATAAATCTGATATCCGCCACTGTATTCTGCTAGAGAGTACCTGTAGATGTTTGCCAGTGCCAGCAGGAGAAAAGTCAGCAAAAAAAAAAAAAAAAAAAAAAGTGAAAAAAGAAAAGAAAAATCTTCTCCCCATCAGGAAAATACATGAGTGATTGGCTGTGCGCTGCCCCACTAATCACCCACGGCAGCCAACGGGAAGGCGTAGATCACCATCCCCAATTTCGCTTAGCCCGCAACGGTTGTACAGTCAGCATCCATGGGCCAACCACATCGCCCCACCCCAGCCCACTGTGCCTGAAAGGGGATTCCATCTTGCGATCCTCATTAATTCGACAATCTAAACCATAACTATCTCGTCCATCGTTGAGACACAACATTTGATGAACAAGGGAAAGGGGGAGCAACCGGGAGTACTAACTAGTAGTATATTTCCAATAGTCCTTCTCCTCTCTCCACTGGTGCAAACAAGAAGAAATCCCGCACCGCATCCCAGATCCATGGAAAGCGTCCAGATCCTCCATCTCCCGATTCCACTCTGCCGGTTTTCTGAGCCAGTCGACTGTGTTGACTGGATGAGATTAACAGACTTCATACAGAGTACAATAACTATTCGACATGTGCCTCGCTCTAGCTCGGACCATAGCCGCCGAGGTCATCGGACTAGCTCCACCTTCAAGACTCGTAGGACAGCTTCCTTAGCTTAGGCCCGATGGCTATTATGTGCACTATGAAGTCTGCTCTGTATCTGTTGGTTTGACCAGCCATCGCATTTATTTGCTCCGGTCTGACCCTCTGACCCTTGACCCAATCTTACTGAGACAACCAGGAGATGAGATGGCCCATCCAGTCGGCATCTCACTGCAGACGGATCTCATCGGTCAGCCCAGGACTACCTAGGGATGCTGTGGAGAATAGAAAGTTCATTGGGCACACGAACATGGCCCCTCTAGACGGAAACGAGGAACATGCATCACTGAAGTCGAAGAAGCGCAGGGCACAGTACTGTACGGTTTTGATTACGGTACCGCCCTCGGAAGTCATACGATCCGTACATGCGATACGCGGAGATACGAGACGACCTACCTTACCTTACTGTGAAGATGGTGGGCAGATCACGGCAAGCCGCACCGGAGAGGAGGATCCCTCTGCATCCGACCTGCATCCTAGTGGGTGTCAAGCTTGAACGCATGGAAAATCTCCAGCAAGCGCCGGCCGAGCGGGGGAGGACCGACCTGCTGACCATGGCACCCGCCCAGAGATCGTGGTCGTCTCCTCCTCGTCTCCTCCTCGTCTCTGTCATGGAGGGAACGGGTCTGACTCCCTTGCTTTCTCGAAGGGAGTACGGAGGAGGTAAGTCAGTCATGTAAAGTAAAGCATGTGCATGGGAGTTTCAACCGGCCCCCCGGCGCCGACTAGTCCGCCGCGGTTGAGATTAAAGGATGTTGGGCGTTCCGAGGTTTCCAGCAGGCGACCACAATTTCGCGCAGTCGTACTGTAAATAGCATCGTAGTCGTATCCGTACATATGTAAGTAAGAAAGAAGTGTAGAATAAGATATCTCGTATTCGTTTCTACCTCCCTGTTGCCTAGGACCCAAAGGGGAGGAGAGAAAGCGACTATGAAGAGCTTGGGCCACCGCCAAGCAGCACAGCAGATCATTATTAACCCCCAGCAACATTCTAATATTGGTATCAGCTCTGGAGAAATGTTGTACACCTGCTAACTAGTTACCTACGGAGTAGTTACTACCAGGTAACTACGGAGTACTCCGTAGTAAACAGGATCCTGTCTCCATTGCATCATTCCGATCAAAGACATCATCCAACATCATCGATCCATCAAACCCGTGGGTCCACTGCGCCCGATCTATTCTCCCGTAGCACTGCCTGGATATGTACGGAGTACTGTACAATCCTTCCATAGTATTCTTTCTACATCAACAGACATGATAGATAGATAATACTCGTGGACCGATGAGGCTGGGTGCATAGGCTGATGTCACCTGACGCCCTCGTGCCCTCAAAGCAACCGCCCCATGAAGTCATCCTGCATGGGATAGATTGCTGTGTTCGAGTGCAAGTAAGCACCACTTTCTCGCTCCCCATCAGTCCTTGAGCCTGCGAAACAGCAATGTAACATTAAGCGCCGCCTTACATACCGTCCTCATCTCACATACCAAGGCTGAATGACATTGCGCATTTGAAACAGCAAGGCATACCTCAACGAACAGCCCCAAGAGCCAAGGGATGCCTACTGCGGCGCTGCAGTGGCAGTGCCCCCTTGCTCTGACTAAGAATTCTTCACCATCGTCATCTCTTGCCCAAGGACAACTCACTAGTAAGATATGGATTATTGTTACCCTGTAAAACGGTATGTTGGTCTGCAGCTGAAACTTCAATGAAGGCGCAACCGAGATGAGTTGGAATGTGGCTTGTATCTACTAGCCGTCCGTTGTTTGGTATGGAGCCACATCAACACCAGGCGGTAGAAGGTCTGTTGACCCCAAGATCCTTCATCCCATGTCAAACCAGATCCAAGCGTTGTATACATCATGATTTCTTTGTTGGGGATTGTCTTACATGAGCAGTCCCAGTATACGACGCGATACAATTCTCCTTTCGTCCCTTCTACTCCAACCAAACTATACTTAGATGTAGGTATGTACTGTTCAAGTATAACCTGGATAGAGCGTGACACAATAACAAGTGTAAATTCATGCTGTCTGTTATCTACCCCTATACAGCCCCCGTCACTGCTCGAAAAAACCTCTGAACCTGAGTCCTCGTGCTTTGTAAGAACCTAGATGACACGATGCCCTCCACTTCACGCCGGGCCTGAAAGCACAACCCCAAGCTCTTGAATTCGTTGAATCGCTTCGGAGTCGATCTCACGATCGGCTGACATAGCTTGATCCATGCTATCCATCCAGTATTCATTAAGGAACTCATCAATTCCGATGCCAAGCTCCTGGCACTTGCGGTTGAACTCCTCCATCAAATCTTCGAGCAGAGCAAGATTGTGCCGCTCCTCGTCCTGAATCTCTTCCACCTCGTCCTGGTCCAGTCTCTCATACTCATGACAGGTGTGCTTGATGCCTATTCTTTCGAAGGTGGCATATCGAAGAACACGCTCAGCAAGGGTCGGGATACTATCGCTCAAGGATTCCCGGAGAAGCACTGCCTGGCAACAACGGAAGACCTCCAGTATCCCTGGCAGTGTCCACGGTCCACCATTATTTACGGTTGAGGAGGAGAAATGCCTCAGCATTCTCGTCAGGGGCCGACATCCACCCAACGAGCATGCACAGGAGCAACTGTCTTGAGTATCATCCAAGAGGATTTTGTGGAGGAGATCCACGCAGGTCTGCTCGAGATGCCGCATGTCGTTCAGGGGTGACCAGTATGTGGCCAGAGCACGGTTTTCCATGGCGCACTGCAGGCTCATATATTCCCCGATATCGTCCGCCAGATAATATATCGCGGGATAGCCTGCCAGGGCCTTCTGATCGAGATTGGCACCGTGAGACACCATCCATTGAGCAAAGTGTAAGATATCCACGAAACTGTGCCTCGGAGGTGGTACCGCAGGACGCAGAAGCACCAGTGGAGTATGTCCAAGTTCGTCGCTCTGATTCAGGTTTCTGAATCCTGCTTCGAAGAGACGGTTGGCTGCATTGCGGCTATACGACGTGCAGCCATAAACAGAGTAAGCCTCCGCCAACTCTGGTGTCCACGCAACAAATTGATCTTTCAATGCCTCTTGGACTTGAAAAGCATGGACATCCAAGAGGTCCTCTGTTGGCAGGCCAAACTGATGGATTTGGTGAGAGGAGAGCTGTCGCAGAGCTAGATTCTGAAGCTCCCGTCGCTGGTAGGCAATCCTGGAGACCACCACATCTAAAATATCTGGGTGGTCGCTTACGGCCGCGAACACCAAATGGACCCGGGTGATTACCTCAGTGGCCTCGAGCAGGAGTCGTGCACACTCAGCATCTCCAGCCTTGCAGGCTTGTATAAAGGGATTTAGCATGGATTTGACATGAAGCCTGAGGGGTGAGTTCAGAATCAACGACATCCCCCGTGGCCAGCCCAAGCACATAAGAATGGCCATGTCGATATTGGGATGATGTGGGCATGCAATGTATTCCAACAAGTCCTTTTCGGATCGAGTAGACACTGCAAGTTCGACATCAGAGAGGATATATTCTGACAGTGAACCGTGTTAGCATCGCTCAACCATAGGTAATCCTACATACCATCCATATTCCGTACGACAAGATGTCGCATAATGCTGAAGTCATAAAAACACATTCCTGATCTCCAGCACATGTCTTGCAGAATCTCTGCGGGGTTTAACAGGCTCCCTGACGACAAGAGGTCGAAATAGATCTGAAAGAGATCCTCCGAAAGCCCTAGATCACCACATTGCCACATATCACGCATTAGCCATCTCACTATAAACCGATCCAGTGGAGTGCTGTTAAGGACATCTCGCTCCTGTAAGGGCACCTCAGCATCTATGAGGGCTTTAATAAACCCCCGAGCTACGACCAACGTTGGGGGATCCAGAGTTTCGTCGAGAATATCCGCGAATTGCTGCAGGAAGATATAAGTCACCCAGGAAGTCAACAGTTTCTCTCTCCTGAGGTGCACTTACATGTAAAAGTGTACTTCCGTCCCTGAGCATGTCCTTTGGCGAGGCTTGGCCATTGTCAAACATTTGGAATAAAGTTCTCTTGGTATCTTCCAGGTATATTGCCATATTTGCACGGGGGAATTCCCACTTTCTTCTAACTACTTGTTGAAGTAGCTCGAATGCTGGGGAATCAGCTGCCACCACCCGGCGCATATGCAATGATGGACCTATCAAAAGAGCTCCGGCCTTCTGCTCAATGGTCATCATGACCTGTAGAGAGAGGCCAAGGACGTTATTACACAATGTAAAGTTTGCTCCAAAACTGATGCTCTTTCGGCCAGTTTGGTGTAAAGGGCAGGTCTTTTCATGGAGAATCAGGGCGAAGAAAGAGATCGTGGATCTTGAGCCCCTTGGAACGGATGCGCAGGTACATATTGAGGATCCTGCAGTGCGTGATCTAAAACGCCGCCTCACAGATACTTGTCGATCGACGAGTTTCTTGAGCGATGCTGGCTGTAATATCGACCGGTTGCTCTGCTGAATGATCAGAGACTCCTGCTACATATCAGACATGACCAGACATACAAGGCTCCCGAATTGAACCTTACCTGCTGTAGCTTATCCCTCATGGACGGAATAATCAGCTGCCCTTGACTCTCAACGGTGCTAAGGATCTGCGTTGTTCGTAAGTCAATCGACGAAGACCTTGATGTCAGCTCTTGAAGCTGCTTTTGCTGGTATTGGATAGTGGCCCTTGTGGCAGTCAGATTCAACCCAAGCGAAAATTTATTCAAGCACCAGAGACTCACATGTGCAGAACCTGGAGTGCCATTGATAAATCATTCTGGAACCCGGTCACTGCTTGCGACTGAGAAACCAAGGTGTTCCGCTTGAACGGATAACGGACTCGTTTCAACTGCAGCCAGTCGTGCTTCTTCACTCCTTCGGTTGATGTGGGGTTTGCTTTGCATCTTTGCAGCATCTCTTCCAACTTCTGGCATGCTTGCCGGCAGGCTTTCAAATTTCCAAGGATGAGAGAGTGATATCTCTCAAATGAGAGGCTCCGATCATGGGCTTCGGACACGAGGGTCTCCAGAACCTGAAGAAGGGCCTGGAGATTATCGACTCTCGATGTGAAGTTATGGATTTCCTCATCATATGCCTTCCAGGGCTCGTAATATGCCAGAAATCCCTGGCAAACAGTAAGGCCAAGGGACACCACTCCAACGGCACTTCCAGCTACCGAAAAAGGGTCACTCATGGTGGGCTCCAAAGGAAGTGAAGAAGAGCCGTCTGGTAGTCAAACCAATACGCAGGAGCTTATCTGAAGGGAATAAACAGGCCCAAGCATCTTATAGCAAGATTCTGGGTAGGCTGCGGCGGTGCATGCAGGCTGGCAATGTGGAGTTTTTGCGATTTGGCGAGCACGTCGAAAGTGCTCAGCCTTGTCACGCCCTCCCAAGCCAACCATCAGCCATAATCAGGCGAGCGTAAGAAATTGACTTGTTTCATTTTTTTAAACCACTAAATACATCTATGCTTATCCCAAACCCCAAACGCCACTAATGCCGTAGATCAAAACAAATGAAACTACTTCTCATCCCCAGCAGCCAGCAACTGAAACGCCTTGACCAAGCCCATTGCGGATCCCGCCGCAACGCCGCCCACCAAGACCATCTGACAGCCGCCGATGAGTCCGCGGCGGACGTTGCGGGCGCCTTTCCACCCACTGACGAAGCACGTCTTCCCGTAGCCAAAGAGGAACAGCGCCACGACCATGGTAGCAATGGACCATCCGAGCGCGACAAAGGCGTCATGCGGGCCCACAAAGAAGTACGGCAATAGCGGCACGAACCCGCCGATAAAGTAGCCCATGGCGATGGTCACGGCGCAGATGACGGCGCGCGAGCCCGACGGCTCCTGCAGCGTGTGTTGGAAGTTCATGAGAAAGTCCGGGAGCTTGGGCGAGTCCGAGAGGTGTCGGGTGAGCTCGGCGACAAGCGCAGGCGGCAGGTCGTACAAGGCGAAGATGTCCGAGACAGTGTCGGCGACGGAATCGGGATCCGTCATGGTTTGGGTTTGGGTTTCTTTCAGAGTTGCACGATAGGATTCTCTGTTATTCGTTAGCTTCCGGTTCGCAGGGGTATAGTTGCTTTTGCTTCTGGTTGTTGGACTTACTCTTCGCTCTTTGCCCCTAGGTACCCGCCCAGTCCCATGGAGATGGCGCCCGCGATCAGCTCGGCCAGACCGCCAAACACGACGACTTTGGTGTCACCCAGCGCTGACAGACCGGCGGTCAAGGCGAAGGGGACGGTCATGCCGTCGGAGAGACCGATGATGGCATCGGAGATGAACCGACCGTCGACGAGCTTAGACTCCTTGGGTTCTGCGGTGTTGCGCACATTCGCCGGAAGCTGATCGATACTGGATGACGAGCCATGACGCTGGTCCTCGCTGTCGTTATCATCCGCTGGGCGTAGACGTTTCTCCAGGTCGGCCTCGGAGTAGTCCGACACCGGGGAGTAGCTGGAGAGCAGACCCTTGACGGAGGAGAGGGACATATTGGGGGTTACTGGGTGTTGCAAGAAGAGGTTCCGTTCAGACCAGAGCTAGAAACGGGTCTGGGCAGCAAAGCTTATATAGGAGCATGGCTGTCCTGGCGCACCGCCGTGTGGAGCGGGACGGTGGAGGTATGTAGAGAGGACTCAGAGAGGGGGAGAGAGAGCATGACTATGGATCAACAACGGATTGGAGCATTGTGTAGTAAAGACGCACCGATTATTGGCGGGGGACGCTGACAGGGGAGAGCATCACGATGTAACGATAGATGGCTTGGCCTATCGTAAGAGGACGATCCCCAACGTGACTGCGGAGAAGCCGTCTGAGAGCCTTCCTAGTTGGGCAGTTGCGCTCTGCCCGCCGCACGTGGTCTCCTGATTCGCCTCCGTCGGAGGGGGTGGGGCAAGCTTGTTCTTTTCCCTATCTATGCAGATTCTTATACAGTTTTATCCTTGGTACTATACACATGTTCTGCAGAGTACGTATACTCTCAATAATATTAGGTACCCAGAGCACGCGACGCTACCTCGTTCTAGTACTCGGAATACCTCATCAGATGCATAGGTATAATATCACGTCTACACCAATATTCAAAAACTACTCAACAAAATTATATCATTGTTGGCGCTCATTCAAGCATCTACTCTCACACTACATCTGTGATACAAAAACGAAAACAAAGTCGAAGCAGCCATCATGGTGGCATCACACATCAGTCGTAACAGGGCGATTAGTAGCCCATTCATTTCGAGTACCTGTGTCCATCAGCATCTCTCTGACCGAAGAAAGAACAAAAGAAAGATTCATAACATACGTCTTCCTCTTCTCCACCTCACTCGTCTCCGTCTTCCCCGTCATATTCCACAACCGACTCTTATACGCAGGAAACGAGGTGTGGTTCCACATGTTCACCAGGACACTACAGTCTCGTCAGCATACGCCCTCACCACACACCCACAGAACAACGAACGCACCTCTGGCTCCGGTCCTTGTACTCCTCATCACCCAGCTCCTTCACCCCAACCTTCATCCCATCCTTTGTCCAGACCACATTTTTCTTCTCCATTTTCGAGCGTGTCTTGCGAGTCACCTCCTGTGCGATCGACCAGGACACATACCCGATCACCGCCAAGACGGCGGCCACGGTGAGGAGGATCACGAGGGGGATCAGACGGTCGTTCGCCATGTTCTTTTCTTCTCGCTTTCTTTTGTCGGTTCGGTTTGGTTCGTTTAGTTTCCGGTATCCGATTATCGAGTGGAAGAGATGGTCAACCTGCGTTGCGTGAGATCAATGAGCGGGAGACGGTCGTGGAGTGTAGGGCTGACGATCGGAGATCGGCTGAGTGGATCAGGTGTTCGTCACGGGTAAGACTACTCACCAGTCGAGATCAGATAAGTTGGGAGTCCGTCAGCCGTAGGAAATGGTTCGAAACTAAGTAACTAATGTCCGACCGATCAGATGGGGATTTGAGGGTCTTTAAAAGGGGCTGGGGAAGAATGTGCGAGCCACAGGGTCGAATGCGATGGTTCGTGGGCAAATCGCAATTTGCGCTGCCAAGGAAGGAGGGGAATTTGGGTGCCTAGTCTTAGGGCTGGCTGTGCAGGGCTGAGCACAAAGAGCGCTCTATCTCGATGTCCTGGTGCCTGGAGGGATAAGCAAATCATAGATATTTATATGCCTTGTCGAATGGACTGCGCATCGGACCTGTCATTTATCCCACAATAGTGGACAACTGCATCCGCCTGCAGGCTGACCACATCACACACACCTTTCGTGCAGAGACACCAATGTAGGCAAAGCCGTCAGGAGATGTCAACATAAATAAACTGCTCAAAACATCATATATCAATAAACTTCCTACTCCGTACAATGCCTACTGCTGACTCACCCTCTTCCTGTCGTCATCATGAATCATGCTCTGCCGAGCATCATGACCGACGATGACCGACGGCGAGTCGATTCCAACCAATTGCTGCCAGAACTCCTCTACATAACGACTCGGGAGATTTCCTCCAGTTCTATACCTATGTTTCATACCTACCTAGTATCTAATTTCTTCTAGAACTCTACCAAAGCAATATGTGTGACGTTCCTTTCTTTCCAATCTTCCCAATCTGCTTCCAGTGCGGCACAGACCAGAACCCTTGTCGCTGCAAAGTGCTGGGCCCGACTTTGGGTATGACTACTCCGGTGCTTTACTTAAGGTGTAGCGCTAATCGAGGCCAGGGTTCTGTGTGACTGTCGTCTCCGCTGTACGTGCTTTAACCAAGATTAAGAAAGAAATCCCCAATGAATGGACATGTACTCACCTTGCGCAGGTCTTCTGCTACCCAGCGGCTCTATTCTGTGGCTGCTGCGCAACGAAGACGGGAAAAGAGTACGTTTCCTCCTGGAGCTCTAGGGCTCTGCTGACCTTGATCACTAGTGTACTCGGATATCCCGTGTATCTGAATCAAAAAGTGAACGAGATAGTACCTATATGACGCATCAAGGCCATTGTATGTAGCACAAGACCATTGAATACATATTATTATGAAAAGATCTCACCAGTCGACCTTTCACGACGAAGATAAATCAATTATTACAGCACTACGCATTATTACCACAGGGCCGCTATCCACTAATCTAATCCATCGGAAAGGCCACGCGAAGTAGAGATAATCATAAACACAGAATCGAACACAAACTAAACAAAGGTATCCAGTTTCCGTATCGTCATGTCCAGTCCTCCCTCATTATGTGTCGAGCCAGAGCGACTGACGCAGCCGCCTATTTCAACTTCTCCTTCAGTCGGCTGAAGAACCCCTTCTTCTTTTTCTTCTCCTCTTTGACTCCATTCTGAGCCCCAGCGTTACCCGTCTTGGAGGCTGGCTGAGCGGCTGCTCCCGTAGTCTTCGTGGCGCTAGCGCCAGTCTCTCCGGCGGCTCCGGCAGCTCCAGTGGTTTCAACCGGGGGCACAGACTCCTGGGGTGCCTTGGCTGCTTCAACACCTGTGGTCACAGTTGGACCATCTGTAGGAGTCGTCGCACGCGGCGAGATCTGGCTAGAATCCACGCCTGTCGGCTGCGGAGCAGTCTCGGCAAGGGCGGCAGAAGCTGTGGGGGCAGGTGTGCCGGCAGACTCCTCCCGGGGCACCTTATGCTGAAGCTCCTCTTCCATCTCCCGCTTCTCTTCCACAACTTCCCGATTGGCAGCGGCTTCGGGGTCTCGATGGGCTTCGGAAATGGACCGCCTTACCACTTCGGGAACGTCATCGGCGGCAGCGTTCTGCCCACCATTCGCCTGTCTCTTCTGAGATTCGAGAGGCACATTGGCCGCAAGAGCCGCGGTGGTTGAGGTTGGCGCAGCAGACTGAATGGTGTATGGTTCCGCAGTTCCCTGACTCGCTCCGCCCATGGGGAGGCTAGATTCAGGAATCATGTTGCCTGACACGGGAGGAACGGCGAAGGCGTTTGCCGGCTTGATCTGCTCACTCGACGTAGGATAGCTAGCAGCCTGTTCGTAGGCGCTCGGGTCGGTGCGTGCGGTAGACTCGATGGTATTGGAATTGAAAGTGCTCGAGTCCGGCACTTTCTCGCCGGGCTGCAGCTTGATCGGGTTGCCCATGCCACTCGAGGCGGGAATCGGATTGACCGAGAATGTCTGTTCCGCGTCACCCGAGTACGCCCCAGGCATGGTGGCTCTCTGCTCGAGGGGCGCATTCTTTGCAAGTTCGGCAGTAGTCGATCCCGGAGCGGTTGAAGAGAACGCCGCGTCCCCGAGGACACCGTCCTTGCTGGATGTCTTGGGGACCCCGGCGGCCATGGCAGCGGTGGAGGAGTCTGGGGTCACACCCGCCATGATCGCAGCTGTGCCGTTTTGCAACGTTGGTTGGGTTTCTTTGTGAATGTGTTCGGGATAGAGGACGTTGTTGATGTTGTTGTGGCCGTCGTCTTCTTCTGGGACACTGGGGTCGGTCGTCCAAGTGCCGTCAACAACGAACTATAAATCAGAGAATGTCAGTGGGTGCAATGACAGGATGATCTGCTGACGTGAGGAATTCTTATAGCGTGAGGAAGGAGTGGGTTGATTGATTAGTAGGAACGGAGTGACATGACGTCAGTGGAGGTAAGGACGGCCACCGCGTCATTGCTGGGCAATTTCGCCCAAGGGAAACCCCCATCCATTCCATCTATTTGGCTTTCCCAGAGGTTGGCAAACACGGCGCTAAAAGGAGGAGGAGCAATGGGACCAAAATAACAGCAAGGACAAGGGAATCGAGCCGGTGGGTGCCTGACCTTGTATTGGATTTTCTCATCCGTCGTAGGCAGCTGAACTTCTTTCTCGAAGACATCGCCCTTGCGATCTAGCCGGACTGTCTTGCCCCAGTCATCAAAAGTACCGGTGACGAAGACCTCGTCGGCAGCGTGAGGCCTATGATGGAGAAAGCAGATCCGTTAGTTGATGCATGATCCCGCATGTCCAATCATCCGATGGTTCTGCCTAATAGTGTTCTTGGAGTCCGTATCACCAGACTGCAGTTCAATGGGAACATTCTGAGAAACCAATGGATGAGACCGATCGATTGGATTTCCGAACCAAAAGGACCGAAGGAACCATCCAAGTTACGATCGATGATCGACTTACCATCGGAACGTGTAGCTCCCCATCGTGATGGTAGAGTCGTGAACCGTGCTTGTGTTTAAGGAATGCAAGATGAAAGACAAAAACCTCCGGTGTTTCAGAAGGAGCACAAATATTCAACAGGTTCCAAGCGGGACGGCTGAGAATGCGGTGGACTCCAGAGGAAAAGTTCACCAGGTTTGCACAAGCGGGGTGGCACACACAGACCGCTGCCTAGTATCTACGGTCGGATGCTAGGGCGCGTCTGTCACGCCGAATTTCCTTTCGCAAGCACAGAGATGACAGTCAGAAATAACGATCCGTGGCGTTTCTGTCTTCAGATGGTGGGGTGTTCGTCGCAAAAACCCGCGCAGTAATAATGCGAGGGCGGGAGTGGGTTGATCGTGCGTGGTGTTGGGAGATGGAGAGTTAGTCGGAAGGGGGCTGGTCTAGACGTTGCCACCTGCGGCTGTACAACTCACCAGCAGCACGCAGCTGTCATAGGTCCGACCACGGGGTTGTGCATATCAATTATCTACAGTTTCTGTTGATAAGAATGATTCCTGCCCTATTCATGACTCAATCCGAGTCTTTGCTTCAGTAATGGAGCAAGTTGATCAACTGTACTGATGTAAGAGACTTTCAGGTCATCTTGTCACCACTTTGGAGGGTTCTTTCATGGGCGCTAAGAATCAGGCAGTTACCTAGACCGTTACCTCCCGAGTCGTGGGGACAGGCGAGGAATTAGTACTACTAGCCTTACAGTGAATATCCATACCTTGTACCTTATATATTAGCTGGTCCCTTTCTTTTGGAACCACGACGATAGTTCTACAGCACCGTAGTACTAGGACTACCGAGTAGATAACTCCCATATATATCTCCCGCTTGATATATTAAAATTAACATCTTCACACTAATGAAGCTTCATATCACACTACGACTCATATGACCTGCATCACCTATAGAACAATAAGACCGATAGCCTGGGAGTAAACTGGACTGTACGAGTGTATACCTCAACTACAGGGAATGGACAGCTCATCCAGTCCTAACCCCATGAGGTAATGTACTCTCCGTTGAGGACGCTAAACCCAATCAAGTCCGGATGCAAACGGTGATCCCAGGGCTAATCCCGAAGCAGCAGGTGGCCAGAACTCCAACGAGGATCCGTGGTTGACAGCTTTGCGACAGTGCGAGCAACTGGTGGCTCCCGCAGCTCCCAATAATGGCCTCGCATTGGAAGGATCTTCCATTCTTCCACGGGTGCTGAGAGCAACATGACCTCAGTCAACGACTTGGGGAGGCAGTGTTTGCCACCCAGTGACCCCAATTATTGATCTCATCTGGGGTGAGACCCAAATGCTTGATTGGGAGATGATTGGAACATGAGAGTAAATCCTTTCGTCACACTGCAGCTTCTTAAAGCATGATACGGAGTATATACTCTGTATAAATTTTATTATTGAATTATTGGGTGGTGTGGCGCATGTCTCCGGAGTACGGAGCAGTCGTAGGAAGGACAAGGAAGCCTTCGTCAGCTTCTAGAAGGCATCTGGAAGACACTTGGACACGAGATGGAACTTTCCGCGCAGCTTTCCGTACCCGCCCCCCTGGAAAAGTCCCACCTACACCCCTTTTAAGAGATTAAAAAGATGACGGGTTTGATTATGTCTTGGGAGCTTTAATCAGTCGACGAGGCATGATTGGATGGCCTTCTCCTGAATCTCATATTCCGAGGAACTATTGAGGCAGGTCTTCAGCTATTGAAGGACTAGCGGCCGGTTCAGCGGGGATGCTCATGACGTCGATCAGGGAGAATCCATTTCGTCGCTCTGGCTTCCGGGATATCATATGGTGCATTGTGCTCTGTCCACTACCGATCATAAGGAGAGGTAAAATTAGATCCTTCTTCA